AAATTCTTATTTCAAGCGTCTGCATAAAGATTGAAAAACAAACTTCAGATGTACTATACTGAACCCTTAACTCTAGAACTTCTACCTGCAAACACTAAATTCAGCATCGAAGTGCTTTCTGCAAGTACCTTTTATTCACTAAAATAACAAACAAGTCCACCATGAGGATGGATCAGTTTTTAAAGCTGGACCTACGTCTGTGTGACCACATACCTGGTACTACATACTGGATTTTAACTATATAGTTAGCCCAATGTATTCGGTCATTTGATGTAATGGGATAAAATGATCTTCCCATTGTTTTCAATTTCATTTCCAACAGAACATTGATATTTATGTTACAAAACATTGATATTTCATATACTGGTCTATGATTATGGAGATGTGTCAAAACATTGATATTTATGTTGCAAAGACTACAAGACTTGGGGTGCAAGCCTAGCTACCATTATACACAACTAAAGACCAAAGCTATGAAATATTATGTTACCAGACCATAAAATCAGGCTCTGGAGTTGTGGCCAACCAAGATGCTGTAAATGGGTTTGTTTTATTAGCTCATATATGTTCAATTTCTCCCTTACTAATGCATGACAATTAGGGTAGATTCCAAAGAAATCGTGATACGAGCAATTAGCCATTACGACATGGAAGGCAATAAGAGTAATTTCTTGTCTCAACACAAATTCATCAACCAACAACTTCTGGTTTTAACATACCTATTTTTGAAGAACCTCTTTGTGAGCTTTAAACGAGAGGATAACATTCCATATCAAAGCAATGAATTAGCAGCAAGGACCTGAAAAACACAAAAATCAACATAATGTAAAGCGAAATAAAACAAAAGGATTCCATGAATGAAATTGGAAGTTAGATAATATACGGTTAAACCAAACACTAAGAATAAAATTACCATAAATTGGCAACAAAAAAAAGAAAAAAGAAAAAGAAGCCAGCTTAGAAAATGAAACCCATAAACATTAATTTTTTTTTTGGTTGAATAAACATAACTAGATTTGGATTTTCAACAGAGAATTGAATGACTCATAGTCATATTGTGGATTTGATAATATCACCCACCTTCTGTAGCCAGAAATTTAGAAGCAACTATTTCTTGAACACAACTACTTTGTGCCTATAAGCATATAAATATCATCACTTAGATGGGCTTTTGGAACCCCCCAACCCAACCCACCCACCCACGCGCGCACACACACCACATAAGATCAAATACAAGTGTATGCATGGGGTCTGCTACATTTAGTTTGGGATGATTTGTATCATTATATACCAACTAAACCATCTCAACCATCACGCACAACCATTTGGGAGCCATCCCTTCATACCCAATTAAAGTCAATTCTATGATGAAATTCATATAATGGATAAAAGGATGGAGAGATCCCATCTTTAGCCACTCATTCCATAAGGCAGTCAATCTAATGCTCCGAATTACACATACTATCAGAGACTGGATATTAAATAGAAAAGGAATGATTTTTTCGTTTTCTGTTTGATAATGAGCTTTTCTATTTTGTTCACCTTAACATAGTCTTAGAATAAATGGGGTTTCTACACCTGAATAAAGATTAGCAATCACAGTCATAAGCTTAAGAAATTTTTCTTTGGATGTTCAATCCTAAATAACTTCGTTCAAATAATCAAGAATTTACAGAGACCAAACCATTCTCTTATTGTGAACCATCTTGCAAGCTAACCAAGTGCATTGAAGTGTATAATCATAAAAATCCCACTTTACAGTCATTTGAAAATTGGTGTATATCTGCATCTTTAGCCCTATCAGCAACACTCTTGAAGTCATCTCCACTACCACAAACTAGCTTTAGGGACCCTTCCGATTGTCTAAAAGACTAACAAGCTTAAGTTGGCTCCTCAAGCAAGCAGCATCCCATTTTCATGTTTCTCTGCTTAAGAAGAGAGTACGGGTGACCACTAATGTCTCTGTGGTTCTACCTCCAATTTAAGATACAGGAATGACTCAATGGCTGCCATAGAAGATCCTAGGCTGTGGACTGTCAAGATAAAAGCATTTGCATCACATGTCAGTTGAGTATGTGAGTCGAGCATGTTTTTCCATATTTTGGCATGGGGCAGGCCCGGATTTCAAGAGAGGGATTGATGAGATACTCATCACACTAGGCCACTAGATATAATCATGAGATGGATAATGGGCTGGAGCTTTGGGCCATTGCTTCGTTGTTTGGAATTTTCTGATGTCAGTTATTAAGATAACTCTAAAGGATTCTAAAATTTGCTGCCTCATACCATTCTATTGCTAGATTTCCGCAATTGGTTATGTGATTTTTCCTTCTCCTTTACGTATTTGCATTTCCTATTTTGTACCGTTGTCCTATATATGACCAGGTGCTATCATGTAATGATTATGCAATGAATGAACGAAAGGTTATGGTTTTGTAGCTGTAACCCATAAATCATCAAGTAATTTCTTTATTTGGTTCAGTAGGTCATCACCCATAAATGCTAAGTTATATAGAAAAGTACAATTGTGCAGGAAAGGTCATAATAAGCAGTCACAAAAAACAACATTAGCTAGGCAACAGTGTCTATACACAACAGAAAAAACAAGTGATACTAAAACTCAACAGTGATAAATTACAATATATATTCTGTCAAATCTTGTTTTGTACCAGACTAGCAACATTCTTCCACATCGTTAATTAGAACATAATGCAAAATCATAATATATTGGTTTCATAGTTTGTTACTCCGACTCCAGTAATTCTTTATAATAAGAAACATTATTTAATCAAGACCAGATGAGTACAAGCTGAAAGTACAAAAAGTTGTAGAGGACAAGAAGTCCACTGACACAGAAGCTAAAGCTGGCAAGAAGACATTTAAAATGCTACCAATGAAACCTGTATATACACTTCTTCCCTCCCTAAATTCCATGTGCTTCTTACAGAATTATGCTAAACAAGATGCTGGAACCAACCCAGCTCTAACCAGCTTCTCAATGTAGTCCCCACCATAAAATTTAAAGCAATGGACAATGAAGAAGCAAATTATTAACACTTCGAGCCTCCCTTTACACATAATATACCAATGGGGAGAAAGAGAACATTTTAGGTTTCTCCTTTCAACCATAGCATAGTGTTGCCCTCCCATGAGCATTCATCTAAGATATGAATGTAATTCATTCGAGAATCTGATGTGGGACCATGATTTTTTTTTTTTTTTTTTTTTTTTTTTTTTTTTTTTTTTTTTTTTTTTTTTTTTTTTTTTTTTTTTTTTTTTTTTTTTTTTTTTTTTTTTTTTTTTTTTTTTTTTTTTTTTTTTTTTTTTTTTTTTTTTTTTTTTTTTTTTTTTTTTTTTTTTTTTTTTTTTTTTTTTTTTTTTTTTTTTTTTTTTTTTTTTTTTTTTTTTTTTTTTTTTTTTTTTTTTTTTTTTTTTTTTTTTTTTTTTTTTTTTTTTTTTTTTTTTTTTTTTTTTTTTTTTTTTTTTTTTTTTTTTTTTTTTTTTTTTTTTTTTTTTTTTTTTTTTTTTTTTTTTTTTTTTTTTTTTTTTTTTTTTTTTTTTTTTTTTTTTTTTTTTTTTTTTTTTTTTTTTTTTTTTTTTTGGCTTTCTGCAAAGAAAGCTAAGGTTGATCTGAACTTGATGGCACGGGAGGGCCTGTTTCCTGCCGCGCGTTCCCTCATATTGTTGGGGGTTTTAGCTAAAAGGTTGGGTACAGAGGCCCAACTGGCACATCGTGGGGGTGGCACTCGTCCATGGATTAGGCTATTTGATTAGTGAAGGAAATTCCTTGACCAGAAAAAAAAAAAAACAAGGGTAGGGAAAGACAGGTTGGGGCACGAAGGGGGACATAACGGTCAAGGGTAGCATTAAAACAAATGGAGGGTCAAAACGCCAGACAAAGGGCGATGCCCGTCACCTGTGGCCGTAACAAAAATTGATGTAGGGAAGTTGGGCTGGTGTAGACACGCAAAATAAGGGGAAAGTAAAAAAAAAAAAACCCGACAGGAAAGGCAAGGTAGAACCAGACCCAAAAACCAGGGAGGACAGCGGAAAGAGGGTGAAGTTCCTCGAGGACATCGCTGCCATGGAGGCACGGAAAACAGGCCCCAACCCCCACCAACTCAACAACAAAAAAAAAACCACAAACAACCCGACCGGCCCGAGGGAGGGGGCTCCCAGGGCATAACAGGCCAGGCAACCAGAGCAAAAGTACAGGGAAGATCATGCATAAAGGCTAGGGGGAAGACAGGCATAAAGTCACAGTGTGAAAGACCAGGCCAGAAAAACTGGGGAAAGCACCATATAAAACCGGGGGTGACTATGCTAGAACGCGCGGGGATACGAGGCACGAACCATCGGGAGTCCTTTCCAAAGGCCAAACTTTCCCCGCATCACCGTCGCTTGCCGCCAGCCCCACAATGCAGAATGCGAGTATAACAAGATCCTCTACAAAAAAAAAAAAAAGTACCTTGGTCATACTACGTCAGAGATACACTGTTATAGCTATGTCCGAACCATCTTCTTATAAACTCCCATTCGGCATAGTCATAAGGGTATGAAGTTGTACATTTTTTTCCTACTTTATTCTGCAACTGAATAGTATTGTTAACCTTCCAAATACTCCTCGTTGCTACTGATGGCTGCAAGGCGAGCATAGGGGCGAGAAATGTTTTGCTAGAACTAGATACACAATGTGACAATACAGGGAGCGGTAATCCAGACCAAAAAGAAAAATATTAAAAAAAAAAAAAGACCCCTGCGTTTAAAATTAATTTCTTCAACAAGATCAACATAAACTTCATTGTTAGCATATTTCGGGTCAGCTGTTCTCTATGGAATGCAGGATGATGTTGCACCTGAGAAGTGTGTCACTCATGTTGGAAACTGTTGCCTGTCACAACACTCAACATCTTGTTAACTATATTGGTGGAGCAATCATCTCTCTCAGAATATTATTTCTGTAGTGAGAGATAATGAGTTGTTGCCAGCTGGGGTCCTCCTCAATTTGCATTGTGTCCGATTGGCTCTATCTTCTTCATGCTGTCCGGTCCAGTGTTCGACCGGATGGAGCGTCTGAATTGGGTATCCAACGCGACCCTAGACTGGCTAGTGGCGTCTTCATTTCGCGTTCTCTCTGCCCGGTTACTTGTTGGATGGTGAAGGTAGGAAACGCCTTCATAGCTCTTGGACTTTTCAAGTACACGATCATCCTTTGGGTGCTTCGCCATGTATTCACCTATGCTATTATTCGTGATCAACTGAGAATCTGAGTAGATGGCTAGCTTCTGATTGCGAGTTCCTTTGCCAAGCGCAGGCCGACGATAATGCCTCGATTCCTTCTGCCTCGTTGTTGATGCCTGAAAGCCGACGTGATAGCTTGCTCTAACAAGGTTCCATCTGGGTGATGTAGACGACACCTGCTCCAGCTCCCTTTGGTTCGCCGCTCTATCTACGTGCAACTGCCACATGTCTCTAGGTGGCTAGGTTCGGCGAAGGTTACGTCTGTTGTCGAACTTTCCTTCTTTTTGTTTACCAGCTTCTCTTCTTCGGCTGATGGGGTGAATTCTGTGACGAAGTCTGCTAAAGCCTAGGCTTTTATTGCAGTTTTTGGCCGGTAGAGGAGGTCATATTGGCTTAGCTCTGTAGCCCACTTCATGAGTCGTTGAGAAGCGTCAGGGCTGTGGAGATTGATCTCAAAGGAAAGTCGGTCATGACGATGACTCGGTGAGCTGGTTATAGGGTTGTAGCTTTCTTGCGGAAACTACAAAAGCCAAAATGAGCTTCTCCAATTTCGGGTAGCGAGTTTTTGCATCGAGGAGAGCTTTTGACGTTAGAATACTGAGTTTGGGCCCCCAGCTCTTCTTGGATGAGAGCTGAGCTGACGGCTGAGTTGACACTGTCAGATACACGAACAAATCTTCACCAGGAACGGGCTTTGAGAACAGGGGAGGTGAAGTGAGGTAAGTCTTCAGATCTGAAAAGCTACTTCGCACTTTTCATCCCATTTGTCTCTTTGTCCTTTCTTCAAAGCTTTGAAGAATAGTTGCATTTGTCGGTAGATCTCGAGAGGAATCGGTTGAGGGCCGTTGCTCTGCCCGTCATACTTTGTATTTCCTTCACTGTGGAAGGCGACTTCATCTCGAGAATGGGTTTGATTTGACGTGGGTGTGCATCTATACCTTTTTGGTGACTAGTATCCCAAGAATCGGCCGGAGGATACACCAAACGTGCATTTACTTGGATTCAACTTCATGCGATACTGGTGGAGCAGGCTGAATGCCTCGGCGAGGTTTTTGAGGTGATCTGCACTTTTTGGGGCCTTGACTAGCATGTCGTCCATGTATACCCCCATAGTTTTGCCCGATTTGCTCCTTAAGATTTTATTCACAAGCCTTTGATAGGTTGCTCCGGCATTCTTCATCCAAAGGGCCTTGTAACAGTTAGGTCCCTCTCTCGATGATGAAAGAAGTTTTTCTCCTTGTCATCATCGTGCATCAAGATTTGGTTATAGCCGGAGTAAGCGTCCATGAAGCTGAGCACCTGATTGCCAGAAGTGAAATCCACGAGTTGGTCGATTCTCGGCAATGGAAGTTGTCTTTCGGCAAGCTTTGTTGAGTCAGTGTAATCAACACAGACTCTCCACTTGCCTTTCTCTTGTTTTGCCACCAGAACAACGTTGGCAAGCCAGTCTGAGTAGGAGACCTCTTCGATGAAGCCGACAGCTAGGAGTTTGTCAATCTCGGCTTCGATGATAATGACTCGCTCGGGTGTAGTTACGTCTCTCTGCACCCCTGGCGTGCAGGCAGGGTTGACGTGGAGTCGGTGACAGATGATTTCGGTCGATGCTAGGCATGTCTGCGCGACCATGCGAACATATCTTTGTTGTTCTGGAGGAAGGTGGTAAGCTCCACCTTCTCGTCTGGGCTTAGGCGCGAGCCGATTCGCGCTTTTTTGTCTGGCTGGTCAGGATCCAAGAGTATTAACTCGATGTCTTCCTCGGGTTTTCCATCCTTCTTCAGGAAAGACCTCTGGACAGATTTCCTCGGCTTGGTCCTGACGCTTATTGCTATAAGAGAGCAAGATTCGGTTGTTCAACCTCCTTCAGATCTGCTTTGGCTCACAGGGAGGAATTGCGCTTGTTTTGCTTTGTCTTCAGTCCTTGGGGAGCATTTCCTCGCCATTGCCTGATCGCTGTTGATTTGGCCGACACCACCCCCAGGGATTTGGGTACCGAATTTTCTGATGTGTGGCAGAGTGTGATGGCGTTGATCTTGGCGATCCATAGTCTGCCCAGAATGCCGTTGTAGGGTGAGACTTCATCAATGACCATGAATGTTAGCAAAGCTGACTACAGGTGGGGTGTAGACGTCGAGGTCTATCGTGCCTATGGTAATCGTTGTTGCGCCATTAAAGCCGGTCAGCGATCTTGCTGATTTGTTGATCTTTGTCTCCAAGCCCATCTGCTGGATGACCACCAGTTGTAGTATATTGGTTGCGACTGCCCTCGTCTGCATGGATTTAGTCGACCATGACCTTAGTGATTTGAATGTTATGACAAGGGCATCATTATGTGCGCATGTCGAGACCGATCATATCTTTCTTTTGAAGCTGATTACAGGATCGTCTTATGCAGTGGAAGGTTAGTCGAGACTTGGGAGATCCATGGTGGCATGTTTAATCTCCTCTTTCTTTTCCTTGCTGGTCAGCCCTGACTCCTTGGCGTCGGCTAGGATGTGTGAATCCTTTTGACCTTCTGGGGCGGCTCCTTGGCATGTCTCGATCTTCATCCGCTGGATGGCCTGCTTTGCGATGAATTTCGTGCAGTGACCTTCTCTCACGAGTTCTTAAAGGTGTGCTTCCAAGCAAAGCAGTTGTTCATAGTGTGTCGTGCGTCCCGTGGAAGGCACAATATTTGCTAGTATCCTCTTGTCCGGATCTCCTTTCAAGGGTGGCGGCCCTCTTACCCAAGGTTTGTCTTTCACTTGGGCTAAAATTTGGTATATGGGGATGGTGAACTTGGTGTAGTCTTCTCCTGCTTTAGCGTCCCCTTGTGGGTGTGACCTTGCGCTTTGTCTTTGTTCTTGTTGCTAAATCCATCGCTTCTTTGCTTTGCCCGTTTAGTTGACTGATCTTCCGGCTTTTTAGATTTCTTTGGCGGCGATTCGATCGTCATCCCAAAGCGCGTTGTGGTTCTGCGGTCGCGTAGACCTCTGCCAGAGTCTGGCTAGGAGTGATAGTCAGCTCGAGGTACAAGTCATGTTTAGCTGGAAGACCTTTCTTGAAGGCAGATGACGCGATTCGATCGTCACATCCTACAATGTTGGCATTTTCTGCTTTGAATCTCTTGATGTAATCTCGAAGGGATTCGTCGGACTTCTTGCGCAAGTTGTACAGGTGGTCAGGGTTCTTCTTGATGTCCGGTAAGAGGTGTATTCTTTGGTGAAGACATAAGCCAGCTCCTTGAAGCTGCTGATCGACCCGATGTTACGTATGGAACCAGTCTTAGCTGCTCCCCGCAAGGTCATCATAAACACCTTGCACATTAGCGCGTCGTCGGCCTTGTGGAGGATCATGACACTTTTGAAGTGTTTTAGGTGGCTCTCGGGATCAGAATCCCTTTTGAAGTGTGTGAACGTGGGTGTTGAGAATCGCTTCGGAGGAGAGCAGCTTGCTCGATTTCGGCAGTGAAAGGTGTGGAGTTTGCCTGGTCCATCTCTTACGTAGTGCGTCTTCAAATTCCCACCGGTCTTCAGGTCTCAAAGTTGGTCGTTCACAAGCTTCTCAACGTCTTCCGCACACATCGTTGGTCGATCACGTTGGCGACCTTCGCGAGTTTGGGCGATGCTGATTGACCTCCTCGTTGTCTGCGTGGTCAACCTTCTCGCTGCGCTGCCTAGGGGCGTGTTATTGGACTGCGCTTGCGAAGGATTTTCTGTAGCTTGCCGACGAGAATCAACTCTTTGAGAGTGAGTAGCGAGAGCGCCTTTCCTCATAGTCCTCATTGTGAGGGTTGTCCAGCTGACCACCTTGGGGGCCTAGCTTTGTGAATGCTCCTCTGTGAGTGGACAGCTGAGCGCCTTTCTTCACGACTTTGCTGCGATGGTTGTCTGGCTGACCTCCCTAGGGGCCTAGCCTTTATGTACATTTCCTTGCGGACCCAAGCGGGCACGGATGTCAAGTCGTGGGCCCAGCCTTCGTGCACGTTGTTCCTTAAGCTTAATCTGCTCTGAGTGCGGCTTGCAGATGCTTGCGACATGTCGGTAAGCCGATCATGTTGTTGTCCCTCGCCTTGTCTGCTCACTCCTGCTCGACCTGTTTGATACCCGTCGAGCTGCCTACCGTGCGTTTGTCCATCCTTCTCTCTTCGCCCAGTTGTCCAAGGCCAAGGTTTTGAGCCAAGCTTATTTGGTTGAGGAGTTGCCTCATCAGATTGCTTTGGTCGTCCATTCTCTGACCTAGCTGGTCAACTCTCAGACTGAGGTCTGCTTGACTTCGTGGATCGGGAGGAGAGAAGTGCGTGGAGCCCAATTGCACACGGGCTAGGGTTTTATTGGAGGTGTACGCGGAAGCGTACGTCGAGCGTGGAGGCAATGGAGGGAACGCTTGAAGTTGCTCCAAGACCGGGCCTAAGTCGGTGGTTGTAACAGCCCCATCTTGATGAGAGGTTCCACCATGTTCGCGGCGGCGGCGGCCGGTGTGTTGGTGAGGTGGTGAGAGGTGGTGGTGCCACCATGTCGATCGCGGGATTGTGGGTGGAGTGGCTTTGGGCCGTCGTGGATTTAGCCATCGCGGCGGCTTTGTCTCTCGTCTTCTTGCTTCCAACCATGGTTGTTTGGAAGGCTTCTATGGATTGGAAAATAGGAGGAACGGATTCCTTGAGCACGCGTTGAGTATAACTCGTGCTCTCAATGAAAGCACCAATTTTTGTGTACAAATTTCCCCATGGGAATATTCGACTGGAAATATTCCGCTTTCTTCTTCGCCGCCTCATTCTCCCTGCAAAATAGAACCAATAAGAGGACCACACCCGGGGGGTGTTGGCCAAAGGCCCTCCGATGCCTAAATTAGTTCAATTGAATCGTATAGAAAACAATAGCTAATAGGGTACGGAGATGTGTTTATGGTGTAAACCGAGCAGCCGGAGCCTTATGTAAAAAAGGGAGAGAAAGGAGGTGGCAAGGGTTTGAGATGAATTTTCTGCTGAGTTTAAGTAGAGATTTCAAACGTACCTCAACCCTTGTGTGTGGCTATTCTTTTATAGTGGTCTTGGAGGCTAGGGTTTCAGAGGAATAATTCTGTAGATGGAAGGGAATTATTCCTCCCCTTTTTGGAGTTGATTTGATTAATTAGGGATTTGATTTATTAGGGCAAACCAAATCCCTAATAGTGTTAGGTATCAAATCAAATCCTAATTTCAATTAGGTAACTCCTCATTTAATTAGGAATCGTGGTAATTAATCAAATCAATTCTCAACTCAATTAGGTAACGTTCAATTTAATTGGGTCCCCAATTAAATTGAGTAACTCCCAATCAGGTTGATTGATTCCCAATTAGGTCAAATAATCCCCAAATGGAATGAATTATTTGACATAGGGTTTTGATTTAATTTGGTTACCACACATATGTCGTGGTTGCAATTCTAGCAAAGAAAGATTCAATTTATGATTACATTGAGTGTTACTACAGGTCGACTTCTTTCGAAAAGCCTATGAGAGTCCTATTTTCCTATTCTAGATATTGGGAAAGGCTTGGGCAGCAACGGTTTTAGTTGCTGGACTTGTGCTTCCGCCAATTATAAAGAGGCTAGCCGGAAGACCACCAACGAAGAGGATCAAAGCTTTTGGTGAAGGTACAAGGCCATTAAAATGCAGTCGGTGCGTGTTGCTGGGCACAACAGGAAGACTTGCAAGGCGCTGATATGAACATTCCTTCTCAGTTGACAATTGCTTATGTTAGATATGGTTTAGTGATGTATAGTTAGTTTCTGCATTGCAGTTTTTAGTTGCTTTTAATTGGCTACACAACATCTAATTGGATATTATGATTCTTTTTTGAAGTCAATGAAAATTATACAATTGTTTCATCAGTGGATATTCATTTTTAACTGCCATTCATTGCTTGTTTTCACATTTGAGCATATTTTGTTTCATAAATTGCACTGTAGTTTTTGACCAGAATTGCAGTGCAGTTTTTTGTTTCATAATTCGATTTCAGAATAATTTTTGCAAGTCTATTAGAATGTTACAACTGCTAACCTACTTAAATGTGTTTTGAACAAACTTTTAGTACTTTGATCATGGCTTTGGCTTTTGGTTTCTTTTCACATTTTTTGAGCATATATATATATATATTTTTCATAAACTACACTCAAGTTTCAGTTTGTTGCAGTTTTTAGTACTTATTTCCTTTTCAGGCTTTAGGTTTTTGCTTTTAAAAAATTAGTTAATTAGTTTAGTTACCTAGACAATTTATAGTGCTAATAAGAAACATGTCAAGAATCAGCTTGTAGAAAATAGAACAAACTCGTAACTACACGTAAGACTAAGAGCACTTCCACCCTATTGTGCCATGGTAAGGGCAAGTAAGGGCAAATAGTATTCATGTGAATAGTATTTGTCCTAACAATTGTTTGATGCATTTACACCTATTACCATAGCAACTCAAGGGCAACCACTATTTACATGAGATATGAGGAGAATAATTCGTATGGATTTTGGTGTGTGAGAAGTGAAGAACATGGCTAGGTATTTATAGAATTTTTTTTAAAATTTGTTGTTATTTAAATAAGCCGCTGAAGTCACATTGACGTCAGCATGACATCAGCAATCCATGCAAGTCTTGCCCAGTTTCGTGGGCCCACTTCTTGTGATGACAACTTTTCCTTTATGGGAGTTGTTTTTGGAGCCTAGCCTCTTTTACCATGGCAAAAGGGGATGAGTGGAGCGAATAAATCTGTCAAAGTATTTCAACTTTCATATTGTTTGCTTGCATATTTGTTATATTTTTTTGTGGAAAAATTCAAATTTTGTTCCTTTATCTGCTTAAATTCAAACAACTACTATTAATGTTAGATAATTTGATGATACAAACACATGATTGAGTCTTAGGGAGCGTTTGGTATCCTATTCAAATAGGGAACTCAAAAACTTTGATTTTTCTTAAAAACAAGGAGTTCTTAAATCTATTTTTAATATTCCAAAACTTGTTTGGTATTCAACTTGAAACTATTTTCAAATCTTAAAAATTTGAGAACTTGTGGGTTGTTAAAAAAAAATGAAATTTTTTTTTGTTCGTTTTTAATAATTAGGGTGGTTTTTAGTTGTTCTTGAGTTTGAGTTTTAAAATATGGCTACCAAACAGGTTTTCTTTGTTTTGGACTTAAATTTTATTTTTGAGTTTAAAAAGTTGGATTCAAGTTGAATACCAAGGTACTGATCATAACTTATTACTTTTCGTATTTGCTACTTTGTCAAGTAAATATTTATCTTTTACTTTTTCAAGTGGAGTAATATATAAAAAAGTAAAAAATTAACCCAACTTAAATTCATTTTTTAATTTTAGATAAAAATAATTTATATGTTTTTTTCTTCTCTCCTCCGCGTGTTCTCGAGTATCATCGCACATTTGTTTCAAAAATGAATCCTACTATGAGTACAGTACAGTAGAATTGCTTCCATTGCAACTTCATTGTCCCTATTCTAATTCATTACAACACTATCACTACATTGTAATGACACACTATTATTATTGCACTGTAATGACACATTGCTAATGCATTGTGATGACAAACAATTTTGCACTATAATAACACCACTGGTGCCATTTTGCCTTGTAATTACACCAATATAGTTGCTCATACAACTCCAATTTTGCTGATCTACATGAATGCAATAAAATTTAGTGTCTCCCATAGCATGTTTCCTTCGCACTGTAATATTTTGTGGTGAAGTTATAAGTGGAGTTGATATAGTATGGTTTATGGCTAAGAACTTCTTATGGTTCTTCTTTTCGTCTTTGTGATGATGAATTATGCTTCTATGAAATTTGAAGGTACTTAATAGAACCTAATTAAGGAACCACGTGTTGTGCAGTCTCATTCTTGTTTTTATGAAATGACTTAGGGGCCTGTTTGAACCAATCAGAAGGGTTTGATTTGATTCTTACATTGAAAAGGTTTAATTTTAGCTAAAGTAGAACTAAATAGCACTTAGTCTAGTTTGGTTCGGTTCGGTTCGTTTGGCTATATTAATTACACTATTCTTTTACACTTGACATTTTCTTTTTGGTTGTTACTATTTACTATTATGTTGCATTACCCATATCAAGATGAAATTAACCAATTTGGCTCCTAGAAAGTGAACAAACAAAGAAACAAAGAAACAAAGAAACAAAACATGTCTGTAAATAGAAAAACGCGCCTTAGGAGTCGCAGCAAAAAAATAAGGGGACGTGGTGAAACCAAACCCAACAACCACCAAAAAAGAAAGATGAAAATTAAAAAGGGAAAAAAAATTGAAAAAAAAAGAGGGAAGGAGGGGAGAAGGGGAGGAGGGGGATCAAAATCGAATAGAGAAGGAGCAAAGGTTGGGGCGCTGCAGATTGGGGGTGGTTGAAAGTTAAAAGCATTCCCATTTAATATCCAAAAGAGTGGGAAAAGACATCATTTCACAGGTTTTAAACACAATTGGGTGACAAACTGTTTGTCTCTCACGCTCCCCCCTTCTGTTCGTCTCCCTGAATGCCTTGCCAGTGTTCAGGGTATGCTTCTTTATTTCATGCTCCTTTATTTATTTGTTTATTTATTTAATTACTAACGGTGGGTGGAATTTGTAGGTTTCCGGGAGTTTGTGTATGAGTTTATAAATGTCCAACAAATTGTGTATGGAATTCAAAAATGCTTAATAGTTTAGGGGGCTTTATGTAGTTAACCCATGTTTTTAATTTTCTCATATTTGACTCACATTCATATGGTAAAATGTTGTTGCGCCTGTAACCCTGACTTGCATTTGCCCTATGTTCCAGACTATCGTGGCGATTTATATGTGGAGGAGCGAGGGAAAAATAGGTTGGTGTTTTTAGTTTTTTGATACAAGCGACTTTAGGGTTATGGTAACCATTTGAACCACAAGTCCCTTATTTTTTATTTTTGTTAATAAGTAAATTTTGAATTAAAAAATTTATTCCTTAACAAACAAGAAACAATATTTGCTTTTCCATTGCTTGTCCTGATTTCTGGGTGATAATGATATGAATGATGAAAATATGCAGGTTGTGATGGATTTATGCGAAATGGAGAGAAGTTGGGGTGTGTCTTTGGTCATTCACGAATTATGGGATTAGTTAGTTGAATCCAGCGTATGATCATATTCGCCACCTGTATGCCACTCTCTGGTCAGATGCATCATTTAATCATTTCATTCCAAAACTTTTATGCTTCTTTTGACATAATTTTATTTCAATTTCAACAATTTCAGTTATATTCTATAGAGGATTGGGGGATTGGGGAATCGAATGTAGAAGCCTCGAGTGCATGGATAGATGCTCTTAATCATTTAAGCTACAAGTCCCTTACATGTAATGATTACTTTTGAGTACGCTTATTTTAACCCCGATGTCCTATTTTCCCGCTCACATTTTAATGAAAAATTTAATGACAATTTTACCCTTATACAAGGCAAGATATGAATCCATCTACCTTCTCTTAATCGTCTCTATAATTGCACCACAAATATTGACACTCAAGTTGCAAACCCGTTGGCTTTTTCATGTAGGAAGATCCACCCTTGATTATAGTTCCAAGACGCAATGCTTTCACATCAACTATATGATAGCTAGGCCAAAAATTACAATGATTATTATCTACTTCTTTTATCAAGCAGTAATTTATCTATTTAATGAAGCAATGATCTGCACAAATGGCTTGAATATCATCTGACCGATTTAGTTATGAAAGGCTGCAATCATATACAGTAGTGTATATTCATATACTGAACTGCTTTTTAAAACCCAAGAGTATCTGTTTGTTGAAGTTCCCATAGGAAATATGAATCAGATTGCTTCTTCTCTCTTCTCCTTCAAAGTTTCGTGAAGTAAAATACCAGCAGTAGATCAGCACTCGACACTGATATCCTCTCTTTTTCGTTATCGAACAGAGAACAATTCTTTCTTCTTAACTAGAATAGAAAGGTCCTTTACATGACAGGGCCTTTTCTGAAGATAATGAGATATTATCTTTGTTTTCGTTATTTTCCTTTGTATATTTTTACATGTAGAAATAGGAATTTGAGCACGGCTTTATATTTTATTTGTAATGTAATTCAGATATGCATTTGATGAATGGAAATTAACGGCCAAGTTTAAGTTTGTGTCCAACAATATTATGTTTTGGTTGCTAAGATTTTTCATAATGCATATTATATTGAGATTGTTGGAAACTGATGTGAAGTGTGTTTGTGTTAAAAATGCAGCTTAATCTCCCAAGGGAAGACTAATTCTCAGGGGATCTTTTGAGAAAAGGTGCCCCTGGCATGCACTCCCTTCCATTCTTACCTGTATGACATTTGTCAAAATGGCTGTAGCAGTTGATCAACACCATGGATTCAGGCCATTCAGCCGATCCCAGAGATGCAGATTACAGTCCTACACTCAACTCGATTACAGCATACTTGCCCACTCCTTAACACATGCATTTGGTGATGCTAATTTTCACAAAAGCTTCTCCACCCCTTGTCTATCCCTAACCACTGCATTGGAGGAAGATTTTGACACAAATCCAAGGATTGAAATTGTTGGAGGCAGTAGGATACCTAGGGTACATGCTCTTGTAGTCGAGGTCGCCATAGCTATGGCGTCTGGTGCTGATCTCTTGCCGGTGTCAAGTGGACTAGGGGGTGCCTACTACTTATGTAGTCAAAATGGTGACAGTATTGCTGTGGCAAAGCCAATAGATGAAGAACCTTTAGCTTTCAATAACCCTAAAGGCTTTGGGGGTCGGATGCTGGGCCAACCGGGTTTGAAACGCTCAGTTCGGATTGGTGAATCTGGAGTTCGAGAATTGGCAGCTTATCTCCTTGACCACGGTGGATTCGCTGGTGTTCCTCCCACAGCTTTAGTAAAAATTTCCCATGTTGCATTCCAAATTAATAACAATGCAGCCGGAATTTCAGCTACACCTTATAAGATTGCTTCTCTGCAGCGCTTCGTGGATCATGACTATGATGCAGGAGAGTTAGGTTCTTCAGGCTTCTCAGTTGCTTCTGTTCATCGTATTGGAATTTTTGATGTAAGACTTTTAAATCTTGACAGGCATGCAGGGAATATGCTTGTTAAAAAATACGAACTGCACAATTATGCAGTTGGGGTGGCTGAGCTTGTGCCTATTGACCATGGTCTTTGCCTTCCTGAGTGGCTTGATGATCCATATTTTGAATGGTTGCACTGGCCTCAAGCTTCGGTTCCCTTTTCCGAGTTTGAAATTGAGTACATATCCAATCTTGACCCCTACAAAGATGTAGAGCTTCTTAGAACTCATATTCCTTATTTACGGGAGGCTGCTATCCGTGTTCTTGTGCTATGCACCATCTTCTTGAAGCAGGCTGCTGCAGCTGGGCTTTGTCTTGCTGATATAGGGGAAATGATGACTCGGCGGTTCTGTGCTGGAGAAGAAAGTCTGAGTACATTAGAGAATCTTTGTTTGCAAGCTAAGGCTGCCATGCCTACTACAGTATATGAGACGAAAGGAAAAATTGGAGAAGTTGAAATGTTTAAACTTGAAAACGAAAGTGAAGAAGGTTTGAAAGAGAATTTGGACCTTCCTCAACTCTTAGGGAGCCATTCTGGAATGAGTAAGCCACCCATTATGTCAAGGTTTTCATCTGCAGGATCAATTACTGGGTTGACCGATGCATCTCTGTCTCCACTATTCGAGGAAAACGATCATGATAACGACGATAATGACAGAAAGACTATGATAGGCAATAATGGTAGTGATGATGATGGAAGTACTAGTGATAGTCGTAAGGTCGGGGTTTTGATGAAGAGCATGAGTTTCTCAGTACCTACCCACAATTGTGAAGCAGGGGCAATATCTTTTGGAGACATGAATGGAGATGAATGGGAACTGTTCTTGGATAGTTTCGAAAAGCTTTTGCCGGAGGTACTCGAGGGCACAAAGTCCCTGAGCTTGAAGCAGAGGTTGGGAACTACTACTTCCTGCAAGTTCTGAGAAATTAATATTTTGTGGGAAAGAAAAAAAGATTTGAAAATAGACTTTGTTGCTTATATTTAGTCCAGTATGAAGTGAGTGTACATTATTGCCAAATGAAGACGGTAGAGTAGTAGATTGTAAATAAATAGAATAGGTGCAACTGGAAATGCGATTGGCGAAACGCCATCCTTTCTGTGTACCTGTTTTTATGCTTCATTATCTTGTATCGTTGCCGTAGACTGACATAGAATTGGTTCTCTTGCAGAGATGACCTGCAACAGAATAATTGACATGTTCAAACGGTTGATATTAATTAGTTTGATATATTAATAATATCATACTTTCTTCTTTGAAATGGATATTAGTTTTCTTTCCTCTTCTTTTTGTACTCCGAAGTTCCAGAATGAATTGTGCCAAATGGATATTAGTTTTCTTTCCACTTCTTTTTGTATTTGGCACAATTCATTCTGGAACTTCGGAGTTCAAATTCAGATTATATATTTGTTCACCCGTTTTGATCTAATCCTGTGATTGTAGGGTAAAGTTCTACATTAACTTGAGAACCATTTGTGGTTAACAAATCAACTTTCTTTCGTGTATGAGCGTGTTACTAGCAAACTTCTAAAAAATAGGTAACTTGCGCTCCAATTTACTGATTCTGAACAAGCAATTGTGAATTTGGGTGAGAAATATCTCCCAAGTGAGTTTTTTTTCTTGCCTCAGACTGGTGAGGACTTCACAATTTTTCACAGTATAAAACTGGTAGTTCTGGCCAGAATAAAAATAAAAAAAAATTAAAAAAAAGCAAAAACTGTTTAAGCAGAACTGCCTATTACAAAACTTAAAAGAGAAATGCCAAGTTTGAAAAAGACAACATAACGTTGGACTTCGATTTCTGCCTGGGTGGCTGCCTCTGAACTGGGCTGGATTGGATATGTTTATGCTGGATTGAACCGTCAGCACCTTCAACCGATGGGTTTCAATTGGAAATCAATACAAAGGTTTGAATTTGGCAGAGCTTCAATCTGTTTCAAACCTTGGAAGGCTTGTTGGATGGGCGGAATTGAGGCCTCTTCAGTCTAGAAGGGGGCAAAAGTGGCTAGATTGATGATTGTTGAGCTAGAGGTGCACTATAGTACATGTTCTACTTGATCAGGACCTCTTCATAAATTTGTTGAGGTTTTCATATTGTAAAAAACCTAGATTCTGCTTGACCTGGCTTGTGCTGAAATCTTGCTTTGTGAAACTGTTTCTCTGAATCGAACTGAAGTCAGAGACTTTGAGTTCTAGCTAACCTATCTCTTGTGGATCAAAGAGTTTTGGTTGCTTCAGAATCTGAAGACTTTTTGAGATCGACTGATCTTGTTTTGAATTTGTCAGTATGACTTTGAGAGTTTTTGTTTTGATTGATTTTTTGCTGTCCTTTACCCTGTTCACCTCTTTTTATATTTATAGAGAATTTGAATGAGTTTTTTAAATATCTAGGGGCATGAAAAGAGATTTTCTTTTTCTATTGCAGAGAAGTTATTAATATGGCAGAAAAAGAACCATCAATAGTCAGTTCTTGTGATGGTCTTTTTGCTTTTTCTGAAAAAAGACCAACTCTCTTGTTCTCTGTTTGTTCTTTTACAAAAACACAACCTGCCATGATGGTCCGTTTGCTTTTTCTGATGAACAACTCTCCTGCTTCCTGCTTATCTCTTGATGATGTAACCTGCTTTAGTGCAGAGCTTCTTTGCACATGAGAGGAGATTTGATCTTCTTTTCCTGGTTTTTAAAATGGAGAAGGTTTTTCGAAAAGCCTATCTTCATTAACTCCCTATCACTTCCTCTATCTTAGTTGAGAATTCTGACTTTTCAAAGTCAGAAAGTCACGGGGGGGTTCCTTTTGAGAAAAAATCATTCAAGCAAAAAATCTGCTGATTTGCGCTTTTGGGGTTGAGATCAGATGGTGAGAGTTTTTAGAAGCTGGGCCTTTTGATCCAAAGCTGGGTGCGTCAGATTTAATTGTCAATAATGGTAATTAATTTTTAGACCATGGTAATATTTGTAACCTGCCCAAAAAATGGTCTGGGCCATTTTAGCATTTTGGGTTGATTTCCAATTCCAATAGATACAAAGCCCAATCGATTTTTTTTGTTATGGGCCTTTTAACAAAATGGGATGGCGTGCAGAATTTTGGCCTAAACAATATTTCAAACATTCATGTGGAAAAAATGACGTACATCAATCAATCTGACCAGGTTTTTCAAAATAAACAGTTGCACTTCCATATCAGAATTCAAAATGCAAATCTAGTTTGTAAAAGGGAGATTGACGGCTTTACTCCTGGCTCACCTAATTTATTCACTAATATCCTTATTTTGAAACTCAATCACAGATGCCCCTTATAAAAACTCCCAATTGATAGCTTATTGCCCATCCTTCACTTATTTTTTTTTCTTCTGAGTCATTGCTCTCTGAAATACTCTCATCTCTCTAGTGTCTTCCTCTTCCTCTTCTTCCTTCTACCCCTCTTTCACTTTTGTTTAGTTGTTCTGAGCTCTCAAATCCTCTTTCACAATTTCTCTGTCTCACTCTCTCAGCCCTTCTCTCCTCTCTTATCTCTTTCACTCGCACCCACATCAACGACAACGACCTCACCCTTTCCACGTCCAGCTCTCACTCTCTGTCACCTTTTTCGACCTTCATGCATGGCGTCTCAAGTAGCCAGCTCGGCTTTTTCTCCTTCAAATTTGGGTTTTCTTCTCCTTGTTTCAATTTCATATATTGGTTTTGATTTTTGGTGCTTGATGTGAGTTCAAGTCCCTCCAAGTCAAATTTAAGTGATTGTACAGAAATTTGTTGAAACATAATTGTGGGTTTAATTTAAAATTTTACTCTCTAGGTTTACAATTAATATTTTCAGCTTGTGTAGAGAATGTTATTTCAGTGGGATTATACAAGAACTTTTTGAGGAATATTATGCTTGAATCTTGTTTATAAAATTTTGGGACTGTGCAACAAATTTTTCTCAATTTGTCTTCGGATTGTGCAACAAATTTTGGGTTTTCCGGTGAGGTTTGACTCGTAGCTCCTCTCTTCTTAGTTATCTCTTCCAACTCACAACTGATTCTTTTCGAGTTCTTTGGTGAGGTCTGCAATAAACATGCGATATACACGTAATAAACCGGCAATACACATGCAATACACAAGCAATACACATGTAATAAACATGCAATAAACATGTAATAAACAGGCAATAAACATGTAATATACATGCAATAAACATGCAATATACACACAATAAACAAGCAATACACACGCAATAAACACGCAATATACACGAAGGGAGAGAGTTTGTATTAGAGTTATCTTACTGAGCATGTTTATTACAATAAACAAGCAATATACAAGAAATAAATCTAAAATTTCTAAGTTTTTTTTATTGTCTTGTCATCGCATTGGTCCTGTATTGTTATTTTATCATTGTCGTATCACTGTTTTTTTCAAGTCTGTCTTGGAAAGTTTTTGTTGGGTTTCAGACAAATAAATGCTTCTGTTTCAAACAAAAATTTAAAGTCAATGCCAATCCACCCATTTCAAGAACAAATATTACAAATTGGGTTTGCAAACTCATTGGTGGTGCTTGTGGCTAATGATGTGGATGAGGAAGATGGGTCTTTGGACCTAGGAAAAGAAGAACATGGATAATTGGGAATTAGGGGTTGGGAATCAATGAGAGAGAGAGAGAGAGAGAGAGAGAGAGAGAGGATATGCAAAATTGGGATTTCATCTCAGATATAGCATATAAGAGAAGAGAAGAAGAAGAAGCAAAGAAGAAAGCAATTGGGGGTGTCATCTCAGAGATAGCAGATCATAGAAGAAGAAGAAGAAGAAGAAGAAGAAGAACCCACAATTATGTTTCAACAAATTTCTGTACAAACTCGCCCAAATTTGACTTAGAGGGACTTGAACTCATATCAAGTACCAAACAAAAGTTAGAGAGGGGCAGAAGGAAGAAGAGGAAGAGGAAGAGGAAGAGACTAGAGAGATGAGAGTATTTCATAGAGCTGGGAATCAATAAGTAAAGGATGGGCAATAGGCTGTCAATAGAGAGTTTTTATAGGAGGCATTTGTGATTGGATTTCAAAATAAGGATATTAGTGAATAAATTAGATGAGCTAGGAGTAAAGCCGCAAATTTCCCTTTTTTAAAACAATACCTACCCCTTGCCCTTGCATTAGACATGCCCTAACAATTTTCTAGCTTTATATTGACCCTTTGACTTGGGGACTTCGTCTTCTACGGTCTCTCTCTCTCTCTCTCTCTCTCTCTCTCTCTCTCTGAGTATCAGCAGCAGCGCAGCCACAATGGCCATCAGCATAGTAGACTATGAACTGCCATACGAAACCCACAATGAGTACGACGTGTCGTTTCACGGTGATCGGATCCACACTCTGGTCACTCACAGCTCGTCCATAGTGGATTCATGGCTCGCCCAAACCAAACTCCAGTCCCGAATCGTAGGGCTTGACGTGGAGTGGCGCCCCAACTTCAACCGTTCGATCGAAAACCCAGTGGCCACGCTGCAGCTCTGCGTGGGCCCCGATTGCCTGATCTACCAGCTCCTCCACACCCAGCACATTCCCCAGGCCCTCCACGCCTTCCTCGCTAATCGCAGCTACACATTCGTCGGCGTAGGTATCGGCAGCGACGTGGAGAAGCTCCTCCTTGACTACGGGCTGCACGTGGCCAATGCGGTTGATCTTGCGGTTTTCGCAGCGAATAGATTTCGTTCGAGTGAGCTGAGGAATGCTGGGTTGAAGGGATTGGCCAGGCAGATGCTGGGGAAGGAGGTTCAGAAGCCCAATAGGATCACCATGAGCAGATGGGACAATCAGTGGCTTACTTGTGACCAGGTTCAGTATGCTTGTGTTGATGCTTTTCTTTCCTTTGAGATTGGTAGGCATTTGAATGTTTGAAATATGGGTTTTCTTTTTCTATGTCTATGGATTTAGGTAGTGGGTTTTTAGATTGCAGGAGCTTTGGTAGTGGAATTGTTTCAAATTGGTTTCTTTATCTTGTTGGGAAACTTTAGAAATTGGGATCAGGATGCTGGTTTTACTTTCTATCTAATCAACCAGAATTTAGGGATTGGATATTATTATGGAACACTTTTGCTATTGAAGTCTTGTGTGCACTTACTTTTGAGCTTGTTTACAATGGCTTTGGGTTTTTCATGTGAGAGAAGTTGTAACTTTTGATATTAGTAGGATTGATTGGATTGGATTCGGATCCTATTAAAAGCAATATGCACAGTTTGTGATGTGTTTATGCTGGAATATTTCTTTCTGTAAACATTGAATCTGTGCCTTTTACTTGATCACTACAAAATAGGAATGATTATATTCTCCCTGGTGATGATTATTATGGGGATAATGTATTCAGAGCAACTCCAGAATGCTCTGGTTAGGAATTCCCATTAGAGCACCCATGAGTTTTTCTAGTGGTTGGTTTGGTAGTGTTAGTAGATTTTCTCATTGTATTATTAACAAAAGAAAAAGAGCCTAGCCCAGAAGAAGAGACAAAGGCACAAGATAAAATACCTAAGAAAAACCCAAAAGGGCAGGGCAGAGAAAGAACCGAGCTATTATTTGGATCCATATTTTGAGAGCTTGGATCTTCCTTTATTTGGTTTGCTCTACCATATCATAACAATTGAAACCACTGAAGGCTATCCTAAAATATACATTTACTAGCATAAGGTAGCAGAACCTTGCCCCTATTGATCTGTTGATGCTTTGTGTGTTTTAAGCAATATAGATAGATAGATATATCTATCCACTTTTAACATTCTAGCTTTGCCTTCCAAGTTTTAGTGTAAATGCCACACTTAGAGAATGGTCAAATATTAATCAATGAAATCATCACCTTGTAACCTCCCTTACCATTCCAAAAACACTATCTATCTTCTGCAATTACTGGTTTAATTAGTCACCATCAACTTCAATATGCCCAATATCGTTCATGCCAATAAAGCCACAACTAGTGATCAGTCCACTAAATTTGTTCCCCCATATTTCCTACTACTCTATTAATTAATTGAAAGATGAATGATTTCCAGCATGAAGACTTGAAAAGCTCCATAATGGATTGAAAATGGAACTCTTAATCTTCTTTTTTCTTTATTTCTTGCCCTGATTCTTTGTGACATTGATCGCTGATTTGAGTTTATTAATGTTAGGATTTATAGCAAATATGATATTACCAGCTGTCCAATTTTGAGTATTCTCATGGCTTCATTTGGTATGAGATTTGGTTTATATATGTAGTGTGTGTGTGTGTGTGTGTGTACCTCTTTTCACTATCCTCAAGCGGCTAAAAAAACTAACACCACATATTTGTATAAAACATTTTTTTGAAAATTAAAAAAATCTAGAGTAGGGTAAGCTCGAATTTGCGTGTGAAGAAAAACTATTTTCTTCTTTTCTTCGTGCACTATCCTTGATCTGTTAAGAACCTATCAGTTTCCCCCGTCTTCAATCTAGTACTTCACATAGATTTTCACTAGCCTCCCTTTGCCCTGGTAGCTGTGCATCTCCTTATCCTTCATCTCTCCTTCCCATCAGAACCACACAGAAAAGAGATTTTTGGATGAAATCGATTGGTTTGTATGCGCATGAATCATATGAGCTTGATGGATGAAATCGATTGGTTTGTGGGCATGAATTATATGAGCTCACACTTGAAGTTTCAAAGTGACTGAACTGGAATTCTTGTACACTTTCGTCTGAGATCTTTAGGGCCTGTTGGGTGTTCAACTTGAATCCAATTTTTTAAACTCAAAAACAGAAACAAAGAAAACCTGTTTGGTAGCCTTATTTTTTAAAAATTCAAACTCAAGAACAAATAAAAAAACCCCAATTATTAAAAACAAAAATATATGTTTTTTCAATTTTTTTTTCAAACAACCCACAAGTTCTCAAATTTTTAAGATTTGAAAACAGTTTTCAAGTTGCATATCAAACAAGTTTTTGAATCTTAAAAATAGATTTAAGAACTCTTTGTTTTTAAGAAAAGTCAAAGTTTTTGAATTCTCTATTTGATTAGGATACCAAACTCCCCTTTAGGTACCTTTCATCTTGTTTGGCATCATCTCGGAGAATAAAATAACCTAAGGATTGGAGAAAAAATAAAAAGAAGAAACAGTCTTTCTCGTAGAAATAATTTGACATTCTAATCCAACTATAGAAAATTTTGCTTTGCAGTCTTTAGGGAAGAAAAATTTATTCCAATTTTGTTTTTTATTACCCTTAAAGATTGAATTTTGAAAAAATCACAAAGGTTTTTTGAGAGAAATTTCCGTTTTTAACAATTTCACAACGCCCAATCATCTCTTACATTTTCCTGCAAATGACTCAATTAAAAATGGATTTTGGAATCTTTGGGCCCTTGTTGTGAAAACTTTTAGATAATTTATTTTTCACAATAAAAAGTTCCAGATTTTGTGCCTTTAAAAATTTCCACCCATTGTAGCATAGGTTTGTTTGCGATTTCAAAAAGAAGTAAAAATCATAGAATAGAGGCAGAGGGGAAATTGCTTCAGATTTTCAAGTGGGTCTTTTTGTCCTGCAGAAGAAGAGTTAAAATTGCTTAGAAAATAGAGTACTTATAAGTGAGAAACGCCAACAAGGTCTAGCCCAATAGAAAATGACCATAATTTGTAGACCAGAGGTCTCAGGTGTTGAAGAATATAAGTCTCGCATCGGAAACTTGACTAAATAAAATAAAATATATAATGAATGGTTCCACTACTAATATTACCAAGGTCTTTTGTGATAAAACCCTACACCTACTGGGCTTTGTAAGTGGTTAAGTCGGGGACAATATCGGTGTTAGTAGTGTGCATTGGCTCGTCTCTCTAAATTTAACATCACATTTGAATCCCTACGAACAATTTTTTCAACGATCCAAATCATCTATTTCTTAGGTCTTTATTCATAGATCACCCTTACAATTTCGATGGATATATTGGGTTATTATCAATAACAATAAAAATTGAATAAAAACCAAGGAAATTGTAAGAAAAATTTGGAAATTTTTCTTGAAACTTTGGAGGATATTTATTTAGTAAATTATCTATTACTTAATCACAGAAGATTGGAAGGAAATGCATTGCATGACGGGTTTAACTGATTTAAGTTGATTATATAGCAATATTTAGGACAAATATTGCTAAAGTGTGAGAGAAATTATCGACATCGATATTTTCTGATATTGTAGTCGATATTATCAATATTTAAACAATATGTGTATGGATACGTTCCAAACTATCATTGACCCGAAAAAAAGATAATATCTTTGATATTTCATCAATATTATCAATATTTTAAACTATGATCCAAAGTGATGTTGCATTTCCCCAACTCTTGGATTCTTAATTTTAACCTGTTACCTATTTTAAATATCTCAAACGGCTAAAAACCTAACTCCATAAATTTCTATAAAACATTTTTTTTTAAGTAAAAAAAAATTAATAATAAAAAAAATCTTAGAGTAGGGTACTCTCAACACCTTCCTTGGTTCTCATATTTTCAACATCATAATTATGAATTGAGAAAACTTAAATAAACTAACAAACACAGCAGTAGAATGTGATTAGCCCACTTTGTTTTATATTAAATCATGTACGCAAAATCTAATCAGTTTCCACTCACAAAGGATAATCAAAGACGCCTCTATAAATGTGTACCTACAATTATAGAGGTATACAAGCGATTCTTAGCAAGCAATATCAAGTATTATTTTCCATTTCTACATTTTCTCCTTACAAAAATCTCCAATTACATTGCTAGTTTTGGTCTAACAATTTCAAGATGAGGTTGCTGTTACTCTTAGGTGTTTTGTTTGCAGTTGTAGCAATTTTTTTCTTCCCTTCTGAGGCCGATGCCAACAAATTGGTTCCGAAAGAGGGAAGGAAAGAAAAGATTGGCCATCATGTCCTAGTGAACGCCCATACTGGCAGAAAGCTAGATGGTGAAAATGAACAAACTGCGGAAAATGGCGGCGGTGATAGCGGAGACAACAAAGATGGAGATAGTGGTGACGGTGATGATAATGGAGGCAATGAAAATGGAGAGAGTGATGGTAGTGATGGTACTGAGAATGGAGATGGAGAGAGTGATGGTAGTGATGGTACTGAGAACGGAGGAGAGAGTGATGGTAGTGATGGTACTGAGAACGGAGATGGAGGGAGTGATGGTAGTGAGAACGGAGGCAATGAAGATGGAGAGAGTGGTAGTGGTAATGGAGGGAATGAAGACGGAGAAAATGGTGGCAGCGGAGATAGTGCTGAGGGTGGTGATAACGGAGGAGGCAATGAGAATGGGGATAGTGCTGAGGGTGGTGATAACGGAGGAGGGAATGAAGATGGGGAGAGTGGTGACAACGGGAATAGTGATAACGGAGGAGGGAATGAAGATGGGGAGAGTGGTGACAACGGGAATAGTGCCGAGGGTGGTGATAACGGAGGAGGGAATGAAGATGGAGAGAGTGGTGACAACGGGAATAGTGCCGAGGGTGGTGATAACGGAGGAGGGAATGAAGATGGAGAGAGTGGTGACAACGGGAATAGTGCCGAGGGTGGTGATAACGGAGGAGGGAATGAAGATGGGGAGAGTGGTGACAACGGGGATAGTGCCGAGGGTGGTGATGACGGAGAAGGGAATGCAGATGGGGAGAATGGTGACAACGGGGATAGTGCCGAGGGTGGTGATAACGAAGGAAATGAAGATGGAGGCGATGCGGCTTTCAGAAAATCAACTAAACATAGCCCAGAAGTTTCCCATTAATGTTATTAACTTTGAGATGAAGATAAAAGACATGCATATATATAAATAAATAAAGCGTGTATAAAGCCATTAGAAGAGCTGATTAAAGCACGCCATGCATGTCTCTTCAAATTTATGATGAAATCGCTATCTTACCAAATGTTTAAAATGAATGAGAAAGTACGGGTATTGTGTTATTGGGAAATTGATGTTATCTTAGTTTTTTCTTTGTCAAGGCTCACTTCGTGTTTAGTTTTTATACTTTGTGCTTGAGATATATGGGGAAAGTATATGGGGAAAAGAGGGAGGAAGAAGGGTGGTGGGGCGGAGGAGTAAGAAATGAAGGAGAACGTAAGAAAATAAGAAAAAACAATTTGAGACTGAAAACAACCTAAAATAGTAGTTTTCCGTTTTCATTTTTTGTACCCATATACATTTTTCCCACATCCTTCCCATCATCATTTATCCACCTTTCTATATCCATTATTTCTCCCATGTATTTCCCTCGTATTACACAAAAGAAAAAAAAATGAAATGGTTACCAAATGAAATAGTCGTAATTCTGGCCAGAGTCGTTCTTTTGGCTACTCTTTTGTTGCTTTCTTTTCACATATCTCAGTTCTGATAGGCTATAATCGAGCTCTCTGATAGAAGTTGAACTTTCCAGACGTTCTATTAGGGTTTTACATTGCTAATAGTGGTACTCTCGCAAATTAATACGATCTTTTTGGCCTATTTCAGAGGCTGTGAGATTTGGGGTAAATAGTATTTTTATCAACAACAGCTTGTAGATAAACCCTATCATTTGGCTTACATGTTTGGATTATTTATTTACCTTCACTATAATTCTCTAAGAACACTTGAGATTAACTTTCGCGCTCATCATGAAAATTGTTTGTTTCGTATTACAGTTCTACATAGTTGAGTCTTCTGGAAGTCTTCCAGACACTTTGGACATTGGAGATGTTTCTGAATCTGGGTTGCCGCCGGCAGTACATAGAAAATGAAGAATTTAGCAGTTGTTTGATACCGTCATCTCCTGTTTGTTTTTGTGGAAAACAAGAAAAATGTCAGCTGTTTTACCTTGACATGTTTGGTTTACGGGCAACAAATATATAAACAGAAGATCTTCTCTTGGGGACATGGACATCATCCACACAGTTGTTTGATTATGGTTGTTTGGCTTCTTATATGCCTGTCCTTAATCTCTGATTTTTCTCAACACTTTCGGGTTTTATGGGCCGACAGCTCACTGTTCAAACGTCATGCCACTGTACAGTTTTCTGCAATGAAAGTTATGTGCTTCTTCCACCCTTCTGTTTTCATGAAGGGAAAGATTGAGGCTAAGCCTAAAGGCCTCGCCCATGGATTTTTTCTGTTCTTTTTTTTCCAAGAAATTCCACTTAATATTTTTTTATTTCTAAACCCCCCCGATGTGGGACTATTTTAACTTTATTACAGGCTGGGAATGTTGACAACAAAGGAGTGCAATGGGGATGCTGGCTCCTCTTCTGACCCCAGGAGACAACAGTGTTTTGGAGGAAAAGTTGGGTCCCTAGAGGTACCACCTGAATTCATATATCTTCTGGATTCTTCGGCAAAATAGAAACAAGGTGATTTTTGAAGCATGTTATCAAACAGAGGATATGATTTTTAATAGAGCTGTGCAGATGGCTGAGAAATATGGAGATCTCATGAGAAGAGATTCTACTGCAGCTGTTGATAAGGCTTCCAAATTGTCTTCCCCTCCTGTTGGTATGTTTAAACTCAATGTAGATGCTGCTTCGGGTGTGGGTGGAATTGGTGCTGTCATTAGAAATGACAACGGGGAAGCAATGGCGGCTATGGCCCTTCCCTTTGAAACCGCCACCTCCACCAAGCATGCCGAGATTATGGCACGTCAATTCGGGTTGAACTTTGCTTGGGATGCTAGATCCTCCTCTGTCACGCTTGAGTCGGATTCACAAGCAGTGATCAATAGTATAAATTCTGACGAGGATGAGTCCTTTGCCCCAGAAGGGCATCTTATTGATGGTGTGAAGAGGAGTTTACAACAGTTTCAGAATGCTACTCTCTTTTATTCCAAGGGGATGTATTCAAGTAGCTCATTTCTTAGCTAAACATGCTTTAAACTGCATATAAATTGTTACTTGGATAGAAGAGGTTCCCTGGTGGTTGGAGGCTTTCCTTATTGATGATACTGTTGCATCCTCCTAATTGAGTTTAATGAATTCGGAGTTCCTTCTCATTGGGTAAAATGAAATTTACAGAGGGCAAGTGCCAGAACAAAAAATATTGACCATTGATGTGAAGCCAGGATGCAAGAAGGGAACCAAGATTGCATGTCCAGATAAAGGCAACGAGCAGCTTGGCCAGCTGCCAGCAGACGTTGATTTTGTGATTGATCATGAGAAACCCCATGACACATTCAAGAGAGACGGCAAATCACCTCATTGTGATCCACAACGGTGCATCTCACCAAGCTCGATGGTTGTGATCTACCCATCCCGGTGCCTGACACTCTGAGCCTGGGCTACGACCTTCTCGTTGCCGAGGAGGGCATGCCAATACCAACAGTTTGGGTAGCTAACATTCAAGTCAAAGCTGCATTTGTTTAGTTTGTATATTTTGTTGTCAGCAATCACTAGGGTTCATGTATTGTGTTATTGCTTGTATCCTTGCAAGTTCTTTTTTAGTTTTGGCAATATCCTGAACTCTTCTGTATTTTGCACAATATAGTTTCCTGTTCTTCAGATTCTACATGATGCCCTAAGAAAACAAGGCAGATGCACTGAATCAATCTCAACCATTGATCTGTATTCAGAATAAAAAAATCTTAGATCAAAATTGGTCCCCAGAATATTTTGTATATTTTGGGTGTTATCCATTGCCTTAGATTTTGCTTAAAATGGTGGGCAGCCCAAGGATTTCAGCATAACTAGCTACCTCAAAAAATTTCTTCTTCTTTTTTGGGCCATTAGATCCTGTGCAGTCGGGATAACCATCAAAGTTCAAAACAAGAAGCAAACGAATACTTTGCCGTCACTCTATAACATGATGCCTTTCAGGTTAAAACCAACTAAAGTTAAATACAAAGTTAATCTTAAGGCATGCTTTTTCATCGCAAAAAGTTTCAACCACCTTCTTATTTCCGTTCTAAGATCAATAAAGTTTCATTACGGTAGCCTAAACATGAAAGTAATTTATGGGCTAAACAAAAGTTGTGCAGCAAATAATGCCTACGTTCGGGTTAGCAACCGTAGCTAGAATAATAGCTCGTGTTTTTGTTCGAAAAGACTACATAACCCAGTAGAACACTAGTGCTTACAGAAGAAAAAGATCTTCAGAATACAAAGAAAAGATTGAACTTTACATATGATAAAAATGAGAAAATCTAAAACCCTCTGCTTTTAGGAGCATTTGGTCGCCAGGCTAATCCTGACTGAGCAGCTGCTCCTCTATCGGGTTCTCCATAAAACTGACCAGCTTCGGGCTGACAACTTAGATTACTTGCATACCTCCCACCCCCTTGTACTGGTGGAGCCCACTGGGGACTTTGCTGCCAAGAGAGATTAGGGTTTTGTAAGTTTGGTGCCACATTCATTGTGGGTTGAAGAGATTGCAATGGCTGCTGCGGCTGTACTAAACCCATATGTTGTTGGTTTGGCAAATGGGGTCGCAACATTGGCTGCTGCTGGTAATTATTCACCGGCCGCTGTTGCGGTGGCTGGTACTGGGTTAGGGATTCTGTGGGCGCATTAGGCTGCCACTCTGGGATGTCATCATCATCATCATTCCACGGCTGAACCGTGACACCAACACTACTGGCCTGATACGTACTACTATTGTTTTGCCCATATTTTTGTATCAGCTCTCTCATTTGATCTACAGGGCGAGAAGGGGTATGGGACTTGGGGTATACTGGGGCTGACACTCCAGGCCCCCTAGAGGGCCTTTGGGCAGAATACTGAGGCAGAGATGGATTTGCTCCACCACTAAAATTGAACTCTGGAAGGTCATCTTCATCCCGAGAAGCTCCGGGGCCAAACCCGGGAGGGACATCGTCATCATCATCATGTGCAGATCTAGTGTTGGTAGGGGGTACAGCCCGAGCCTGGGCGGGTTTGGAAGTGTAATTGGTGTTCGAATTTGTATCATGTCTCCTAGAACTAGTAGTAGTAGAAGAATAGTGTTGCTTTTTTGAAATGTGCTTGTGGTGCGATGATGATTTTGGTGAAGTTAATTTTCTCCACACAATAACACCAACAAGACCATTATCTATAGTGTTAAGTGCCTCAATGTGTTCCTTCTGAATGATCTTGCTGAGCATGTCAAAGGTTTTATTATGGGGAGGGCAAAAATAAATTTCCACTCCAAAACAAGGCTCAGAAAAACCAACTCTCTCATCCACAATGTACGATTCTCCCACCTGCAGCGGAATAAATTTTCGATATGAAAAAGAACCTCAACTTGCAACCAGAGATCATATATAGATACATCTATTAGATATATCAGTATGAATGTTACCTCACGAAGGCTTGCACATTCAGTTTCTGATGAACCCTCTTTAGGAACAAAATGCACGACCTGCAAAAATTAAAGGAAAAAAAAAAGTTAATCTATAGCTTACCCATACAAATAAAATTCATACATAATTACTGCGATTTTTTTTTATGGTTCTTTCTAGTAACTATCTTATAAATCTGCTCGTCGTCGATTACTGGGAGAGCCATTTCCCACAAAGGTCCTATGCAGTTCATATTCTCATTCAAGTTGCTGAAACTTATAATAGCACAATGTTTTCAAGTTTAATTTGCTAAACCAAAATAAAGGCTGCAAATGCTAATGCAAATGATCGAAGACAATCCTGCTAAATCTCTTGAGAACAATTCAGGCACAACACAGGTTAACATATATGACTTGACTCAATCTTAGAGTTTGTTCAACAACACTGTCCAGACAAATGCAAACATAATGTCATAGATATTGCTCTTTATGTTAGAACTAATTGAAGCCCAAAAAAGACAAAAATTTCTTTAATTTTATATTTGCAGAGTCTAAGAACTGGTAACTCTTCCCAGAAAAAAGGCAACGCTGCACCAATGGAAAAATCAATGAAACACCAAAACAAACATTTGTTTATATAATTTTTCCTTTTTCAAGACATTATAATATGACATAATACGGGTAGTGTTAAACCCAAAAAACAAAAAAACAAAAACAGCTTTGAGATACCATGACAGCACGGCTTCGTGATTGTGGAAGCTCTTGCAGGAATTTCTCAAAAGCATCAAGTCTGACTCTGCCCTTGATATCGAGAAAACCAGGCCACTCTTTTGCAGAGGTTTTTTCACCACTGCAACGGAAAAAGTTGGATTAGCATAAATCAGAAATGAAAACATAAAGTTTCATACAAACTACAGAATATTTGAAAAAATTACATTTGCCAATATATGCGTCCACACATGTATGTGATACACACCAAAACACCCTTTCTTGTCTCATGCAATATTATCAAGCATAAATAATTTTAGGGTAAATTTTACTTTACTACCCAGAAGTTTCCCGAGTTTTAGACTTTACTACCAAAAGTTTTTTTCGTGTCAATTCATACCCAAAGTATGGTTTTTCTACCACTTTCATAATTCTGTTAGTTTGACCGTCAAATTTTCCATCATACGATGACATAGCAATCATGGGCCCATGTGCATTCACTTATATTGACCCCCCCCCCCCCCCCCCCCCCCAAAAAACTTTCAGCACACCCATCCCACCCCCAAAAAAACATGAACTGTGACCATCAAACCAGACCCCACCTGCAACACACAACCACCTCCAGCATATCTCAGCACGAGTCCGACATGAACTTCGAGTTCCAAGTCCATATGAAGCCAACCCAGATCTGGGCTTTTGGCAGACTTTTGAGATTCTAAGAGAGAGAGGGTGGGACTGCGTTCATGGTTCACGTCCTCTTTTGTGAATCTTTGAATCTGATCTGCCGGGTTTGTTTGTTTTAATCGTTTCTTTTGCTTGACTGGGTTTGATTAATTGAAAAGAAGAAACCAAGTTCAATGAATAGAAGAAAAACAATAACTTTTTTCAGGGTTTGACTAATTGAAGGAGAAGGAAAAGGTGCCTGGATATGGATTGATTCAATCGATGGAGTAGGTTGGTGAAGACTGGAATGAGAGAAAGAGAGAGAGGGTGAGTCTGAGGAAAAAAGGAGTAAATCTTTTTTTGATTTCCTATTTTTTCCTTGTTGCGAAATTCAGAAAAGGAAGAGGAGGAGGAGGAGGAGGAGGAGGAGAGAGAGGGGGGGGGGAGGAGGAGAGGGAGAGGAGAAGAGATACTTTTTTTATTACAAATTTTGGGTACAAAGTTGACACCAAAAAAATTTGGGTACGAAGTTGATGTGAAAAAAGCTTTAGGTAGTAAAGTCTAAAACTCGGGCCAGGTAGTAAAGTGAAATTTACCCATAATTTACCATTGCAGCCGATCTTTTAAATTTACCTATCTTCCATCTAGTATCACTTAAACTTTGTTACTTAAGTTAAAGCAGCATTACTAGCAATGTGTCTGGCCCTCTATATGCATCATCCAATCACCCACGGATTACCAAAAAGAAGAGGGAGCAGGATATGAACAAATTAGAACATCTACTACAAACCAGCCTGCAGACTGCAAAGTACACAATATCCTGTCCACCTATATTATACTCTGGTACAGCCTAGTCCACAAGTAAATTTAACTTCAAAAAGTGTTTCGAGTTATGACTGACCATTATTCGTGATTTAAATAAGAAAGTTGAATGAAAGAGCAGTACACCAATGCAGTGGAAAAGAGAATCTGCCGTGAACAAATGTCAAGCCAGAAATGCAGGACAAGTCAAGAACAATGTACAACAATTCTAATGTTTGATATAAATGACAAACCTTTTATAGATGCCAATAACAGAGGCCATGGGTGAGAGATTCAGCTGGAGGGAGCCATTCCATACACGTTCACCACCCTTTGGTGTGCCAAGAGGTCTAGATACTGATTTGTCAGGACTGCCACTGGATTTCACATCGGCACAAACGTTGCGGGATTTTGTATCAGCATGGTCACTGGTTTTTATCACAGCATGACTGCCACTGGTTTTCAAGTCAGCATCCGACTTTGAATCTGTTGTATCAATTTCATCAAGCTTTTGTGGAGGGACATCAACAGTGTTTTTGGGACTCAGAACCGAAGGCTTCGATTCAGAGCCTGTCTCAGAATCATCCTTGTCTGAGATGGGTGTCACTTTCTCAGGTAAAATCTCAAATGGCGGCTCTGTATCCAGGGATTCCATGAACTCATCTAGGGAAACAATTGGAGGAAGATCCTTCAATCCATCATCCACCATAAGCCCTTGCATAAAATCAGTCGCTTCAGTAGAAGGAATAGTAAAGGTGCATTGAGTAGTCTTGTCTTCTGTAGTGCTCTTCTCACCTGAGGCATTCCCTTCGTCCTTGGGTTTATCAGGTTTCAAAGGGGTAGACACTTCCATCTCCTTGCTTCTTGGTAGGCTCTGAGCATGTGAAGTTGTATCAACTGGAACCTCCACTGAAGCACTATCATATTGTTCAACTTCAACTTCACCCTTATGTGTTTTTTTCACTAAACGTCTCATATCAACTTCTGAATCTGGTAAAACAACCATTTGGGCAAGCTCTTCAGCCTTTGCCATTCGCCACTCAGAAAGCTCCTTTGAAGCAAGTTCCTCTGCTGTCATAGAACATAACCGTTCTGGAGGTATTTCTCCAGACATAACTCTCTCTCTTAGTTCTGGATTATTACGGTCTTTAGATTGAACAAAAGGGACCTTCCCTTCTCTTTATACTTCTTATTCACACCTCCAAATAATTTGAAAAGTTCTGCTTCAATTCTAGAGGCCAACTCTTCTGGAGATTGAACTGCTTGTTCTTCTGGGCGTCTATCCATCTCCTCATGATCCAACTTCTGTTTTTCAGCAGGTTGAATGTCTTTTCTCTCTGTCATTTCCATCTCAGAATCCAATACCCAGGAGAGACCATTTCCCTGCAAAAGTTCATCTTTCACAAACAAGTTGTCATTAAATGAAACATCTTCATAACGCAGAATATTACTTGATTGGAATTCCTTGCCATCGCATATTGGTGTCAATGCAGAAGCACTTGTAGTTGCATCAGCCAAAATCATTTGGCCTGCACCTTCACCATCATCACTTTTCCTAATGGAACAAGTTTCACTGGAAGTGAAATTCTCCTTAGGCTCTTTAGAGTCAGTGTAAGCAGCATCAGCGGCAGGTTGGGGATTCTCCTGTGTACTCCCCTGAATTCCTCCTGCCTCACCCTGAGACTTACTCCCTGAATCCACACATTTATCTTGCTGCTGATTAACCAACGCCAATGCAGCAGCTAAAGATTCCCTCATTTTGGACCTTACAGATTCAAATGATTCTTTTTGAATCTTGGGAGATGGTTGTGACTGCAGCATTTGAGTTTTTTGACTCGAAGACCGCTGTGACACAGACCTACCAGAAAAGGATTCCATCTTCACCATTTTCTTATTTGGGGCTAGCAAATGAGGTGATCCTGGAGCATTTTGCACAGATCCCCCGGATTCTATCTTTACCATTCTCTTATTTGGCGCTGGCAAATGAGGAGATAATGGGGCATTGTGCACAGATTCCATTTGTACAGATCTTCTGTTTGCTGCAGGCGCTTGCTGCAACCATGGTCTATGTTCCATATGTGCCACTCGCTTGTTTAGCATTGACAACTGATGTGTTGCTGGATTATCGGACATGAGTTCCGAAGGTGCCTTTCGCTTAACTGATCCCAACAACTGATGTGATTCCAAATTCTTAGGGAAGGATCCAATCTCTCCCAGATGATTGCTAGGTGATAAAAGTTTCTGTGGACCATGAGTTCCATTTGAATTGGCAATCTGTCCCATTTGCGAGTATGTCATTGATAAGCCATGCAACCTTGGATTATCAGGCACAGGTTCCAGCATCAGTCCCATTTGTTTGTTTGGTATCGAAAGCTGCTGTGATTCGGAATTACTAGATACAGAATTCATCCCTCCCATTTGAATTTCTGGTACTATTGAATCCACATCTTTCATCATGGGTTCCAGCTGACCCATTTCCATGCTTGATATTAGCAACTGCGGTGACAGAAGGTTGATTGGCATGCTAGATTAGCAACATAACCACCTAGAAATTTCCTGCACCGTACAGTTCGCTCTTACCCTTTAAGAGGTGTCACTCAAAACAGAAAAACACAAACTGCAAAAGAAAAGAACAAAAATAAACTTATCAGAGCATGCTCTTCCTTTAACAACTAAAAACAATTCAAAACTCAGTTCGCAGCAATTTAGACAAAAACAATACAAAGGCAAATAAAGAAAGGAGTGCAAAGATCAACATAGGCAAAGAATTGCAAAGTATACTATCGTTAGGTGAATTTCAGCAGCAAAATCAGTGGGTTGAAAGTACAAATAAAGTTTTATCAAGCAAAATTCTACTTAATTACAAATATAATTAGGGTTGCCGAACCCAAATAACCAAACCGCCTACCGACCGACGGCGGCTGGAATGGCTAAAAATTGGGAACCGCCACCGAACCGCAAAATCGGTTTCGGTAACGCCGTTGTAAAAGAGAGGAAGGCAGTGGCTGCCATGGGTGAGAGAATACCAGATCTGCGCGGTGGCAGAGAGAGCGGCGGCGAATCAACCTTCACGCAAACCAATATCCTCCTCGCGATGAAGCTCGCCGGCGTCGAGGTAGAGGAGTATGGTGTATGGGCAGTGGGAAGAGGGGGAGAAGAGGGAGAGAGATCGATACAGCGAGAAAGAGTAGAGGAAGAAGACGACTTGTGACCAAAAAAGGAAGAAGACGACCAAAATTTAATAAATAAATAAATAACCAAAGAGAGAGAAAGAGAAGGATGAGGGGCGGCTAAAGAAAAGGGTGTTAGGGTTAAAAAGTGTTAGGGTAGGGTTTTATATAAAAGAAAAAAAACTTAATCCCAAAAACACCGTCAAAACAAAATAAATAATCTCTTGCAAAATTTCATGTACAGAAAATAAAACATTTTAAAATTTAGAAAAGAAGAAAAAGATAAAAACAAAACAAGCAACAAGCAGTTATCATTAAAAAAAAAGGCTTATTTACTATAGTACCCCTGAAACTTAAGTCAAATCTCACTTTATCCCTCAAAGTTAAAATGGCCAATTTAACCATTTTGACCATGATTTTGTGTTCCACTTTCCCCCCCACCGTTAATGTCATCCAAAAGACCGTCAAGAATGCTGATGTGGTCATTTGGTGAGCATAGTTAGCGTCCTATGTGGCAAAGTGGAACCCACATGCTTCTAAAATCGAAATTAATAAAAATTCTTTACTTCTAAGCAGAGCTCATGTGTCTAATGACATTGTGCCACGTAGATTTGAATAAATTAAAAATCTGCAACTTCCACCCTTCACCCTCCCCCTCCATCTCTCTCTGTTCTTTCTCCCTCCCTCTCCCTCTGGTCGCTTTCTCATCTAAGAAGGTCTTCGGGTCCAAACCGGTGGGAGAGCAAATGGATAAGCAGGTCAAACCCACATACCATATGTCATTGTTCCTTCGTCTCTCCCAACCACTAAAACCCTTTCGTTTACTCATAATATTTCACCTAAAGCTTCAATCTTTTGTGGGTAAATGAGATGTTGGACCAAAAGATTAGAATGAAGCTCTTGCCTAACAAAAATGGAAGATCAGTACCCCAATTAGAAAAACAAAAACAAAAAAACAAAAGAGCTTCTTTTACAAAAATTGCAAATGGGTTCTCTGGCTCTCCATGTCCTTGTACTTCTTCAACTCCTACCTCATCATCAATCACCCCAATCAGAACAACAACAAACCCACCTCCCTTTCCAAAACTCATTTCTCAAGTGTATCCACAACCAATAACATCGTTAATAACCCAATTTCTTTAATAATAATATTTAAAAAAAAACCCATCTTTTTCTTTTTCTAAGTTCTAGACTCAGATTGGGTTGATGTTGGTGACTAGGAACAAGCGTCTTTGACGGATTAGTTGTTGGATGATTTTTATTATCGATAGAGAGGGGGAAGATTAGGGGAGAGAGGAGAGTAGGCTGGGCTGGGAGGGATGGTGGTGGCTATGTAGAGAAGATGGTTACTGCTATTTTTATTTTTATTTTAATCTAGGCTCTTATAAATATTTTTTTAATTATTTTAAAAGACTAGAATATTTTATTATGTTGTGGACTCCATTTTGCCACATCATCCACTCAAATAGGTGGGTAAATAAGCCACAAATATGAAATTACTTAAACACCCTTGTCATGTCAACATTTTATACAGTCTTTTGGATGGCATTAATGGTGTGGGGTAAAGTGGAACACAAAATCACGGTCAAAGGGGTTAAGTGGGCCACTTTAACTTTAGGAGGGTAAAGTGAGATTTGATCGAAGTTCAGGGGATACTACAGTAAATAAGCCTTAAAAGGCCAAAAGTCACTTTTTGTCCATGTAATTTGGCACTTCAACCACTTCCGACACTATAGTTTCAATTCCGTCAATTTTGCCATTGCAATTTCTTATTGTAGCAAATCAATGACATGTTAGTATTCTTGCCAATTTCTTTAACGATGCAAGTGGGCAATTTCGTTAACCCAAAACCCTTGAGCATAAAAACTTGTCTGAAATTCTTCCCATTTCATATTAGGGCTCAAAATTCAACCACTAATCCCAATTTTTTAAGAACCCTAAACCCAAATGACCAATTTCAAGCCCTAATATGAAATGAGGGGAGTTTCAAACGAGCTTGTCCTTGAATTGCTACAAATACGAAATTACAAGGTCAAAATTGGCGAAATTGAAACTATAGGGTCAAAAGTGGTTGAAGTGTCAAACTACAGGGACCAAAAATGACTTTTAGCCTAATAAAAAAACCCAATTGCTCTCTCCTTGTGTGAGTCCTTAAGGAAAACTCCATACAGGGGAGGAGGAAGAAGCATTATTGTCCCTCCTCCCCCTCCTCTCTTCTCGTCTTTTCCTTTTAGGCTAGTGAATAAGTCCACTAAGATCTTCTGAATAAAAAGCCTCTTGTGGTGATTTCTTCTGAGCTATGCTTAGATTGAAGTTCCCCACCACCCTTTTTGATTTATGTTCTCAATCAAATTCTTCACCCAAAACCTGCTCTCTAATGCTACTCATGTCCTCTAAATTTGATTCTACATTGTCTTTGACGGAGGTTATTGCAAATCACCCAATTGTTATTTGGCAGGGTTGTTGTTTTCGTTTATTTGTTCGCTATTATGCATAGGTAGATCGTTGAAATCATATTTTCTCCATATCTGTTAGTGTGGCCCAGATGATGCTTCTTTAGGTCGTGGTGGTAGGGTTCGTTTAGGCTCATGATGGGTTTGTGGGCTTTGTTTAGGCTTATGGTTAATTATGGTGATGTAGGTGTGGAAACACATATTTTGCAAGCCAATAAGAAGACGACACGTGGAAAAGAAATCCTTTTTAATTCGGGAAATTATCTTTGATTTAAGATAGGAATATCTCCCTAAATCAAGGAACCGATGTCTACCAAATCTCTTGGATTAATTCTTATCATCTTTTTAGGAAAAAATAATCCTAACCAAAGAAAGATTATTCTCCCAAAAACCCTAGCAAACAAGGAGCCTATAAATACATGGCTACACAAGGCATTCAAGGTAATTCCAAAAACCCTAGAGAAATCACTCACTCACTCACTCACACTCTCTCTCTCTCTCTCTCTCTCTCTCTCTCTCTCTCTCTCTCTCTCACCACACGGCTAAGGCCACTTGGCTCTCCCCGTGGTAGAAAACCTCATCCACTTTAACTATTGTCGTATCTTTTTCAAGGTCCAATTGAACTAACTTAGACATTAGAGGGCTTTTGGCCAACACCCCCCCAGGTGTGGTATATTTACTCATATTTATTTCGCAAGGATCGAGGAAGAGAGAGAAGGAAGATCGAAGCTCGATGAATCAACCTGTGAATATTCCTCGTGCGGAAATTTGCTCAAACATATTTGGTGCTTTCATTGAGAGCAAGAGTTATACTCAGCGCGTGTTCTTGAATCAAAGGAATATGTTTCCTCCTATTCATCACTCAACCGAAGCCTTCCAAACAACCATAGTTGGAAGCATGCACAAGAAGTTAGCTGGCCTCGAAGAAGAAATCGATGACGAGCCAAGGCATCATATTTCGTAGTCCCGAGACCTAGACCGTGGCTCCACCTCCTTGCCCCCTAGTCATGAGCACTGGTCCTCCTTCCATGGCCAGAGCCGCACCCCTTCTCCATGGTACCGTGGCCATAAGCACAGCTCCACCTCCCGTCATAAGGGCTAAAACCGAGCAACAGCAACAAAGGTCCAGCAACCATCTGCTCGACCCCACGGTCGGATCCGACGCATATCACCAAGGTGGTACCTCCAATCACGGCCATCTTGGCGCCACCACCAATTTTGGCTTCTTTTTGGAACAACTACAACCATTCCATCATTTGCCACCACGTTCAATGTTTGCTCTCGTGTTCATCTCAAATGACACCCTACCCCGTGTGCAGTTGGGCTCCACACGATTCTCTCCTCCATATTCAAGCAATCAAGCAAACCCCAGCATTAAAGTAGACCAGCTAGCTCAAAGAATAGATGACCAAAATATTTCTCCTCAACATTTTATACTCGTCATTTGCCAAATAGAGAGCACCATGATAGAGATTGGCTAATGTTGATAGGACCTGACCCGAATTCCCCCAAATCATCTTTAATCAAGAATTGAGTCAACTAAGACTCAAACCAACTCAAGCAACCTTGTAACCTAGAAGTCAAAGTTCACCAAGAATCAAAAGAAACAATTTGTCAGACGTACCTGAAACGTCTAACGAGGTCACCCACGTTGAAGAGGTCTCACTCCATAACGGAACACACTACACTACCCAATACTAAGGATGCACAAAAGGTGCAAAGTCTACAGGAAATTGAACCTAGTGCTTTGATACCAAGTTGACAGGATCTGACTCAAATTCCCCCTCGAAATCTGTGTCAAACCCTATTGCCTATTCGCCATCCAACCAATGACGGACTCACGTACTATTTTACCCAGAAAAACGGGTCAAGACGTCTATTGAAATTTCGGTAGAGTCTCCCCAGAAAAACGGAGATTTAACAAATCATTTTCACATGTAAATATCATAGTTTACTATTCCCAACTTTAGCATGCACAATGCTAATACACACAATTTACTATATAGGCCTCCAACCTCAAATTTAACCTTACCATGACAATATTAACGTAATCTACGAATTTATTTCTTACTTTATGAATAGCCATAAAATTCCAAAGCATAACTCATCCGTTTATTTTGCGGTTGCACCTAGGTTAACCTAGGTTGCCTATGTACCCGTATTGAGGGACCATGCCACACGTAGTTCTTTCCCTGAAAAATCATGATTCCTAAAATATAATATAATGTTGAAGCAATCTTACATTTATAACTCGACTCTTAAATTCTTTAATTTATTATTATAAGACAAACCAAACCCATAACCCATAACTTTTAAATCAAACCTTTAGCTGAGACCATACTTGTAACCATCCGCATAGAGCATATCTTGCTATCACCCACCAAGGGGTATATGGAACATATAGTTTCATCCAAAGGCAACCGATATATTTTCCAAGGGCAACAATATAATTTCATTTGAAGGCAACAATATAATTTCCAAAGCCAACCAATATATATTTTCCAAAGGCAACCACATAATTTTCGAAGGCAACCAATGCAGGTACATGCAAATCACTGGTCGGACACCGACAGAGTAATCTCCACATAGATACACCCAATATTTCCACTAGTCGGACACCCACACAAGCGGGTACAAGCAACCACTGGCCGGACACCTGCATAGTAAACACAGGTACAGGCAATATACTGGCTGGACACCTACAGAGTAACCTTACTGCAGGTACAGGCAAACTATTAGCAGGACACCTGCGTAGTCAACACATGTACAGGCAATATACCATGGCTGAACACTTACAGAGTAATCTCCATGTAGATACAGGCAATTTCAGTCATGTGCACAGACTCTACTGAAGGCAACCGACCCAATTTCCAAATCCTTCCTCAAAACTATCATAAAAATTCCATGTTTCCGTAAATCCTGAAAACTATGTTCCCACTCCTTTCTTGACTTTCCAAAGATCTGTTCATAAGTAACTAACCACCATCCCTTTTTTAATCGAGACCAATCCAGAAACTCATTAACTTGATTCAGACTATACCTGCACATTTAAAGTCCTCCAAAGCCATAAACTAAATGATACTAAAATAAAACTACCTCAAACTTGGAAATATAACAACCATTTATGTCACGATAATTGTTAACAATTTCATAAATATAAACATACAACAAACTAACACCCAATATAAACATATACTTCAATAATGATAATAGAAATGATAATACTCTTTAGAAATCTCATAACTCATAGCAAAAGCCGAGACTAGCCTATTAACAAATTCCATAACCGCAATAACCCAAATATTTATACGTATATAGATATCAAACTCTCAAAAGCATAAATTCCATAACCCAAAATATTCACAAACTTCAAATGTCATAATATAACCCAATAATCCCACAATTCCAATATTATAAATCTCAAAATCCCAACATGACCCAAAATAATTCAAATAATAACCCAAAACTTGTTTACACATGTGCTTTCCATAATATACTATAATCCAATAATTAAACACAATATAGTTTCATAATATTTGAAAGTAATGATCGTTTAAAAACAAAGTCCACTCACAAGACTACGTGAAGAAAGAGTACCTATTCGAGAAAATAAACGGGCTTAACTAATACATACCCAACAACGAACTTTAACACAAGACTCTAGTTCCCAGGTCTCAAAGTGCATGTGCACGAGAATTGGGGAGTTCTTATGGTCAATCTAATACTTTTTGAAAGTTGAAACTACCTCGGAAGACTCACAATCAACCGAGAGGTCAACCTTCCCATATTGGTCAACCGGACCCGTAGGGCCCAGGACCTTTGATTTCCAATCTGAACGTTCCTATAGGTCCAACAAAGTCACTAAACAAGTCTTGTAAGTTTGGTCTCGATCGAGCGGTCGGATCTAAGCCAATCGCACGATTAAACAACGATCTCTTCGCCTAACACTAGACTCATTGATTCGGAGTATCCGGGACTTCGATTCCCAATCCACAAGTTCCTACATGATCCTAGAGATACGGAGAACAACATACTTGAAAATGGAGCTGACCGAACATATCCAACTTGAATATTGCCTACTAGGCATAAGTCCGTTCGACTGTCATACGATAACCAAATTCGAATCCAAGTATACCGTCGTGCTTGGGACGACATGTGGATTATTTTAGGACATATTGGCTCGCCACAGGGTGGACCACATGCCTGCAGCGCATGAGTGGCTTGAGTAAATTTTTGGTGACGGAAATTTCTCTAATCACCCAATAATACCTATACCTACGTGATCATGACAACTAGGGGAGCAATTTATACAACTGGGCCGACCTCCAACTTGTCCGGGAAGTGGCCGAAAAATCGATCCAAAAATAAAAAATGTTTAGGTTTTAGATTGAGTTTCAAAACTTCAAAATTGATCTAATCCAACTATACTGGTAGCTAGAGCACGTGGGGAGGATTGGAATCCATACTTGGTTTCAACAAAAATAGTGGTAGGAATTGCCCAAAACGGTGACGAAAAATCGGCGCAGTCGCAGCCTTTCTAAGATCCCAATGCCCCATGAGCAGCCGTCGTGGCTGGGGTTCCTTCCGATCGTGTTCGCTAGCCCCTCGCGGTCAATTCCTGACCGATCTCAGCCTCAGGGGTGGTCAGTTGGTGGAGTTAGCCAGCTTGCATGCATCGCAAGGGAGAGGGTCGGGGAAGAGAGAAAGAGCTGAGGGAGAGAGGGCTGATAGGGTATTTAGGGGTTTTGAAAATCTTCGAAATTACCATTACGTCCTTTTAGTTTCGAAACCTTTACGGGTTCGCTATAGCTCGGAATTGAGCGTGCCGCGCATCTACGAACTCGTTTTGATGAGCCCGACACAACAGTACAACTCAATTGCCCAAATTCTTTCTCGAACAAAAAGTGACTAAAGTGAACCTACCCCCAAGGGCAAAATTGAATCAAAAAAGAGAAAGCATTGCAGGAATTTATTAAAAAGATTAATTTCAATAGTGAAAGTCTTGGAAAATATAGTTTGGCTTTTGGTGGAACTAATGAGAAGATTCATGATATTTTATTTATTTATTTGGTCAAACAGATCCCTGATATTAGCAATGGAAATTTTATGGGCCATATTGAAATAATTGCAGAGTGGGGTTCACTAATGAAGGAGCATGTTCAACGTATGGATGACAAGGAGACTCATTATCATTATTTTAGTCATAAGGTCCAAAATGAATTGATACTTTTGTTAGCTTTTGAACTCAAATGTGCAATCATTAGAAAAATTGAAGAAGCTAAATATTTTTATGTGATTCTTGATTGCACTCTGATGCTAGTAACGAAGAAGAAATGAGTTTGATAGTAAGATGTATGGATGTGTCTACTAATCCAATAAAAGTTGAAGAGTTTTTTTTGGAATTTTTGAAGAGTTGCAAAAACTAAACATTATCACATTAATGAGTAATGTGGCCACACATGGGAGCTGGTCCCAAGAGCATACGGGAGACTAATTGGCCTTGGGAGTTCACAAAGAGGAGCAAAAGGCAGGCCTTGCATTGGAAGACCAATCTGAATAGTGACCTAGCATTTATTAGACAACTGGGCATTTAATGAGGCATCTAGGAGATGTGTGCTTCAGAAGCCAAAAGGGAGAACAGAAATTGAGAGTTAAACTATATAAATAGAGGGAAGCAATTGAGGCTTCAAATCCTCATTCCATCATATTTCAAAATTAGAGAGAAGGGAAAAACATAAAAACACTCTACACATCAACTATTCCTCTCTAGCTACAAGCACACTTGGTAGAACTTGGGAGGAGCTCTTCAACACCAGAATATGTTTTTCCAGGGGTTCTTCTTACCAATCGGTTCATGTCTTTTATGATTAAAGCTATGATGTTTTCATTCATGGAATGTAACGAAGTAGCATAGCTAGGGTTTCAATGTAGCCTACCAAGACAGTTTCATTATTTCAAGCTAATCTTCTTATCTGTGATTAATTATGGTTTCTAGTTTCATTCACTTGTTCTTATTGAATCTTTATGCTTGTTTAAATACCTAGCCAGTGTTGATACTTGCATATTGGTTATCTTTTTCAAGTTTGCATAAACACCATATAATTCTTGGACTGTTCAGTGAATGAATGGGTAGATGTTGAAGACAAACACTATGTTTAAATGTTTACTTGGTTCCTTAGTATTCTTCTTATGCTTAATGGGTTTAGATTGACGGTTTAGACTAAAAACCCTAGGACCAACCCGGGGTCCAAAGTGGCCAAATCTAATCCAAAATAGTCTAAAACTCAATCGTATGCCCTGTCAACACCAAAACAAGGCCACAACACCCGTTATCCAAAAGTTACTATTTGGGTCTCGCGGGCCCCACAACAATCCATACTTTGCACCACCTCGAATTGACTCAAAACATATACCATTGGACTCGGATCGAGAAATCAAGTTGAATGGACTAAAAAATATGGCGTCAGAGGCTGCTGCGCCACCACTCTCTAGAGCCATGAGTGGCTTGTTTCCGGTTACTGTTCATCATCTTCTCCAAAAATCCTGCAACTTCCCCTGTTTTTCCAGATTAAAAATTCAGACTTTGTGACACATTTTGACCAATCTAAAGTTAACGAAACCAGGCAAACTTATAGTGAATTTGAAGCTTATTCTCTCTAGTTTCTAACCCAACAAACCACACTCAAAACGGAGCTAAAACGAAGGAGAAAACAAGCTCCAAAGTTGGGCTCGCGACTGGTTTTTCTGCAGAAAACAGATTTTTTTCCAAACTTTGCACCTGTGTTTGACCCATCAAAACTCAACCAAATTCAGCGAAATCAATTTGTTTTTGTTCCTTGCCAAGTCTAGTTTAAAACCCAATAAATGGTGTCCTTAAAAACTCAAAGGATTGGGAGAAAAAGAGAGCCAAAGTGAGGCTCACGGACTGCAATTTTCCAGAAATATGCAAATTTCCAGATTTGGTTCTAAGTCATTTTCAACCATTCGATCACTTCCAAGTTGTTACTAAGGCTTCTAAGGTGGCGTTTGGCAGCGCTTAATTTTTTTAAAAAACAGCTTTAATAAAAATTTGGCATGAGTTAGGTGTTTGGTAAACCCAAAAAAACACGCTTATTTTAAAAACACCCATCATAAAAAGCAAAAACTCAAAGTCAGGCATGTGGTGCTTTGAAAAGCTACTTAAAAAAAGAGCCGGTTTTCTCATTAATAAAAGTTTCATTATCCCTATGATACCCCCAAGTATTTCACAAAATGACAACGTTTGACCCTCTCACAAAATAGATCTCGCGACCTTCACACTCTCTGACCTTCACTCTCATAGACTGCTCTTCTCACTGTTCTTCTTCTTCCTCCCCCTGCATCTCAAAACTCCATCTCAATCAAGGACGTTAATTGCCGACAACAATCAACTACTTATCAGTGAGTTCATCTTCCCATTACATTTATGATTTTTGGGTTTATATATGTTATGAAATTAGGTTTTTTGTTTGGTTTCTATGAAATTGGGGGCTTTGTGTTCTTGGGGCTTTAGGGGGAAGACACGGGAGAGACAGAGAGATAGAGAGAAAGAGAGAGAGTTTTGCTCCTAATTTTGTACTGGGTTTGTCTCTCCTTGCTTTTTGGCAAGGAGAGATTTCTCCCTAGCTTGGTTTAATTGGCCTTTGGGTCAAATACTTCTCTCTCTGTTTCTGTTTCTCTGAAACATGTCTGTCCTAGATTTTTTTTCTCTAGATTACACAACCATCATTGTTCATAGATTTACTCATTGTATATTTTGGTACAGTTCCAAAATCTCAAGAACAAAACCTGCTAGGCCAATCTGGTTCTTTATATACATAAATATATATATATTACATATATATATAATTGCAACCCAAGTCCCCAAGTCAGGTCCATGTTGAGTTTTCCATTGTCCTAACCTTGTTGTCTTCAAGCTCAAACATAATTCCTTTGGACTTTAGTTTTAGTTCTCTTTTAGTTAAAAGACAAGAAAAGAGTGAAGAAGCCATTAGCTCGAGATTTGGGGGCTTCTCTTTTCTCAATGAAAAAAAAAAAAAAAAAAAAAAAAAAAATTTATATGAAACTATTGTTCCATCTAAGTTGTCGTCCATTATTTGTGTTAGAAGATTTTTGGTAAACAAAGCTTTTATTTTTTAGTGGTCATAGTTTCAAGTTCTTCCTTATTATTATTTTTTAGTGTCGGTGGACTTTATTATTGTGTTAGAAGATTTTGGATTGGGTAATTGTTTGAAGTTCTTCCTTTTATTTATATTTTTTGTGTTGGTGGGATTTATCAAAAGTGATTGTAGCACGCTGGTCATTGTGGTGGGGAACTCATAAACTGACATATGGTTGAAATATAAAAAATTTGTAAATTGGTATGAAATTGCATTCTCGGTAAATTATGAGAATGCAATATCATCTTGCCTTAGAAGCTGGAAATATTGGCTAAGACTTTATGTTATCTTTGTCTCCTCTTGGCAGAATAGGCTTGCTAGTTCCTCAAGTAATATATGTTAAAGATTAGGAAAATTATATAGTTCTTGTTCTTATGTCAATTGTGAAGGTGATCAGTTTATTTTCATGTGTGGATTCTTCTTGTTCTTGGTTTTCTTTCATGAATCATTAGGAATACTCTATGCTTGGACTCTTTGTCCCTTGTTGAGATTGAGAAGTGGGTTTAAGGAAGTTTTGTTGGGAGCCGTCATCATTTTTAAACATATAGCATATAATGGATAATATAGATGAGTATTCATACCTGTGGGAAAAGGAAAGTTTGCTATTTTTATGCTTTTAGTATAATGTATATTGGGACAATTATTTGTTATTTTCTATTTCTCATACTCAACACATATTGCTTTAGTAAGGATGGGAAAGAATGTAGGAAGTTCATCAAAAGCTCCAGCGACATGGAATAACCATAATATATCCATATTCTGTGATTTGTGCATCAAGGAGGTGGATGCTGGATGTCGTCCTGGCACTCATTTTAAAAAAGAAGGATGAGAAAATTTGAGAGTCAACTTTAGTAAAGAGACAGGAAATAATTATGATAAGGGGCAACTGAAAAATAAGTGGGATGCACTCAAAATTGAGTGGAAATTGTGGAAAGAACTCGTAGGCAAAGAAACTGGTCTAGGGTGGAATTCGAGCAAGGGTACTATTGATGCATCTGATGAGTGGTGGAATAATAAAATTCAAGTGTGTGGAATATTTCTTTTTAGATTAATCTTTTGTCTTCCCCTTTTTATTTTATTAACATGCATTTATATTAACAATCCATATGTCTTTATAATGTAGATAAATGATGAATATGCAAAGTTGCGTAAAAAAGGCATTAATCCTGAGATGGAGGAGAAGCTAGATAGGATGTTCATGAATACCACGGCCACTGGTGAACATGCTTGGGCACCTTCATGTGGTATACTCCCACCAGAAACTGAAGAGGCATCCATGGGTGATGTTATTCCACTCGAAGGAAGTGATGACTCAGATGAAACAATTCAAGCTATCAAGAATGCTACAAAGAAAGGGAAAAGGAGAGCACCTGAACAATTGAATAAAAAAAGCAAGATAAGAAAGGAAGAAAAGTTGGAGGTGCTGAAAAACTAGCTGGCCAAATTGACCGCCTTGTTGGTGTAGTTGAGAGTAGGAGCACAGCAACATCATTGATGATGAAAATGCAACTGGGCAGTAGTATTCCTGAAGTGATGGAAGTTGTATCATCTTTACCTGGATGTGAACCTACTAGCACTTTGTGGATGTTTGCGACTCGATTGTTTTTGAATCAAGAGAAGCGAAAGATGTTCTCTATCATGAAGACTCCTAAAGTCAAGCTTGCATGGCTAACTTATGAATTTAACAACCACTAGGGCAGTTGACTTATGACTTTGTTGTGTTTATGTTGGTTGACTTATGACTTTGTTGCGGTTATGTTGTTTGAATAATTAGTTTGTCGTGCTTATGTTGTTTGGATAATTCACTTTATTGCAATGAATTATTATTTGGACTAAATTTACATTATAGATTATTATTAATTGGGAGTGTTGATGATTATAATTATACATTGCAGCTTTATTTGAAAATATGGACAATCCAGATGATGAAGATGCAGAGATTAACCTATCTATATGCGCTTGTGCACGAGCAATTGAATTATATTATATGAAATATATTCATAAAAATCCTTGTATGGATTCTCCACAAACAAGTAATATTTTGTTGATGGAATTATTACATGGGAATGATAGGTGATGTCATGCCATGTTGAGGATGGACAAAGATGTATTTTACAGATTATCTAATGAGTTGCAATCTAATTATGGGTTAATGGGTTCTAGGAATATGAATTCCATTGAGATATTGAGAATGTTTGTACACATGCTAGGACATGGTGTGGGGAATAGGTTAGCACAAGAAAGATTTCAACACTCGGGTGAGACAGTGAGTAGATATTTTAGTTACATGTTGGATGTTGTATGTCGTTGGCAATGGATGTCATCAAACCGATGGATCGTGAATTTAGTGATATTCCACAAGCAATATTGGGAGATTCTAGATATATGCCTCATTTTAAGGTAAAAATTGCATCTATCACTTCTTTCTCATTTTTGTTGCTAATTATAGTTATACACATTGAAAATTTTTTCCAACTATCATTTTTAGGATTGTATTGGGGCTATAGATGGAGTACATGTTCAAGCTTCAATACCACCTCAAGATCAAGTACTTTATATTGGTAGGAAAGGGATGCCAACTCAAAACGTTATGGCTGTATGTAACTTTGACATGCAATTTATATTTGCATGTGCCGGGTGGGAGGGCACTGCACATGATACAAGAGTGTTTCTTTCGGTTCTACGCAATGAAAATTTAAATTTCCCTAATCCTCCAAGTGGTAAAAATTATGGTCAATTAACCTTTGTGTTTTTCATTACTTACTTAGTCCAATTATATATACATATTAAGAAAAATGAATGTTGTATTTCACAGGGAAATATTATTTAGTAGATGCAGGGTACCCACAGATGAGAGGTTATTTGGGACCATATAAAGGCAAAAGGTATCATCTCCCGGATTTTCGTAGGGGTAGCCAACCAACGGGTTATAAAGAGGTATTCAATCATGTTCATTCTTCTCTTAGGAGCATTATTGAAAGAACCTTTGGAGTATGGAAGAAAAGATGGAAAATTTTAAGAGATATGCCTAATTATCCATTCAACAAGCAAGTGAAGATAGTCATTGCTACAATGACACTTCATAATTATATAAGGAGGCATGCCCAACGTGATAGACATTTTGATGCTTCAAATGTTATCTTAAGTGAAGAGATAGATGAGGATGTTGATGTACAACAAGAACTTCATAGTCTTAATGACAATGGAACACAAGAGATGGAAGCATTGAGAAATAGCATCGCTACAAGTTTAATGAATGCATCTAATTAGCTTCTTTTATATTGTAGTGATCTATTTGGGCATGTTAAAATTGAACAATTTTTGTATATTTGTTATGCCTCTAAAGCCCTCAAAACACATTGTTATTATTAATATAACAATATTTAGAACTACTTTTGTTACAATATTAATTTATAATTTATGGTAATATATGTGTGCTAATTGTAGATTACAAATTTTGATTAAAAAAAAAGAAGAAGTGTAAATTAAAAAAAGAAAACAAATTTATGTAGTGAAGTTTGTTTTCTTTTTTTAAAGTAGAAAAAGAATGAAGAAAAAAACAAACAGTTTCATCATCATGCCCTTTTTGGTAATTATACATACTAAAAACACTTTTGATAAAAATTTACCAAACACTTTGACTACTCACAGTAGTTTTTCATATACAGTTTACCAAACACCTAGCTGTTTTTTTTCACAGCTGATTATTTTCGTAGCACAGCAGAAGCAGTTTTTTTAAATGCACGTCAATGCCAAACTGGCCTTAAAACACTTTTAAACTTCATACCTATCAATAAAACTCATGAAAAACTCAAAATGGAACCAAAATCAACAACACCCATACTTGAAAAATTACTCTATGCACCCAACTCGAAAATAAAGGTTCAAACTCTTCCAAATCAATTTTCCCATCTCTCAAATGACTCAAAATACTCTTTTAGAAACTAGAAACACAAACACCAAGTTAAAACCAAAAACTCGAAATTTGACTAACCTTAGAGATTTTTCTTCTCTTCTCTTCTTCTTTTTCTCATTGTTCTTAGTTTTTTCTCTCTCTCTCTCTCTCTCTCTCTCTCTCATTATCTTCTTCCTCCTACCACAACTCACCTCCCCTAGTTCTTAGCTTAAGTAATTACTATCCCTAGCCTCAACTAGATGACTCACCTCCCATAGATTAACAACTCATCCCCCAAAATTAGATTTTTTTTAAGAGAAAGAGGGAAGGGGGGAAGAATGGAGGGAAGAGCAAAAGCTTGGCTTACACTTGGTTGGCTTTTTTTTTTTTTTTTTTTTTTTTTTTTTTTTTTTTTTTTTTTTTTGGGGTAATATATCCACACCTAAGGGTATTTTGGTCATGTTTGTCCAACTTCAAATTAAACACACTTAATTTAATAATCTCAATCCAAAATCACTTGATAAAATACCCATAATCATTCTCCACAAAATATTATTTTTCACTAAAATATGAAAATCCACCTTGAATTTTTCGGGGTATTACAAAGTTATGTACGCTATTATTGTTCGGATGTCTTTGTATATAGGATTAGGTACATTGGAACATTTGGAATTTGGGATATTGTTTATGGTATATGAGATGGGATGTGGGATATGTTATATTAGAGTTTGTTAGCACCACTCTATGTACCTCCCCGGCACTTGGATACTTGACGAGGTGTTACCTTAGGCCCTTGCCAGGCAGTCTGCACTCGTTGGACTTAGTTCAGCTGTACAAGTATTAATGATTCTGCTATGCGTGTCTGGGAGCCTAGTCCCCTTGTTGGACGACTCGTCCCTAGGCACATGGTTATTGAGTATTCTTCCATGTGATCTAATCAAACAATCCCCCGGTTGGATTGTTTCCCTTGTACTAGTATTGGTGTAGTGGTTATATACATATATTTTCATTATTTTTTACTTGTGAGGATCCTTCCTCGCTTGTTGTGCTTACGGGCATGTGTCTTGGAAGCGAGTGGTCTGGGAAGGGAAAAAGGTCTTGTTTGAGTTTAGAAACGACAATGTCACAGTGCTAGAGAAACAAAGGAGAGAAAGTGTCAAGGAGAGAGAGTGTCGCTAGAGAGAGAAGCTTGAACATTTAAATTTTAACTTTTGCAAAAATTAGGGTGTGCCATTGCACTCCATAGATCATAATTTCTTCCTTTTAAATCAGAATTGAGCCTATCGCCTGTTTACGAACTCGTATCATGGAGCTCTACGCAACAATGCTGCTCAATTCCCCAAATTCCTTTCCGAACAAAAAGTGACTAAAGTGCCCCTACACCCAGGGCAAAAATATAATTTCACAATAAATAGTCAATTGAACAGTGATTTTTGGGATGAGTTGTTACAAGATGAATCTAGCTAGATCTGTATCTTCTTGTAGCAAATTGACTGTGAGTTGGGGTTGTGGGGAAGAGAGGTGGATATTTGCGTAGGTTGGTTTTTAATTTATTTATATTTATAAATATGTTACTAGTTTATATTTTGCATTTATTATTATTTTTCTTTTTAGTTTTATGTATTTGACTTTATTTTACTTGAAATTACAAATTTAACCTTATAGTTATTGAAAAATGAGATGATATTCACAAAATATAATGGGAAGGGCTAAGTTGGCCATCTTAATTCATTCGGGTGTTAAATAGGCTAAATTTTCAGTTCAAGGGATGAAGTTCAATTGGGGTCCTAGTTTCGGGGTGTACGGCGGTGTCTACTATATATATATATATATATATCTTATTATACACATAATGCTTATTGGAGGTAACAAGTAGGGAGCTTATGGGAGCGTAAGGAGCCCTTTTTTTTTAATAATGAATATACTAATATTTAACTTTTATCAAATGTGAACATAAAAATGTTTATTAATTGGTTTTTTATTGTCATTACATGCTAATTGATGATGAATTTTAGTGATAAAAACTTTTTTTTTTTTTTTTTTTTTTTTTTTAGTCATTATTGGGAATATTTTTTTCATCTTTATGTGAGGGCCTCAGTTTAAATTTCGCACACAATCTTGAAAATCCGAGGACTGGACTTGAATCCACATACTCTAAATGTAGAGACTCGAGATACACGTATACATGCATATATGTAGAGGTTTTTTTTTTTTTTTTTTTTTTTTTTTTTTTTTTTTTTTTTTTTTTTTTTTAATATTGGAATTTTGGAAAGAACGCTATATTTTTTTGTTGCTCATAAAAAGTAAAAAAAAAACGAATGTTAATAATCAGGGACTAAGGGTGGGCACAATCCGGTTCCCACTCCAAATCAAAATAGAGTTTCAAGCAGAACCAACCCAAACCAATTAAGATCACGTTCAGTTTCTGTTTTCATAGTTCGGACTAGCTACTAAGCCCAAGTGAATTTTTTTTCTTTTGATTTTTCAAGTTTCAAGCCCAAAAAGCATTGAAATTGGGATTAGGCTCGAATTTAAATTTGGTCACCGAAATTTCAATTTTACGAATTCGTCAATGTACTTGCAGTCGTTAATAAATCAAGTCAAATCCATTAATTTTGTGAGTTAAGTTGAAAAAATAAATAATAATAATAAAAATAATAATAAAATGAGAAAAGTCCGACAAGAAAAAAAAAAACCAAGCATTCGTCTAGAAAAAAAAACCACCTTATACCTTGCACCACCAAAACCCAGTAGCCAAGCCACACCTAGCCACACCGTTGTCATCCCAAGCCACTCCCAGTCAAACCCAACCCCACCACAATGACGAAATTCAGAAAATTGAAATTTCGGTGACCAAATTTAAATTCGGGCCTAACTCAAAAAATTGTATTCAGGTCTGAGAACCATTTGGGATTGATGATTAGTTATTTGGGTGTTGACTGCTATGACTTGCTAAGATTTTTTTTGTATAAAAAGGCATGAGGCCTATTGGTTGTTAGCTCAATGTGTGTCTAACTTTTATATTGAGCATGTTGAATGTTTGGGGATTATAAATTGTATTTACTTTACCGGCCCTTGGTTGTTTTGAGTTAGGCCCAGAAAGGTATTTAAGTAATTTGGGCCCGACTCTGCATGTTTTCCGGTAGAAGTCAAATCCTAAAGCAGTTTCTGGATGAGGGAAGAAGGGTATTTTGGTCATTCGTGGCGACACCTGCCAGGTGTTGGACACGCAAGGGATTCGACACAGATTCCAAAGTGGAATTTGGGTTGGGTCCTATCACATATCTACAAAAAGTAAAGAGACTGAAATAGAGAGAGTGAAACCGTAGTGCGATAAAGGTGGTGTGACTGCAGCGGAGTGAAACTGACTGTGCAAGTGATTAGGAAAAAGAGAAATATAGAGAGCAAAACTAAAGATGAAGAAACAAAGAGAAACAAAAGAAAAAAAAACTAGAAAAATAGAGAAATAGAAAAACTTAAAAAATATAGAAAATTAGAAAATTAGAAGATTCAGAAAGCACTGGTGAGAGAAAGAGAAAGAAGAAGAAGAGAGAAGGAACATAAATGAGAGAAACAAGAAGAAAAAAAGAAGAAAGGCAAAATTGTAGCAATGGTCCCTCTACTAAGACCTGACTTTACTTTTCGTCCCTCATGTTGCAAAATTGTTATGGTCGTCCTTCAATTAGATCTCGCATTGCACCACTAGTCATTTCCATCAATTCTGTTTGTTTTTCCATCAATTCTGTTTGTTTTTCCGTCAAAAATTGATCACATGTCAGGCACATGATAGATATTTAGGGGTAACTAAGACTTTTACCTAGCCACCACCTCTTTTACCTAAACCCAACCGCACGCCATCCTCTTCCCCCAAATCTGCCCATCATTAACCTCACCAATCCAGCAACCCAAACCATCCCAGATGGCTCAAAGTCTCACCTTTTAGTGACAAATTTCAAGTCTCCTCTGGTATGTCAACCACTTCCCTTCCAAAACCATGATGGATTTTATCTGGACATAGTAAAATGCATCAGCAGGGTTTTCTTTGCCTCCAACCAATGAGGTGTAGCTCAACTTTGGATGGCTCAAGAGCTCCTTATCCTCTCCAAAAAGCAACTTGCTGTTAAAATCAACTTCCCCAATCACCAAACCCTCCTTCTTCCCTACATGCTCAAATGAGGAGACTGGGTTTATTTATTAATGAGTTTATTTCTCAATTTGACCTAAATTTTGACATATAATTTAACTCAATTGACAAAAAAGACCAATAATGCAACATGAGAAACTAATTGAAGGATGGTCATAACAATTTTGCGACATGAGGGACGAAAAGTAAGTCGGGTCTTATTTGAGGGACCATTGCTACAACGTAACCAAGAAGAAGAGAAAGAAAAGAGATGAGGGAGGGAGAGAGAGAGAGAGAGAGAGAGAGAGAGAGAGAGAGAAGAAATAAAGGCTTTTAGGTTGAATGGTCTCTAAATTTGACCGGGTTCACATTTTGATCCTTTAATTTCCAAAACTGTTCTTATGGTCTTTAACTTTAGTTTCATTAGGACAAATGGTCCCACTGTCAGTTCTGTCAATTTTTTTTCCGTAAATTTAGGGCTAAATGGGGTTTTTTTAGGTTGGTTTTATTTTCCCCCATTGTGAAATGTTTCCCTCTTTTCAGCCGAGGCGGCTGACGAAAGGAACTTTGGGTCCTTCTTTTTTGGAGTGCAAGGTGTGCCACCATCAAACCCCAAATTTGGCTCAAATGGAATGTGAGTAGATGAATGTATTGTGCTTCTAACTTCTGATAAAACGATTGATCGCCCAAGCAAAGAACCTCTCTTTGCCTAGATTCTTTCACTTCCTCGGGCTCGAGGATGGTTAGGTTTTGTATGGATGATTTTGTGATTTTTAGGGTTTTAAGTAAAATTATGCAATTAAATAAATGTGCGTATAAACGATAAGACAATAATTGAAATGCGATAAAATAAATTAAAGCAATAAATAAAGCAAGAACGAAATGAAAGCGATAAGAATGACAATGACGATAAAATAAAATAAACTTTAAATTAAACTTAATTGAAGTGCGATAACAATGAAAGGTAGAGCAATTGAAATAAACTTGAATTAAATGACAAGAAATATAAATCGAACAAGAATTTAAATGACAAGAAATATATTAACTTGCACTAGAAAAAGGAAGAACTCACTACACTAGGTGCTTGAAAAGTAAAATCCTAAGTCTAGGAAAAGAAAAGTGTGAGACGAAAGATAAGTTTGTATGTCTGATGTCGTGTCCTCTATCTTCGTTTGGTGAGGTTTATATAGGGCATCCATCGGCCCATGGGTTGGCCATTGAATGACCAAATGTCAACTCTTCTTTAAAAAAATCTTTCCTTTCAAAGCCCTCCTAAATCCGTGGGATTGCATTGATTGAAATATTCTGACATGCGTGATTCTTCCTTGCTTTGGAACACTCGGAGTTATTATAAAAAAAATCTCTTGATTTCTTTCCTTGTGAGGCCTCCGTCACGTGCACATAATCCTCCGAAAATCTGGGCTTGAATCGTTGGCTTAAACTTGAGCATCCGATTTCTCTTATATTGCCATCCATATAATATATATTAGATTTCATATTATTCAATATATATATATATATATAAGCATAAGTTGGACAAGGCAAGCCTAAAGCTTCCAACCTGCGTGCATGCACATTTCCTCATATATATATGTAAAAGTTCCTAAAGCAGCCCACTCATCCATATGCACATTTACTCACCTTCGGCCGCACACACTCCAAAACAGCCGCCCACTTTTCAAAGTTCCTAAGGCACCAATTACACATTCACTCATTTATATACTTATATATATATATATATATATAGGACTATTCTCTAGTGCGGACGTCCGGAATTCCTTAATGTCCGGACTCGTTTTGTTTTTTCACATAATCAGAATGAATTCATTCATTCAATGGAAAGGAAAACATTTCCATTTTGTTTTATGCATCTCTCTTTTTTATCATTAAAGAAAAGGCACTAAAGCACACATAACAGCCTCCAAATTCTCTATACAGTTCACCAATGAGGGAAAAGCCCAATCTAGAGGTGATGTTTGACTTTTAAGTATTGGCATAGCATGGTTTCTATTCTACCTTTACCAAGAAAAGTGATAAAAGTGTTTGGGTTGATTTATTAGCACAAAGAAGGCAAAAAAACAAGTAGTCTGGACGTTAGAAAAAATACGGACGTCCGTAGTAGAGAACAACTCTATATATATATATATATATATATATAAAAATCAATGTTGAAGCCCGATTTGTAGAACTTCCAAGTCTACATACGTAGCCCGACCATCCATATGTAAACCCGACCACTTTTTAAAGCCTCAAGCCATCTCGGCCGCCTTCTCCAACATTCTAGCCCTCAAGCTTCGGGCGCAATTTTGTACCTCAAAGCCTGATCGTGATTTTCAACAGCCCCAACAGAAACTCACCTTTTCTATGAAATCAGTTGCAGCCTCCAGCCAAGACTTTTGCTAGAAGACAATATGATGATGCATTGATAAAAGAGAATGTAGGGATGAGTGTGGGCATTTTGTTTATTTATAGTCATTGGGATGCTGATGATGATGATGGTGTCGAACATGTCTGGAAAAATATGGACTAGGGTAGTGAAAACTTCGGAGCTAATGTAATCTACAAATCAGTTGTACAATCTGTAATGTTATTAGTATACAAGTGGCTTATGGGAATTTGAAAACGTTGGTTATTTATATTCTTGATTCATGACCTCAAGTGATCCCAATTTGCAAACTCTATCCCCAAATGAAACTTTGTGTTTTAAGGTCAGTAACTCTCCTATATTACTTGAACTTGGTAGGCAAACTCCTCAAATTTTTGTCACATGTCAACTGTTATTCTCATCTTCTGAGGTGTTCCTATCATAATAGAAAGCATCAAAACTTGCCCCATCAACAGAAATCCCCTCTGGCCCTTGAGCTTTAGAGGGAATGCGAGTTCACAATGGGGGGAAATAAAATCAACTTGCAAAGACCCATTTACCTATAAATTTAACGAAAAAATTGATAGAATTAACGGTGGAACCATTTGTTTTTAACGAAACTAAAGTTAAAGGACCCATGAGAACAATTTTGGAAATTAAGGGACCAAAATGCAAAATCGGTCAAAATTCAAGGACCATTCAACTAAAAACCCAAATGAATAAATAAAGTGGGGTTTTAGGGTTAGAAAGTGGGCTACTTATGGGCTTGGGAAACAAGAAAAAAGTCATGTGGGCTTTAAGTTGGGAAGGGCCTAAAAGTTTGGATTTATTTAAAATAATATAAAAATATAAGTCGGTTTGGTCCATTTGATTGATTTTTATTGACAAAAAATTGGAATTAGAATTGGTTTGAACCGGTTCAGGTTGATTTTCTTTGATTTTAACTTTTGGTCAATGTGATTTTTTTTTCTGGTTTTTTCAGCTCGGTTCAACTCGGTTTTCCGGTTTGGAATGCCCACCACGGTTGTCAAATTGCAAATCAGAAACCAATATATGTCCAATGAATTACATTAACCCCTGAAGTTAATAAAATTAGAAAATTTCCACCCATAGAAACACCTTATCAGTAGGGGGGGTCGGTCCATATTGGATTGGTTTCACCTCAAAACCACGGCCGAACCAATTACAATATGACAGTTTGGTTTGGTTCGGTTTGAATAAAAGTCATAAAGGGAACCGAACCAAATCAAACCAATTAAGACGGTTTGGTTTGCCAGTTTGGCCTAAAGCCCAATTCTCTTTCTTTTTGCATTTTTTCAACATTGTTTGCCCAATTTTAACTAAAAATTCACAACTTGCTTCATACATAAATCATTTTTTAGAGTACGAAACCATCATAAAGCTCAAAATGTCATAAAACTTCATATTTCACTAACTAATATAGCTCAATTCAAATTTTCATATATGTAATTAATTAGAGTATTACACATGTAAATAAAATATAAATAAATAAATATACACACAAACAGTTCGGTTTGGTTTAAGCCGGTTTATTTTTCTTGATCAAAACCAAAATCAAACTAAATCAAACCATATTTGGTCCGGTTGATTTTTAAAACGTTTAACTTTTCTTGATCAAAACCAACCAAAACCGATAATTATGATTTGTTCGGCCGGTTTCAGATTCGCCGGATGATGCCTACATCAGCCAAAACAAATTGAACAATTGAAAACAGCAACGTTTAACTTAAAAAAGGAAAAAGCCCTATAAGAAAAAATGCTAGTCACATTATTAGTAATACACTTCTCTCTGTCTCTCTCTCTCTTCTCACGTTACTCTTTGAAACAATCCTCTTGTAAAACAAAAACACATTCTCTCTCTCTCTCTCTCTCTCTCTCTCTCGTCTCTGGTGATCTAATCTTTTTCCTCTAGCTACTAAGCACCATGATTAAGCCATAATCTCATTCCTTGATAGCAAGGTATTGTCTGTGCTTGCAATGTTAGTGTAGCAATCAAAAATAATTTTGAAAGTTTGAATTGAATCTAGAGGGATGCATATGGATATTCAGTGACTTCTGCTGTTGTGCTTTTATTTATTTTTTAATAATATTTATTTTGAACAGAGGGATTCGGGTGAGGAAAACATGGAAGGATTTCACAGAGAGGTTAAAGCGGCGGACTTGGGCAGCTTCAGTCCACCCACTGCATTCCATCGAGCTCGCTTGCACCTATTAGGTTATCTTTTTCTCTCACACTTCTTGCTCTGTTTGGTGCTTCGAGATAGAGGACATGAAAATAATTGCATCCCTGTGCTTAGAGAGTTGAAGAAAGCTGTGAGAGTGAAATTCTTGAGGTTTTGGTTTGATAATAAAAAGAAACAGAAAAAGAAAATTCGACTGGTGAGAAAGAAGGAAAACACTAAAAACCCACAATCGCAGTGGTGAGAATGGCTTGTGTAGCTGGGATTCATGAATTAGGAATTTGAATTAATACTCGAGGACTGCAAAAATAATTAGAAAATTGGGATCCGCCAGTTTGTTTCCTTGGTTTCTCCCATTTTTTTTTTTGTTTCCCCACCCATTTAATTATGTATAAAGACAGGAAATAAGTTACTGACCATGTCATTTGTCATGTACGTGGTATCCAAAGATAATGAATTCTATGAATATGTACATGCGCATGGCATTTATTGTGACCTATCGGCATGCACAGTGTTGCGCCGTTAAGAGGCACCCTCGTAACATCATGGGTTGCCCCTTGAGCCTGCATGCAACCATGAATTTCGCGCAGCGAGGCAATCTGTTGGCACTGTCTCAGACTCCCAGCCTACAGGCGTGAAATTCATCTTGGAAGTTTAAACTACCTTCATCCTGGTAGACATAAATGTAGTTTTTGTTCTCTTTTTGGCGTCAATAACTGTCTGAGTGATGATAATGCCACTAGGAGCTGAATTGATGTGCAAGATTAACGTTAGAGTTGGGGGGACATGAATGGTACGAAGATTATGCGATAGTGATTTAGATTTCAGAGGAACTTCTCGGGGCCAATTGCAAGGTTAGGCTGCAGCGGCAATTCGAATGCAGCTAGTAGAGAAGGGGGGTTTTCTTAGCTTGATAAAAGAGAAAGCATGATTCGGGTATGCCACTCTTGCAACGTATCGCTTGTGTTTTTCTCATAAGCAAGAGTGGAAAACTATTCCGACTTTGAGTTTGGTTTACTGTGATAAAAGAGGAAATAATAATATTAGTTCAAACTGGCGATCTTTCTTAAAAAACCTCATTGGTCTGCTAGAACCCAGATACCGTTTAGGCTTGTAATTTGGTATAGTTGTATCATGTATGATTTAATATTAGTTGATTTAGATGGCTTGTTGATGATTCTTGAATATGTATACTTTGTTTGCAGTTTTTGTCTGTGTGTTGGTTATGCAACATGCGAATTCCCCCGAGGGCTAGTTCAAGCCAAAGGTTTTTCTGGCCTGCTCAATGGTTGAAAGGGGTGGTATAGTGGTGCATGTGTGTCTAATGTAAATGGCCTATGAACTATGGATACGGAGAGAATCCTGTGTGTGCTTGATTTAAATGGACTTTATAAAATTAGATTTCAATAAAATTTCTCTTGCCAAGATTGTGTGTAGGCTTATTTTCAGCTATGTAAGGAGGCCTTTTTTATCAGGGATGAAATTTCTATCTTATCACTCAGTTGGTATTTTTTTTTTTTTTTTTTTTTTTTTTTTTTTTTTTTTTTTTTTTTTTTTTTTTTTTTTTTTTTTTTTTTTTTTTTTTTTTTTTTTTTTTTTTTTTTTTTTTTTTTTTTTTTTTTTTTTTTTTTTTTTTTTTTTTTTTTTTTTTTTTTTTTTTTTTTTTTTTTTTTTTTTTTTTTTTTTTTTTTTTTTTTTTTTTTTTTTTTTTTTTTTTTTTTTTTTTTTTTTTTTTTTTTTTTTTTTTTTTTTTTTTTTTTTTTTTTTTTTTTTTTTTTTTTTTTTTTTTTTTTTTTTTTTTTTTTTTTTTTTTTTTTTTTTTTTTTTTTTTTTTTTTTTTTTTTTTTTTTTTTTTTTTTTTTTTTTTTTTTTTTTTTTTTTTTTTTTTTTTTTTTTTAAAATTTTAATCAAACTTGGAAAGAATAAAAATGATTTTCGCCAGATAGATATAGTTTTTTTGCCCTTTTTCTTATAGTTTATTTTTCAAAAACAGTGCCTTATAGATATAGTTTTTTTTCCCGAGGAAATTAATGTTCTAGAATTTGTAAAGTTTCTTTTCTAGGTGACTGATTTAAATCAAATAAAAATATAAAACAACGACTGTTTTTTGTTATACCGTCGTCGTTTATTGTCGTCTTAAGTAAGAATAAAACGACGTGATGTATTTGTTACCGACGAGGATTGTTTTTGTTAAACGTCGTTATGTGTAATATAACCGACGTGGATTTGGTTTTTTAATTATAAATAGGGTTTTTTTCCACGGGTTCTTTCAGTTTTAGTATTCGATTAGGGTTTCAACTTCTTCTTGCCCCTTTCTCTGTCTCACCTCATCTCTTGGGATTGCAAATCACCAATTTTCAATAAATTGTCTCTCTGATTGCAAATCTGTGGCTGCCGTCGTGAAGTTTTAGGAGGCGATTGTTTGGATGTGAATGTGTATGTGCGTTTGTGTAGATACACAAACACACATACATCATTCACTTCCAAAAAATTGTCTCTCTGATTGCAAATCTGTGGCTGCCGTCGTGAAATTTTAGGAGGCAATTGTTTGGATGTGAATGTGTGTGTGCGTTTGTGTAGATACACAAACGCACACGCATCATTCACTTCCAAAAAATTGTCTCTCTGATTGCAAATCTGTGGCTGCCGTCGTGAAATTTTAGGAGGCAATTGTTTGGATGTTGATGTGTGCGTGCGTTTGTGTAGATACACAAACGCACACATATCATCAACTTCCAAAAAATTGTCTCTCTGATTGCAAATCTGAGGCTGCCGTCGTCAAATTTCAGAAGCAATTTTTTGGATGTTAATGTGTATGTGCGTTTGTGTATCTCAAAGACACAAATACACATACATCATTAACCTCTAAAATATTGTCTTTCTGGTAAGATTATAATGAGCAACAGAGTTCCATCTTGTAAGATTTCCTAACCCTTGTGATCTCAGAATAATCTGATTATGTCGGCGGTTTTCTATATAAACCGTCGTGGTTATTTCAATTCTTGTCGTTAGGTAGATCTACCGACGTAGGATAACAAAATCGAAGAAATAAATTGTTAAAAAAAATTCTTATTCAGACGACGGTTTAAATATAATTTATGACGTATAAAGTGGACAAATACGACGTTAAATTCTATAATACGTCGTTATATGAAAACCCCAACTTGGTAAGATTTAAAGATGTCGTCGTAGAAATACGAGAAAGACGTCGTTATATTTACCTTTGCCGTAGTTGTACATTAATTTAATACGGCGGTATTTTGTATTTTACCGCCGTGGATTTATTTGTAATTTTATGTCGCCTTATACGAAAACTTGGTCGTGTTAATTTCTGGGTAAAAACGACGGCTTTTTGTGAAACCGTCGTCTTTACTTTCTACGTCGGTCGGTTCATAACTTCCGCCGTTATTTGTTGGCTATGATTTTACCTCTTGAAAATCCTATTTCAATAAGACGTCGGTTTTTTAATTAAGTACGTCGTGTTTTTGGAACAGCCATTTGAAACTCCATTTTTTAGTTGTCTAATGTGTTATTACACGGCGGTTTTATAAAACCGTCGTCTTTTAAAAAACAACGACGGTTTTCACGTAGACCGTCGTGTTTTTGTGGTCGTCTTTTTCACTTTTTGTAGTAGTGCATCTCCAAGCTCTAATCCTAAAGCTAAACACTTGCCAAGGTATAATTTGGAAATCAAGTGTTCCATATGTAAGCAACCAGGCCATAATAAGAGGAAATGTCCAAGGGTAAATGAAGTAGGGAGTAGCAGCCAGGTATATTCAAAGCATGTGATTTTAAAAATTTTGTATGTTTGACATTCTGATATGGATTTCCCAATGATGTTTGTTGGTCAGGTACCATCACAAAGGCAAAAGAAGACAGCACATCAAGCCAACACATCCACTCAGAGAATTACAAGACAATCAAGGCAAAAACAACCAGTAAGTTGGGTTTCTTTTATTTAAGTAACAGTTTGAGACTCTTCAGTTATATATCATAATTTTCATAATATAACTATGAGCAGGCATTTAATATAACTCTTCCATAATTTTCAGATCATATCAAAGGCTAAAAAAAGGAGCAATCATCACCAAGCTTCTTCTCAATCCGGCCAAGCTCCTCAACCATCTCACCAAGCAGCTCAACCATCTCAACCATCTTAACAACCAGCTCAACTATCTCACTAACCAGCTACAGCGTCTCAATTTGAACAATCCTCTGAAGCTTCTCAGTTTGAGCAAGTATCTCAAGTTGTTCAGTTTGAACAAGCCTCTCAAGCTCCTCAGTTTGAACAAGCCTCTGAAGATGCTTTGTTTGAACAAGTCTCCCAATCTCAAGCACCAAATTCATCTTAGCCTTTACAAGCTTCCCTACAAAGGAAAGTTAGGTTTAAGTCTCCAGCTAAGAAGAAAGCCTTGTTGGCAAAGTTTAAGCCATGGAGATATTGAAATATCTCCTCTGTTTTTGCTGTGTCTTGAGGAACACATGTGTTTTTGGGTAGAAATTGTCTATTTGATTGTCTAATTTGTTTTTGGGTACAAGATTGTACAGCATTGCCATGGATGGTGCATATTCAGTGAACAGGAGCATATGAGATCTTTTGTATTTCATTTTGGCATTACCATGGTTTAAACATGTTCTTAGAAAGTCTTTTGAGTTATGGTTTAAACTGTACAATTTATGTACAAGACTATATACAGTTTATGTAAAGTCATGAATCAATGGCAGTTGTAAAGCTCTTAAAGGTTTCAACAATTACTGTTGCTTACATAAGTCTTTAGTCTTAACCATTACAAAAGGGGCTTTGAAACCATTACAAAAGGGCTTTCAAACCATTACATTTGCAAAATGCTAGAGCCATTGCATTGCATAAAGACTCTCATCTAAATTGCCATTTCACTAGGTACATTACATAACATTACCTAACTTTCAAACATACCACATTGCCTAAGTTACATTACACAACACTGCCATACCAAATCATAAACACAAGGGCCCAAGAAATAAACAGAGCAATCCACAACTTCTTCTCTCTTGCTCTTGCATACCTAATTTGATCTTCAAATTCTCTCTTTGTCCTCAGTAGCCAAGCTATCAGAGCTCTCTCACAGGGAGGCATTTCAATATCAACCCATACAAAAAACCCACAACCTTTTTTCCCCCTCTGCATTAAAACAACAATTCCATTACATTCTCACAATATTTTTCTTCTTCAAATTTTCGATAAAATGGCAAATACAAAGACCTACGTCTGACTTTGGACACACAAAGAACCTCCAAAGTGGGTTGGACTTTGTCCAAGAAGTTTGCAGCCAAGCAAGCCTCCCACAATAGCAATTAGGTGCAGCAAGGGCCACCTCTTCTCCTCGTGGAGGTTCTTTCCTCATCTTCACACCCTTTAATCGAACAAAGATGGAGAGATTTTTGTCTGGAGAACCTTAAATCCTTCAAATGGTGCTAAGTACTTGCTCTGAGTTTAGAAACTCTATTATCGAAGAAGAAGACTGAGGATTCTCATCATCAACAGCTTAAATTAGGATTTTCAATGCCTTATGTGGTCCAATATGCCACGTAGGCAGCTGACTAAGGTCAGCAATTGGCCCACGTGGATGCTATTACCATAATGCCCCTACCACGTCAGCCTTTTTGACGGTCTTTTGGACGGCATTAAGGGGGGGGGGGGGGGGGGGGGGGGGGGGAGGGAACACAAAACCACGTTCAAGGGGGTAAAGTGGGCCATTTTAACTTTGGGGGGGCAAAGTGAGATTTGACCGAAGTTTCAGGGGGTTGCTACAGTAAATAAGCCTTGTTCATAAGCAATGATCCTTCACCCTCTACATGACCATGAAATACTTAGGTAGCAGCTGGATTTTGCTTTCTATAATAATCATACAAATTGTGTTAAAGTGTCTTGATCTCCAATGACATGTCATTAACCCTATTTTCATCGGAAACCAAGTCACCCAAGCAAAATGTCATATATTCCATCTTGTATCGAGGATCTAGAATAACCGCCACAAAGAATAATTTCTTGATATTATTAACATTTCCCCAATATTTATCAAACTTTCTCTCCATCATTGTTGTTATTTTGCACATAACAACAGCATCAACATTTATCATTGTGTCTATCTCCTCCAAAAAAGAACATATCTCATGAAGCGGGGCATTAGAAGACATGGTTTTTGATGCACTAAATCTCAAAGTGGCATCATAAAATTCTTCAAAATTTTGACAAATACCTTTGTATTATCCCAATCCAACAATGTTGGAGGCCCCACTCCATCTTTTCCTTACCATGAGCTTCATACTCCTCAAAGTACCCCAAAAAGTTTGGGTCATCCTCCTCCATCCTCTCAAAACCTTTTTGGATCTTCAAAGCACTCTCCAACATCATGTAAGTTGAATTCCATCTTGTGCACACATCGAAAGGAACCATGATTTTGGTGTCAACCTTCTCCATCTCCAAACAAGCCCTAAATTTCTCTAACCGTTAGGATGACCCCCTAATGTACTTAGCACAATTGCGAATACTCTCAATAGATTGATAAAAAAATTTCATTCCATCGGTTACAATCAAGTTAGTAATATGTGCACAACACCTCACATGCAACAAACTACCATCACATATGAGTTAATTCCACCTTTCTAACATCTTCTTCATGTAGCTAATACATCCATAACCGATATGGTGAAGACTTCTCTATCCCCCATCCATTCAAACATGTCTCCACGAGCCTACCAATTGTATACTCCTTATGATTAGGAATGAGACACAAAAGTTAAGGATTCTCTTATGCAACACCCAATCATCATCAATGAAGTGGGCCGTGAGAACCATGTAATTGATAATTTGAATGGAAGTCCAAGTGTTGGTGGTAAGGGACACTCTTTGTTCATTAAGTGTTAAGACATTCTTGATTTTAGCTTTCTCCTCTTGATACTCATCTCTAGCAATTGTCGTACTAGATGACAAATCAAATCTAGGTTGTGCATCCTTCAAAAATTCACAAAACCCAATACCCTCCACATGACTAAACGGAAGCTCATCCTGAATAATCATCTTGACACGTGCAATTCTACATCTCTTTACTAAATGTATGTTATACTAGGTTACCCCCGCCCTCAAATGAAAAGACTTTTTGTTTTTTCTCATGTCTCAATGGAGAATTCCTACATTGACTTCTCAAATGGTGTCACGAAGTGGATGTGCCATTCTTTTTACCATCACGTGCATAGTCCTTTTTACAATACTTATATATGCATCTAGGCTCACTAATATCATCCTCACACTTTATCTTTGTGAAATGATCCCAAACCCCCGAAGCATTCTTACAAAGCTTTCTTTTTCCTAAAGTGTTAGGTAAAGGGGTTGATTGCGGAGTGGATGATTGTGGAGGAGCATATTGTGGAAGGGTTGGTGGTGGTGGTGGGTTAGTTGAAACATGGGTTTCAGATTCTCCTTCCATGAAAATAATACCCTACGAAAATACAAATATTGCATGCTTCAATAACCAAAAATAATAAGCATTAACATCAATACTTTCTGTAAACTACAAATAAAGTAGCAACCAAAAATAAAAAATAAATTAAGAACCAAAAAATACATAAAATTACCAAAAAGAAACACAATCAGCAAGCCAATCCTTTCCTTAGCCTTCAAAATCAATTATGTCCAAAAAAATCATAACAAAGTCAGACAAAATAAATAAAATTAACAGAAATTGCCAAAGCCCTAAATTTTTGAATTAGGGTTTCGAGATATTAGTACCCCGAATAGACAGAAAAATCCAGAGAGGGAGACTGAGAATGATTGAGAGAGAGCGAGAGCAACTGCAAGAGAGCAAGAGCGGCTGAGAGAGAGAGAGAGAGAGAGAGAGAGAGTGAGAGCGGCTAAGAGAGAGTAGATGAGAGAGAGCGAGAGTAGGTGAGAGAGAGCGAGAGTAACTGAGAGAGAGCGATAGAGAAATTTGGAAAAAGTTGTCAGCGGATTTGGGGAGAGGAGGTTGAGAGAGAGAGAGAGAGAGAGAGATTGAGAGACTAAGTGAAAGAGGCAGAGGTGCAATGAAAAAAATATCAAAGCCCCTGAAATGTTTAGGGTTTCGCAAGATCGAGTGTGACAAGGAGTAGAATTGGATTTTCGATAATAATGCCCACCCTTACTATTTCTAAGTTATGACAAGCTTTTGACAACCAAAAAATTAAAAATTAAAATTAAAACAAGTTTTTTCATGAACCTCTCTATATATCCCTACATTTAAGAAGAAAAAAAAAGTGTCTTTATTTTGATATTTTATTCTCAAGTACACTTTTTAAAGATGAATGCTATTTGGTCACTTAAGTTCCCGCATGGAGGAGAAATTCAGGAAATTTAAGAAATTCAAGAATCCGCCTTAAGTTATGCAATCTGTTGCCAACACAAAAAGCTCTTTCCTTGTGCTATACAAATAGAAGATATGGTAATTATTAGCTCTCTATTACAAAGTTGTCCGCGTTTTAGCGTTCGATACAATAAGTTTTTTTGGTCTCAGTCGCATCCATAACATTTAATTCCGTATCAATTTCATACATTCGTTAGTTTGACCGTCATGTTCTCTCTTAAATAATGACGTGGCAATTAATGGTGCCACATTGACTCACCCATATTTTACCACGTGGACTAAGTAATGGAAATATATTTAATTAATTAAAATTTTAAAAAACCAATAATAATCACGTTAAAAAAACAAATAAATAAACAAAAAAAACACTTTCTTCCCCTCACCACCCATGGCATCAACGCCTTGCATCTCCCACCTCTTAACCGCAAAACCAACCCACACCCATCCACTTCGCCCCCACTCCACAATTTCTACCCACAAACCCAACCCACCACCCCATCATCCGTACCCATAAACCTGCTGACTAACCAAAACCCAAAACTCATAACCAGAGGAGGAAATTATCATAGCCGTCCTCGTTGAGCTCACAGACCGCGATTTGCTTGTCAAGTCAGCAACCACATCGCTCAACAACAAGGTGGTGAGTGAGCCAGTACTAGACTCTACTTGCACCGCTCATTCTTGACCTTGTGCTCTCAATGGTGGACTCGTGAAGCCAGAAGTGGCGGACCTGAGGGATATCAAGATTGTGAAGAACAATATTAAGACAATGAAGGGCCTTTTTTTCTAGAAGAAAGGTGAGTCACGCTGCTGGTAGGCCTGCGAGGATAGAGAACGTGAAGATCGTTGTGGTTCAATTCTAGATTTTGCCTCCAAGGATTGATGTAGTTACTAATTTTTCCATGAATTTGCATTAATTTCTTACTAAATGTTGTGAAAATAGGGGTAGAAGGAATCAAATTTCTTTTAATTTCTGCAAGCTATAGAGGGGATGTCTTTGCGGTTGATGGTTTTGGGTGGGAACAGACTGTGGGCTAGATTCATGGGTAGGGATGGTGGAGTGGTGGTGGCTGTGAATGGTTCATGGGTGTGGGTTGGGTTCAGGGTGCAGAGATGGGAGGTGCAAGGTGTTGATGCCATGGGAGTTGAAGGGAGTGTGTTTTTTTAAAAACATAAAATAAGTGATTTTTATTAGTTTTTTTAAATAAATATTTTCTAAATTTTAAATTGCTTAAATATATTTTCATTATTTAGTCCATGTGGCACCATTGATTGTCATGTCACTATTTAATAGAGAACACGACGGTCAAACTAATGGATGTATGAAAATGATATGGAATTAAACGTTATGGATGCAACTGAGATGAAAAAAACTTGTTGTATAGAACTCTAAAATACAGACAACTTCGTAGTAGTGAACTGATAATTACTCTATATGATAATACTTAAAACTACAGGAATGAAATGCTTCTATCATGAACAAAATTTGGGCAAAGATCTTGTATGATTGTAAGCTAAAACTCATTTTGTAAACTTTGGCATTTAAGTTTGCATTTTCTTGGATAGGTTCTCCAATTCCATGAATGTGCTTTCTCATTGTCAACTGAGAGATCAAATTTATCGGCATAAACCACATGTTGTTCTTGGCATCAAATTTCCTTCCCCTATTTTTAAAATGTCCTATTTGAATGTATGAATCATAATTTACACCACTCCCACCTAGTTCCTTCTAATTTAATTACATAATATATATATATATTTTTTAAAGCTCAGTTGGGTCAGTTCTATAGTTTTTTTCTAAAACCCGTTTCTACGTTAAACCTGCTTAAAACCACATTTTAATCTCAACTATCCACATTTATTCCAACAATGGAGACTGAAGTTCAGACCAAAAACAGTGTTTCGCTGATCCTCTCATCTCCCTATGCCCCCATCATCTCTCATCTCTCTCTCTCTCTCTCTACCTCCTCCACCATCTCTTATCTCTCTCATCGGAATTATCACACAGTCATCAAGCTTGCCAAAATCATTTTGACCCTTGGTAGTTTACAAAAAACTAAAAAAACTTGGCCCTAAGCACAAGTGTGTTCAACAATGTCGTTTCTATCATGCCTATTGGTTAATTAGGTACGATTATTATGTTTTAGGGTTAATTACAGTTTAGTACTCTGTGGTTACACCCTTAAGACATGTTAGTCCCTATCTATTCAATTTTTACAATCACATACCTCGATCTTTTAAATTTGTTACAATGTGGTTCCACCATTAGTGTTTCCGATAGTTGTCCCGTTAGTTGCCTACGTGGCGTTTATGGGTCCCACTTTTTCGCTTGTTTTGAAGTCATTCCAAGGGCATTTTTGCACTTTTTTTTTCTCATGCCCAACCCCACTATCTTGAGATTACGCCCACGTGGCATGAGTTGATTGGCTTGGAATACAAATTTTTAAAAATTTGTATTTAATTCAAATAATAATCAAAACTTGTTTACACATAATTTGCATAAAATACTATATTCCACAATTAAAACAATAGACTTTCATTAACAACCCAATATCACCCCAATCCATATACTATAATATTAATCATAATAATAATAATCCCTGGAAAAAAATCATCACATTCTGATAAAATCATAGACAAAACATATATTAAATTGTTGTAAATACATGAGTTGGTGGATGACCACCATACCTTTTAGCATTCCACCCTTTCTAATTCTATGTAACTTATCCTTAAATATTTGTAGTTAGTGCTTGTAACTTATTCATATGTTGTAAATGTAGTACTTAATCTCCTATCTTATAAGCCTATAAATATGTAGCCCATATATGAGATGATGAGATATACAAGTTGATTGAACAATTTCTATTGTCTTCCTCTACTCTTCATTTCTCTTTACAAAATCCCTTAGTTATATAACACAAATCTCATTTATGCATGCAATTCCATATTGAAAAAGTAATGCTCATTTAAAACAATGTCTACTCACTTCTTAATAATCACAGTTGAGTCCCAAGACTCGCTTTCACAACAAATCAAACAAGTATCTCATAATCATATATTCCACAACTTCAAATATCAAAATAATATCCAATAATTCCATAAAATACTATAAAACAATCTCATAATCCCAACATAATCAAAATAACTCAAATAACAATCAAGACTCGCTTACAAGGTTATTCTAGTACTTTGCAAATGGTGAAACTACCTCGGAGACTCACGGTCGACCGAGGGGTCAAACTTCCCATAATGGTCAACTGCCTTGCGAGGCACACGACCTACGATTTTGATCTGAAAGTTTCTACGGGTTCAACAAAGTCTACTAAACAAGTCCTGCAAGTTTGGTCTCGATCGAGCAGTCGAATCGCTCTCGATCGCACGATAAGATGGTCATTGGTTTACCTAACCTTAGAATAATTGATTCGGAGTATCCAGGACTCCGATTCTTGATCTGTGAGTTCCTACTTGTAAGCCGGTTTAATAGTTCGAATATATCGAACCCGGATAGACGTAAATCCGTTCGACTATCATACAATAACCAGATTCGAATCCAAGTATACAGTCGTGCTTGGGACGACATGGGGAACATTTTGGAACATAGTGGGCAACCGCACATGCACATTGCCCACTAGCAGCCACACGAGCCCACAGGGCGTGGTTGTCTTCAGAAAATTCCAGCGACGGATTGTTGCTCGCTTGTAGAGAGAGAGAGAGTGTTAGGGAGAGAGATGGAAGAGAGAGAGAGAGTCGAGAGAGACTGGTCCGTTTTAAAAATCCAACTTTGAAATATTTACGGTTGTGCCACTACACTTCTATTAACCATAACGTCTTCGTTAAAACTCCGATTTGGGCCCACTACATGTCTACGAACTCGTATCAACGAGCTCTACGCAACGAGGTAGTTCAATTCCCCAAAGTCCTACCGGATTAAAGTGACCAAAAAGACCCTACCTCCTAAGGGTAAAATTGTAAATTCCATAAATTAATTAAATAATAATTAATTTGGGTCGGGATGTTACATCAGACTCTATTTTATTTCTAGAAATAATTGTTTGCTTCTTAGAACCCCATGAAATTGCAGCTCCACCTAATAAGAAAATGTAACTATTAGTAGACTTCACTTCATTGTTTGTTATCCAATTTACATCACTATATCCTTCTACCACATTTGGAAATCCTTTGTAGCACAGTGAATAATCCATTGTTCCTCTTAGGTGATTGAAAACTCTTTCCAAAGCATTCCAATGTTCCTTGTTTGGGTTATGTGTATACCTACTTAATCTTCCAACTGTATAAGCAATGTCTGGCTTAGTCTTACTTGCAATGTACAATAAAGAACCTGTCATCTGGGAGTACTTCAGCTGAGAAAACGGTTCTAAGGTGTTGGTGTGGGCTTATACTCAAAGGTGTTGAACTTCTTTAACTTCTCAATAGTACTAGATTACTTAGAGAGATTCCTTGTGTTGTCTTCTCAATTTTCATTCCTAAGATTATATATGCTTCTCCCATATCTTTCATGTCAAAATTCCTTGATAAATATGACTTCACATCATTCACAATCTCTAAATTTGTCCCGAATATCAAAATGTCATCAACACACATGCACAAGATTACATGTTCTCCATTATTATCTTTGTAATAAATGCATTTATTATGACCATTAAACTTAAAATCATAATCTAGAATCACCTTGTCAAATTTCTCATGCTATTGCTTAGGAGCTTGCTTTAGGCCATATAAAGATTTGACCAACTTACACACCTTGTGTTCTTGGCTCTTAAATATGAATCTTTCGGGTTGTTCCATATAGATCTCTTCATCTAAGTCTCCATTGGAAAAATTTATCTTTACATCCATTTGATGAATCACTAAATTATGCACATATGCTAAAGCTATCGAAGTTCTTATGGGGGTAATCTTAGAAACAGGTGAATAAGTATCAAAATAGTCTATCCCTTTCTTTTGTGTAAAACCTTTAGCTACCAATCTTGCTTTGTACTTATCAATACTTCCATCTTATTTCAACTTTTTCCTAAACACCCACTTGCACCCTATCGCTTTATTTCCAGCAGGCAAATCCGTTAACATCCATGTATTATTTTGGATTATAGATTGAAACTCATCATTTATAGCCTCTTTCCAGAATGATGCATCCACAGACATAACGGCTTCCTTATAAGTTGTGGGATCTCCTTTCACTAGAAAGGTATAAAAGTCATCTCCAAAATTCTTCTCAACTCTTGCTATTTTGCTTCTTATGAGTTCTTAAGATTCTAAACTTTTGATCGTAGTTAAGCTAGAAGGCTTCTCACTTGCTTATACTTCCTTAGAAATTCTTGTCTTGTACAGGAAAATATCTTCGAAGAATGTAGCATCTCTGGCTTCCATAACTATGTTGTTTGCAACCTCCTTTACTTCAGAGTTAATCACCAGGAATCTATTAGTACTGCTATTTTTCTCATAACTAAGGAAAACTGCGTCTATAGTCTTCGGACCTATTTTCTTCCTCTCAGGATCGGGTAAGAGTATATTAGCTAAACACCCCCACACTTTTAGGATTCTAAGGTTAGACGATCTTCCTTTCCATAAGTTATAAGGAGTTTTCTCATTGTCCTTCAATGTTATCCTATTAAGTATGAAACAAGCAGTTAGCATTGCTTCCCCCAACAAGTTCTCAGGTAGTCCACTACTAAGAAACACAGAATTTACCATATCCATCAAAGTTCTATTTTTCCTTTCAGCCACTCCATTAGATTAGGGTGAATATGGTGGAGTAACTTCATGTATAATTCCATGTTCTTCATAAAACACTCCAAGCTCATTTGAGGTATACTCTCCACCTCTGTCAGATCTAAATCCCTTAATATTTTTCTCTAATTTATTTTCTACCTCACTTTTATAAACCTTAAGTTTATCAAGCACCTCATCTTTTGTCTTAACAAGATAAATATGACAATACCTAGAGAAGTCATCAATAAATGTCACAAAGTACTTGTTTCCACCTCTAGTAGGAGACCTATTTGAGTTACACACGTCACTATGTATGAGCTCTAAGATTTGGGTGTTTCTTTCTACAAGTTTGAAAGAATTCCTTGTTTGTTTGGCTTGAACACACTTCACATTTGTGCTTAAGGTCTACGTTAGACTTAGGGATTAGCTCAAGATCCATCAACCTTTTGATTTTGCTCAAACTTACATGTCCTAACCTTCCAAGCCATACATCACAAGATTCAACATTAGAAACTTGAGGAGAAATTTTATTACCTTCAAAAACTACATTTATTTTGAATAATCCATCACAAACATATCCTTTTCCAATAAAGACATTGTTTCTAGTAATAACAATCATATTCGACTCCATTACAATTTTGTATACTTGTTGTACTAAGGACGATCCACTGATAAGGTTTTTTCCTCACATCAGGAACATGTCGCACATCCTTGAGAGTTAAAGCCTTCCCATATGTCATCTTCAATTCCACATAATTGTGTGACGGTGTCATTTCCACTTGAGCTCTGATAATTTTAAAAAAATTGTTTGTCAAAACACACATATATGTTTGCCCCAGAATCTAACCACCAATCACTATTACTTAAATATGCGACATTAAATAGAGGCTTAAAACTATACCTTAGATTGGGTTCATCTTGATCATCTTGATCCACCAACACATTCACTTGGGCTTTAGGACCCCATTGTCCTTTGTTCCACTTAGGCTTTGGCTTGCAGGGCTCGGTTTTCTTGTAATGATAGTCTTTGGCCCAGTGATTTGTTCTTCCATCAACGAAGCATGGTTGATCCATATTACCATTGGAATTATTATGGGGTCTATTGTGATGGCGGCTTTGGTTTTGGTTGAGTTGATTATGATTGGGTTGGCTATTTTTGTTGGTCCTCTTGAAAAATTTCCTTCTAGATTGGAAACGATTCCTATTGTTTGAACTTTCCACTAGGTTCACCTTTGTCTTTTTGTGACACCCCGACCCTATTTTTATTGTCCATTTAAATTAATTAATTGATTTAATTATGAAATTTCATTTTTGCCCTCAGGGGTAGGGTTATTTTGGTCACTTTTTAATCCGAAAGGATTTTCGGGAAATGAATGGAACCATGACGTAGATCGCGTCGATATGAGTTTTCAGACACGAAGTGGGCTCAAATCGGAGTTGTAACAAAGAATTTACAGTCTAAAGAAGTGCAGTGGCACAACCATAAATATTTCGAAGTCTGTTTCTAAAAATCTGACAGACCACCCCCCCTTTGTAACAGCTGGCCACGTTTTGGCCACCCACCACCACATCCAGTCATAAGACCGGTCCCAAAATGATCGAGCCACCATCCTCTCTCTGTCCCACCCAAGCCCCGCCGTGAATAACCGCTCCAGCCTCCAAAAACTACTTAAAACCGTCAAATTTTATGTAAATATTCCATTGTTGATTCCGAATATTCCGGCTACCAAATTTGTTGATCCAAGTATGTTTTCTCATCCTTTGCTCTAGCTAATGGTTTGGTTGATTAGGATTGATTTTGAAGTTTTGAAACTCGTTTTTCGAATCAAAGTTTGGTCGGTTTTCAGCTCGAGTTTCTGGAAAGTTCCGATCACTTTTGGACCATGGCCCAAGAACAAAAGTTGCTCCACTCATTGTCCTGATCATGTAGGTATAGGTATTATTGGGTGTTTTGAGAATTTTCCGATTGTTGGAATTTTCAAAAGACGCCCATGTGTTGCCAACGCGTGTGGGCCATGTTTGGGTCCTTATTTGGTCCTAAAATCATCCCCATGTCGTCCCGAGCACAACGGTATGCTCGGATTTGAATTTGGTCATCATATGACTGTCGATCGAATTTACGCATATTAGGCGTTATCCGGGTTCAATATGTTCGGACCGTTGGATCGACTCCATTTCCATATATGTTGATCTAGGTATCTCTAGGATCGTGTAGGAATTTACGGATCGAGTATTGGAGCCCCGGATGCTCCGATTCAATGATTGAAAGATTAGGAAAAACGGTAACCGTCCGATTGTGCTATCACGAGCGATCCGACCGCTCAATCTGGACCAAACTTGCAGGGTGTGTTTAGGAAACTTTGTGGAGCTCATAGGAACTTTCAAATCGAAAATTGAAGGTCATGGGCCCCGCAGGTATGGTTGACCAAATTTAGGAAGTTTGACCACTCAGTTGACCAAGCGTCTCTCGAAGCTATTCCACCATTCGAAACACGTAATTGGAGCTTAGGAACTTCTAGCTTGTCGCTCATACACTTTCAATCTCGGGAAAATTAAGAATTTATTTTAAAGTTCTCATCCATAGTATTTTTAATTAATATAGTCCTCATATTCTTAAATAGGTACTCCAGCTTCTCGTACGCAACAAGCAGGGTCCTCTCAGGGTCAAGCAACGTGGGATTATCTGTGAGTGGACTTTGTTTTAAATAATATTCATTATTTTCAAGGATGGAAAAATATGCATAATGATTCCTTGGATTATTGAGTTATTATTTATTTACAAATGTTGAATATAATATTTTTATGAAGTATTTGAAGTATATTTGAATATTTGCGCCTAAGGGTTTTTGCAAACTTTGACCAACTTAGGGGTAATTTGTCAATGAGATTAGAAACTTTAAAGTCTTCACTAAACTTAGTACCCTTGAGTTCTTTTCCAGATTTCAAAACTTCACGTAGCTTTCATTAATGTATGTCGGCACTTTAACGGTTTCAAGGACTATTTTTGTCAAATTGATCTTGCTTTTACGAATTTCACGGAGTCACTTTTTCAAAAGTGTCTCGAGAACCTCAAAAGTTTCGGTAGTTAATTTGAAATTTATCATCTCACACTATTCCCTTTCTTGTGTATAAATATGTTACTAACAAACTTCACTGAAAATCACATCTTATCCAAACGATACAATGTCAACTTGTTTTTCCTATTAGTGAGCGCTCGATGTGCTTGGAGGTGAGACTACCTCTAATCATTTCTTTAAGAAGCGAGACTATCCCTGATCATGCCTGTTGTGATCTCAAGGAACTGTAGGGCAGTCAAGAATGAGCACATCACTCTAATCTCCTGAAGTTCTCCTAGGCTAGGAGAAACGAGAGTTTGTTGTCTGTTACCTCACCAATTTCTTTCCCTGATTGCTTACCTACCTTGCAATCAATATCACAAGTCTTTGTATCTTTTCTTTCTTTTTATAATTCTTTGTTCCTATGCTATTTTGTTTCTTTAGAACTTTCATCTGAAGAACAAACCCATGTTTGAACCTAACACTTAGGGTTATTTTTTGGGAGTTTCACTAAAACACCCAAAATGGGGGCTGAAATTATAAAAAAACCCAACACCCAAAACACTTTATAAACACACCCAAAATCCATCATTACACATACTCAAAACTCATTTATAAACACACCCAAAAAATATACAATTGTTGATTTTGGGTGTATTTCTATGTTTAAATAGTACTTGGGTTTTTTTATAAATACATGTCTAGGATTGGGTTTATTTATAAATTTGTATTATTTTTTGACAGAGATGAAAGAATTGTGATTTTTGCTCAGGCAGGATATAACTCGATCATCAACCGTTTCATTATATTTGTTGAGCTGATATGAACTTGAATGATATTTGAGCAAAGTTTCTCTCAACTAAGGATGTAAGCAATACCTGTGTTATTTCATGCTTGTACTCTTACTAGTATTTTGATATTTTGTATGACATCTTCAATGGTAACCAAATGAGGAGATAAGACCGTTCTAGAAGAACGACTTGTATCATGACCATTCCAGAAGAACGGCTTGTATCATCCTAATATGTATTCATGAATTATTAATGCAAATTTTACAAATTGTAAGTTGAATACATTGATAATACATTGCATAGATTAAAGCCTCAGAAGAGCAAAACATGAGCATAGCAATGATCAATGAGATGCACGCCTACTGCGTAGAAAATTATATGGATTGAGGTCCAAGAAGGACAATTCATTGACATGAGTGTATTAATGTGTGGCATGTCTACACATGACAGATTTATGGGTTCTAAATGTTACAACTCCCTGAATTGAGATTATCCACGCCCTATTATAAAATAACGCTCCATTAGAGGTTATGATCCATATTCTCACATAATTCATCTTACAAGAGATGTCTATCTGGAAAGAGACAATCAAAGCCCCTGAAATGGCTTGGGTACCCAAAGGCAAAGAAATGCTTATAATTGATGCATGCGCATGAGAATTGTGGGATCACAAATTGATGAATGACAATTTTTGGTTTTAGAGTAGCTGCTCAAATCATCAATAGGCTGTGTTGATTGGAATCACTTTCTATTATTAAATGTCGACAATATCATTGGCCAAAAATTGGAAAGAGGCAATTCCATTTGAGAATGAATGTGAAAGAACAAACCCATAGTACGGACCCCAAGAAGATGTTAACCCTGCAGGTTATACATAGGTGTTCGAGATAAAGACGAATACACTCACTTTATATGACACAAATGTTTCTAGTAGTAACAAGGAATGTTAAGGTTCTCCATGCTATCTTTAAGGGTTATTAAGTGCATGGAAGCATATCGCTAGAAGCGATTCCCTAAAGATGTATAAGTGGAATAAATAGCTGAGTATAAAGCTATATAGTGTGTCGTGAAGTGTAATCCCTTAAATAAAATCCCTAAAGGATTAAAATTGCACAAAGCAAGTCTCTGAATGACATGTGCCTGAAGCACAAATTTTATACTCAATATTAATATGTATAAATTTCCCCATAGAATACTTCGATTGAATTCAAATTCAAAGACGTTGCAACATATTCAAATGTTTAAAGTTATGGGAAATATTTAGACTCCCAAAGAGCCTATGAAGACTAGCATATGCAATTGTTTTCAAAACATACAAAAATATGTATGAATGATTGACTATACCATATAAAGTTTCAATACTCTTATCATTATAAATTGAGCTCAATGTTTTTTTTATTTTGGAAAACATATGAAATTATTCAAGTCATTATATGTAGTAAAATATTTTGAAAACAGTCTAGATATTGTTGTATTATTCTAACCTTAATAGGGATTAAATAAATGAAGACACACATACATCCTCCAATAATGCTATAAGAGCAAGTTTTATATAGGCATTACTGAAGCTCAATCTGTGAAGGACAAATGTGATAGCAATATTAGACCATCAGATAATCCATGAATAGAATTATCAAGGGGAGTAGTTCTGCAGGGGGAGCATCCAACAATGTTGTAATATTAATTCACGAAAGCAATACCAACTATGACATTCAAAGAGATAGTAAACAATATGGCTTAAAGATTTTTTGCCAAGCATCAGGGGGAGTGTGTTTTCAATAAAGATCTTCACACACTATACTCTTTTTGGCAAGGTTTGAACAAGGCAGTGTCGCATGCGTGTCGGTGTTATATACACCGAATTTTACGTTACATATGGTTATATACTCTTTTTTCCTTCGACCAATTTTTGTCCCATTGAGTTTTACTGGCAATGTTTTTAATGAGGCATATTCTATGCATGGTGGACATCCAAGGGGGAGTGTTGTAAATCCATGATAAGATGGATGCCCACCATATACCCACCATACCTAACTCTCCCACTTTGTCCGATGTGATTGAAACCTACCACTTATGTTGTAAACCATGTATTTCCCATGCCTATAAATAGGCACCAAAGATGAATGAATGAAAAACACAGAAGACTAGATGAGTGGAAACTCATGGTTGAACTCTTGAGAATTATTCTTCCATAATTGTTTTCTCTTCTTCCAAATTTCTCTCCAAAATCCTCTTAATTCTATAACAAAATCCAATTATTCCCACACATAAAAAATTAAAAATTAAAAATAAAAAAAATAAAAAAAAACCCCTCAAACCAAGTTGCTAGCCCATTTCTGCCAAACATTTAACAAATACATCGCATCTTATTCTTATTGTCATCTAAGGGGAAACCAAAAGGCAAAGCTTCAAAAAAACCTCGATAAAACGCTACAAATTTACCTACCCAAGATTCAATCCTAGCATACAAAACCAAAACAAGGCAACAACACAAGATCAGTGCAAATTACAATGCAATATCAATACAATAGCAGTGCAACATCAATGTAATAGCAATGCACTCTTTCTTTCTTTTTTCCTCCTGCAAAGTTACTGTTAGTGGGCTTATGCTATATAAGACATTTTTGTGGAAGATCAGATTGTAACACCTTGAAATTTCTTTGTGATGATGTCTAGAATATACAAGTACCTTCTATTCTATTCAGTTTTAATTGCTTCCATTAAATTTTTTTTTCATCACCTTGAATTTGTTTTACTTTATAAAATAAAATAAAAAGCCATCAAAGGTACATTAAAGATTTCTAACACCCAGCTAGCTACACGAAATTATCACATAAAATATAGAACATAAAAACACAAACTATCTCAAGAAAGAGAATTCACCCAATCTGCATAAAGAAAGAAAAGTGGTACCTCTAAACTATTTGAAAAATGATGGCTACATTGAAACCCAAAAACCCACTCTTGATCCCTCAAGAAATCCACCTCCTTCACATTTCCTTTCAATAATCTAGTTGTCGGTGTCTAGTATACAAAATTGTGATGTCTAGCCTAGCAGATATTGGAAGTTATTGGCGTGATGGAAAGAAATATTAGCAAAAATATTCTCGTGGAAAGCCTGTGACAACCCTATCTTGTCATGTGCTTCAAATTGAATCCCAAGATCGGTAAGGAAGGCACATCAGATTTTAGCTTGACAAAGAAGGTTTTTCGTTTATCCTTCTAGTAGTAATGAATTTAATGGTAATCTAAGACACTTCATTAATTCTAATATGATAATCTAATACACTTCATAAACAACCATATGAATATCAATATGATAATCTAAGACACTTCATAAATTTCAAACTAGTTTCTTTTAATAAATTACTCAAGTTTAATTACTAAAAATAAAAATTAATATATGCATTTGAAAAAAGAAAACAAAATTAGCTAAAATCAATAGAAATTTCAAATTCGAAGAAGAGAGGCAGTTTGCATGCTTGAGTGGACGATTGATGTGGAAGTGAGGATCGAACTTACAAGTAGAACTTGATTTACAAGCTGAGTTGGTTGATATGAGGTTGATGATGAATTTGACTAGATCGATTGGAATTGGAGCTGATGAGGTGATACTAGGAGGTGATGATCGTGGTTCACATCTCAAGTAATGTAATCAATATAGGACTATATATAAACATGTTTTATTAATTAGATTCATGAGTGGATGCATGTATTCAAGATTCGAAAGTAGTGGGGCTTTAGTGGTTGTGATTATTATATATGCCAAATTCCTGTAATCGGTTTGATGCACCCAAGCAATATGAAATAAAAGTATCTTCTCTAAAATATTGTTTATTTTGAGTTTTATGTGTGAGGGTCCATCACCTTCCAAAAAATTGGCATTAAAGCCATAAGAAGAAGTTTAGAAGATGGCAAATGGTTCGATGACTCCATTTTAAGTTCCTCTACTGACCAAAGATAATGATCACAATTGGAGTGTTAGAATGAAGACTTTGATAGGCTGCTATGATGCTTGAGAGGTCGTAGAGAAAGGAATTCGTGAATATGGTGATGAAGAAAATTTGACTAATGCCCAAAGAGAAGCATTGAAGGAAATAAGGAAGAAAGACAAGAAGGTGCCCACCCTCATTCATCAAGCCTTGGATGACAACAAACTTGAGAAGGTTGCAAATGTGACAACGGCAAAAAATGCGAAGGAGATTTTGTAGAATTTTTATAGAGGAGTTGATAAAAGTAAAGAAGGTGCATCTGCAAACTCTTAGATGGAAGTTTGAAAGCCTACATCAAAAGGAATCCGAATCAATTTCAAACTATATGTGAACTGTTCAAGCCAATGTCTACCAATTAAGAAGACATGGAGAAGAAATTAGTGACACTATGTAATTAAGAAAATTCTTCGCTCATTAGATTCAAAGTTTGAGCATATTGTTGTTGTTATTGAAGAATCCAAGGACCTGGACACTATGACGGTTGATCAACTTTCTAGATCATTGAAAGCTCATGATGAAAGATTGAAGAAGAAAAATCAAGAACCAGTTGTGGAGAAAGTCCTACAAACGAAGCTAGCTTTAAATAATGAAGAAAGCTCATGAAGTGGAACAAGTCGTGGCCGTGGAAGAGGAAGATATGGTAGAGGAACAAGAGGTGGAAGAGGAGGATGAGGTGGCATAGGTGATTTCAAGCCAAGTCACAATGAAAGAAAGGAACAAAATTTGCATTCGTCAAGAAGACGTGGAAGATGGAGCCATACAAATCAACAAGGAAATTTTAGGTATGATAAATCACAAATCTAGTGTTATTCTTGTGGAGGATATGGGCATAAAGCATTTGAATGTAGAGGTAGTGGTGGAAATGTCTGAGGGAAGTCCAATTATGCAGAAGCATACAAAGAGGTCACTTTGCTATTGTCCTACAAATGTATAGAAAAAATAGATAAGATGAAGAGTTGTGGTATTTAGACACCGGAGCAAGCAACCATATGTGCGAAAACAAAGATTTGTTCGTGGACCTTGATGAAAAGTTGGATGGCAAGATCACTTTTGGAGATGATTTGAAGATTTCTATTCAAGGAAAATGCATTAATTCATTTGAAGGATGGCATCCATGAATTTATTTCAAATGTTTATTATGTGCCTACTATGAAGTCAGCTAGAAGGATTCTTTAGTGCATTAAAGGTACACTTAATTTTGGTTTGTTTTATTCAACATCTAATGAATTGAAGCTTGTGTGTTATATTGATTGTGATTGGGCTAGAGAAAAAGATGACAAAAAGAGCACTACAAGATTTGTTTTTTTACTTGGGAGATGCTTCTTTCACATGGTCCTCAAAGAAGCAACCCATTGTGACTCTTTAAACTTGTGAAGTTGAATATGTTGCTGCAACATCTTGTGTTTGTCATGCCATATGGCTTAGAAACTTGTTGAGTGAATTGAATCTACCACAAAAAGAAGCTACCGAAATTTGTGTTGATAACAGAGTTCGCCAAAAATATTGTTTTCCATGACAGAACTGCTAAAATATGAATATGATTTGAATAATTCAAGTTAATTATATTCTTCTCCGCAATGAGGAATATATAAGAGTTTATAAGTGTGCTTTACAAGGAAATAGATACATTAATTAATTAGGAGAATATCTCCTAATTATACAAGGATTGTCAACTATATGAAAAAAGGAAATAAATCTCCTTGATTTGTTAGGTTAACTCACGTCAACACTCCTCCTCAAGTTGGTGGATACACGTCACCAATGCCCAACTTGGTAAGTGAGTCATGAACCACTCGCCCAGAAATAGTCTTTATGATATTCGCTAACTGATCTTCTGATTTTACAAAGGATAGGTAGATGATCTTGTTCTCAATTTTTTCTTTGATTAGATGTCTATCCACCTCAACTTGTTTTATTTAATAATGTTGAACTGGGTTGTAAGCAATATCGATCGCTGACTTGTTTTCACAATGTAATTGCATGGGCTTCTCCAATTTAAAACCAATCAAGAGGCCTTTGATCCACAATAATTCACAAACTCCTTGAGCCATACCTCGATACTCTGCTTTTGCACTAGACCAAGAAATCACATTTTGTTTTTTACTCCCCCAAGTGACAAGGTTACCTCCAACGAATGTAAAGTAACCCAATGTAGAGCATCTATATGTAATGGATCTAACCCAATATGCATCTATATACCAATAACTTTGGGATTTTCATTCTTTGAGAACATTAATCCCTTCCCATTGGCTGACTTTAAGTACCTTAAGATTCGATCAATTGTATTCTTATGAGAAACACTAGGTGAATGCATAAACTGACTAACCATACTCACAACATATGTAATATATGGTCTTGTGTATGTCAAGTATATCAAACTTTCAACAATGTGCTGGTTTTATTCCTTATGGGTTATCATGTTGTCTATGACTTCACACAATTTGTGATTCATTTCAATGGGCATGTTGGCATGCTTACATCCTAGTATTCCTATTTAAGTCAACAAATCCATCACATACCTCCTTTGAGACAGAAAAATACCAATCTTTGATCTTACTGCTTCAACTCCGAGGAAGTATTTCAAAGAACCTAGATCCTTCATCTCAAATTCCTGAGACAAATACTTTTGTAAATTCTGTTACTCTCCTTCGTCGTTTCCAGTTACAACCATGTCATCCACATAGACAATTAATGCATTGATTTTTGGACAAACTACAGTAAACCCCCCAACCTATAAGGTCATTTACGAGTTCATACCCGATTTTGGGAACATTTATGGGTACATACACAACTTCGCGAAAACTTACAGATCGCCCCCTCCGTTAGCGAATCCGTCAAGAAATCCATTAAATGTTGATGTGTCAAAAATGGGACCCCTTTTTTTGATGAATTAATAAAAAATTATCTACTTTTTAAAATAAATTTTAAAATATTAAAATTAGTTTTTTAATTTTTTTTAAATGAAAAAAATAAAATCTCTCTCCTCTCCTCCTAGCACCCAGCCACCCAAACCACCACCCAAGCTCACTCAGGCCACCCATTCCCCAACCCAGAAGCTCCACCCCATCCCAACCTCCCCCATCCCATCCTCAGTCCCACTTCTCTGGGCCGTGAACCCAGCCCCATCCAACGAGCTGATGAACCTTTGTAAATGTCTCTAAACCAGAAGGTTGCAACCCCGTGCCCCACCTTCACCAGCCATCTCAACCCAACCTCACATCTCGACCACCTCTCTACCCTTGATGTCCCGTTGCTCTATTTTCTCTCCCTTACCCAATATCAACCCACCCCCACCCCCACCCCCAACCCAACACCACCACACCAACCCTTCTCTCTCTCTCTCTCTCTCTCTCTCTCTCTCTCTCTCTCTCTCCCCACCCCGACTATAACCATCCACCCCGTCCTGCTAATAACCCCTCCCACCACCATCGTAGCCTAAAACTAGATTTCTTCTCTTTTGTTCAAAAACTTAATCAAATCAGCCATAAAGAATGAAAATTTAGTGAAACTAATGTGAATTACCAAACCCTCTTATAGAAGTAGTTCTGGGTGGGTTGGGTTTTTATTTTTATTTTTTGGTTTATGGCAGAGCTATTGGCTAGATGGCGTGGGACGGGGTGAGGGAGGAGATCTGTTGGGGAGTGAGGGGAGGGGGTGGCATGGTGTCTTGATACTTTTCTGGAGAGAGAAGATGGCGATGGTGGTGCTAGTATCAAAGAACTTCCTAATATGCTTTTTATTTTATTATGTACTGATTGTGGTGCTGGGGAGCTACTGGGAAGGATGGTGGTGTGAGGGATGGAGACTCTGCAATTTTCTCACCTTCCACACAGAGCCCAGATGATAAAATGGGTTCCGATTTAAAATCAGCATCTGGGTCTGTCTCATATCCTTTGAATCCCTCAGAATTTTCAGTGAGAAAGGGGAAAAAGGTAAAAAAACGAAATTGAACCATGGGTCAATTTGATCTCCTTCGAATTCATCGAACTGATATCCAGAAAGTTCAATTTCATCTCCTTTGAATCCCTCAGATGAGCTATTTGTCTGTGCAGCGACGAAGAGAGAGGGAAAGAGACGGGGAGAGAGAGGAAGAGAGATTTTATTTTTTTCATTTTAAAAAAATTTAAATACTGATTTTAATATTTTAAAATTTATTTTAAAAAGTAGATAATTTTTTATTAATTTTTAGTTCACATGGAAGTCCATGTCATCAAAAAAAGGGGTCCCATTTTTGACACATCAGCATTTAACGGATTTCCTGACGGATTCGCTAACGGAGGGGGCGATCTGTAAGTTTTCGCGAAGTTGTGTATGTACCCATAAATGTTCCCAAGGCGGGTTTTCTGTAGTTAGTCCTTGATTTTTCCTCCATCATGTTTTAAGAATAAGGTGTGGTCTAAATTACTTTTAGTGTATCCAAAATTCTTCATGGACTTAGCATATCTTTCAAACCACACCCTGGGAGACTGTTTTAACCCATATAGTGACTTTCTGAGCTTGCAAACTTGATTTTTCCTGTCATGAACTAGATTACATCCTTGCGGTAAATCCATGTATACCTCTTCTTCCAAGTCTCCATGTAAGAAGGCATTTTTATCATCGAATTGATGTAGTGGCCAATCTAGAATTGCTACTAGAGACAGTAGGACTCTGATGGTGTTGATCTCAGCTACTGGGGCAAAGGTCTCCTCGTAGTCCACCCCATACTTTTGTGTATGACCCTTCGCCACCAATTTGACTTTATATCTTTCAATGGATTCATCTGCTTTGAGTTTCATAGTATAGATCCACCAGCATCCTACTTTATTTTTCCTCTGAGGTAAAGGCATGAGCTCCCATGTGGCATTCTTCTGGAGAGCTAGCATTTCCTCATCCATGGCTTCTTTCCACTTTGAGTCTTCTAATGCTTCATTCACACTACTTGGGACAGATATATCGGTCAACTGCACAAAGTGTACATGTGACTCTAATAATCTGCATAGAAATATATAATTATTAATGGGGGTATTTTCTTTTCACTTTAGGATCTGCTTTGTACTCTACTCGTTTACCACAGTTCTTCCTCCCTGGAAGTTGGTATATAAGGGTATCTACATCATTTATGCTTTTTAAAATCAAATCATCATGATATATTTCATTAGTGTTATCAATTTCAGGGGAAGATGTTACTTAAATGACTTCGTTAGCAGGATATTGGTGTGGTACTATAGCTGAAGAGAGGTCCAGAGCGGGCAAAATCTCAGAAAATAGATCAACTTCCTCCTCCTGATTTAGGCAGCATGGAGGCGACTAGTCGTTTTGTATTGGTGACCAGTCGTTTTGTATTGGCAACTAGTCGTTTTGTGGCAGAGTCTCAAGATTGGAAAAACCGAGTGGAGGCGACTAGTCGCTTTGAGGCTAAGACTCTTTCACTGTGAAAAAATCCAGAAACTTTGAGGTGCTTAGTTTTAGATTCTTCTCATGTGCTTTTGAAAAATATATGTCGTGTTCCTGGAACACTACATCCATGGAGGGATGTCCTTCTGGCTTAGATGATGATAACATCGGTAGCCTTTCTTATGAGGAGCGTAGCCAATGAAAACACACTTTTCTGCTCGAGGATCCAATTTGCTTCATTCGTGATCATGTAAGTGTACAAATACAACACAGCCAAAAACTCATGGTTTAAGGTTTGGGGTCGGAGGTATTTAGATATGGTGGTGAAGTGTTTGAAAAGGAGTTTGGAAATTCAAGGTACTTAAAGGAGTCTGATTGAGTAAGGTAAGCTACAAAGATGATGACATCTCCCCAAAATGACTGAGGCATGTTGGCACCAAAGAGGGAGGCACGAAACACTTCCAGTAAATGTCGATTCTTTCGCTCAGCCACCCCCATTTTGTTGGGGAGTATATGGACAAGAGCGATGATGTATGATGTCATGATCCTGTAAGAACTTGTTGAGATCATGGTTGAGAAATTCTCCGCCATTGTCAAAACGGAGAACCTAGATTTGAGCATCAAACTGAGTCTCCACCATTTTATGGAACTATTGAAACTTTAAACTGACTTCCCTTTTAGTTTTGAGAAGGGAAACTCAGGTCATACGTTTGCAATCATCTATAAACATGGCAAACCATCGAGCTCCTGCCAAAGTGGAAATTTTAGTAGGCCCCCAAACATCAAAATGAATAAGAGAAAAAGGAACCAAACTTTTATTTGAACTGAAGGGAAAAGGAACATGATGGCTTTTGGACAATTCACAAATGCCACACAAAAAACTGGAAATATTAAAACTGGATAATAAGGACGGAAATAACTTATGTAAATAACCAAACGAAGCATGTCCAAGAAGCCTATGCCATAACCATACTTTGTCTTTTTGTTTCTCAACACTATCTCCCCCCATATTGAAAGCTTGACTGACTATGGCTTTACTATTAGGTGTCAAGTCCAAGTAGTAGAGTTTGCCCTTCCTAGTACCACCACAAATCGTCTTGATGCTAAGGATGTCCTTAAAAACACAATGAGTTGGCCAAAAAGTTACACTACAATCCAAAGCCATAGTAATTTGGGCAACAGACAATAGATTATGATGCAAGGATGGAACAATCAACATAGAATTCAAATTGAAGGAGTCAGAGAGAGATAAATAACCCTCCCCAATCATAGGGGAGGGGATACCATTAGCATTAGGCACCACTAATGGAGGAGATGGTGTATGAGAGGTAATTGATCTAGGATCAAATGTCATATGTTAGTCACTCCATGTGTTTTTCCTGGATGAAGTATTTAAAACATAACCTTTGGTACATGTCATGGCTCTAGAGGCAGATGTAGGAGCCGGTGTAGCCGAAACAGCAAAACTTATAGGAAATTCTTTGTTGAGCCACCATGACAGAAGTTTCCTAAGCACTAGTCATGGACATTCTTTGTTGAGCATCCCTACGAACATAAGAAAAAGTTTGGTCAAGGTCTAATTTAGGATCTTTGCATAGTATTTCCCCTCGGACTTGATCAAACTTAAGGTCAAGTCCTGCGAGAAAAAGGTAAACGCGAAAACGATCAACTTCTGGCACTCAGTAAGGTCAGTGGCCCAGTTCATGTGGATGTGACTCTAATGGTCAATTTCTTGAAAGCTGCCTTGCAACTAGATATAGTATTTATGAACAAGTGCACCATTATGTTTAATAGTGAATGCTCATTTGTTCATATCAAAAAGATAAGATTCATCTCCACCATCATAGTAAGTCTTCTTGAAGGCATCCCAAATTTCTTTGGCAGTACTTAACCGGATTAAACGACCCATTAATTCACAAGACATTGAGTCGATTAGCCACCCCTTGACCTGAAAGTTCTCCGTACACCATTTGTTATAGGTTGGAGAGAGCTCAGGAGGTTTCAGAGTGTCACCGGTTAGGTATCCCAATTTTTCGTGGGCAGCAATTCGAATCTCCATGACCTAAGACCATAAGGTATAACTAGTCTTAGTAAAGGTGACACCGACAGGGAGTGGGGAGTTGTCACTCTGAATGGTGTTGATTTAAGGGGTGGAGGTAGAAGATCCTCCTGTGAGCGAAAGCGGTTCGTTGGCCACCATAGTGGAACGATATGAGACTTTGATAAGGGTATGCGTTTGGGGATTTCGATAAGTGGATTTGATGTGACGCTTATGGAATTTGATTTAGGATTTGTGTTTGATTTTGAGGATATGATTTGAGGGCTTAGAGACGACCTAGGATTGACCGCTATGATACCATGCTAAAATAGGAATATGGTTTGAATATTTCAGGTTAAATGTATTCTTCTATGTAAGGATGAGTATATAGGAGTTTACAAGTGTGCTTTACAAGGAAATAGATACATGAATTAATTAGGAGAATATCTCCTAATTATACAAGGATTGTCAACTATATGAAAAAAGGAAATAAATCACCTAATTAACTTAGGAAATAAATCTCCTTATTGGTTTGTTAGGTTAACATGTAGTGGCGTAGGCGTTGCGAGGCCCATATAGATACAAGATATCACTTCATAAGAGAGTGCGTAAGCAAGAAGGAGATAGAGCTAAAGTATGTGAAGTCTGAAGACCAAATTACATATATTTTCACCAAGCCTTTGAAGTTGGAGACATTTAGAAGATTGCGAGCATCACTTGGAGTTTGTCCCAAACTAGAGAACCATGTTTAAGTGGGAATGTTGAAAATAAGCATGCTTTATTAATTAGATTCAAGAGTTATGTATTTAATTATCGTATGAGCATTTGGAAAGACTCTAGAAGTTGATTGAGTGCATGTATTCAAGACTGGGAAGTAGTGGGGCTTTATTACCTTCAGTGGTTGTGATTACTATATATGCCGAAGTCCTGTAATCGGTTTGATGCACCCAAGTAATATGAAATAAAACTATCTTCTCTCAAATATTGTTTATTGTGAGTTTTATGTGTGAGGGTCCATCACCTTCCAATACGTACTGATCTACTTTGGAATCGGATAATCTCACCAGATGATCGAAATGATGACTGCAGACAATCGGAACGGCGAACATTGATGGATTTAACAAGAAGCACATCAAATACGTAGAATATTATGGTACATGAAAGCTCTCCATCTCAAAAACTATTACAATTGAAATTTTCTCTCTCTACAGAAATCAAATTGATGCCGTGATTTTGTTTTCATGGGAAAACTACTCTCTCTCTCTCTCTCTCTCTCTCTCTCTCTATTAAATATTTTGGAAAAGGAAGTGAGGCGTTAAACGTGTGTGAAATTGTGAGAAAAGATACTAGAAAACAAAGAACAAGGAAAATAAGGTAATAAAATTATGAGCAATTTAATGCTAAAAGGGCAATGAAAGTATTTCATTTCATTGATTAAGCTAAATAAATGTACAACTGTCAGTTTTGGGGTTTTTTTGGGTTTATTTATAGAAATAAATGGTATTGTGTTTATTTGCAACACTAGTGCTAAGAATGGATATATAACTAAATTTCTGTATGATTAGAAGACCACATGAAGTGGTTCAAGACAATATAACATCTTACTGCAACTGGGTACATTAGAAAGCTATGCTCATACTACCTATATATCAAGTAAAACATCATCAATAGTTTTCTTGTTTTAATTGTTTTTCCCAACAGTTTTATTTGTTGTTATGCTTAAACACCACCAATCAACTTGATAAGTATTAACCATATTTTGTTTTCAATATGTAGATTTTACTTTATCCATAGGTACATAATTTCATGTGGGTGCTTGTCTAATCGATTGGTATAATATGTGGGTCTTTACTTTCAATGATTAAATTGTATATTATCCATATATTAGGTAAATATTATCAAGGAAAGAATTCAAATTTAAATTCTAAAATTCAATTACAAGGAAATAATGCATTGAATTTGGATTTTCAATGTGTTTTCCTTTTTTGCCTTAAGGGTAAAATCGACACAACAAAAATAGTAATAAAAGTCAAAGGATCTACATCTAAAACCAAAAACGTGTGGACTAAGGCGTGTTTGGGATTTTTTTTTTTCGCCAAAAACCTGTTTCACTTTAAAGTTAAGGCATTTTAAGATGTTCCGTAAAAATAAAATATCTTGATTATTTTAAAAGTAATGGCATTTTGACAGCAACTAGTTTGCTTTTTAAAGCTGCTTTCAAAAGAATCAAAGATGAGCCTTTAATGAATTTTTTCAATTCCCACAATACCATCATTAATTTTTTTAAATGACATCATCCAACTCCACCTTCATCACCTCCACCACTACCACTCATCACCTCCACCACTACCACTTTCACCTCCACCTCCACCTCCAATTCCACCCCCACCTCCACCTCTTTCACCACCTCCTCCTTCATCTCCCCCTCTGCCTTCATCACCACCATTGACACCTTTATCTCACCTCCAGCACCACCTCCAGCACCACCTCCACCACCTCTTTCACTACATCCTCCTCCATCTCAACCTCCACTTTCATCACCACCACCATCACCTTCACCTCAATCTCTTTCATCACCACCACTACCACTACATGATTAACACAACATTTTCAACATCATATCTATTTTAGTCATTATTCATAGTTACAACATTTTTATATTAAAATTAACCAAACGACATCACTTTAAAAATCTTGTTTACCAAACATGGAACTATTTTACTTTACATCTGATTATTTTCAAAGCAAAAAGCAACTTTTTTAAAGAGTGACAGTAATCCCAAAATGACCATAAACGCAATGACAACTAATCGTTTTGAACCTATATCTAAGAACCCCAAACAAATACTAATGGACCAAATGCTCATTATCCCCGCAACCATACAGCTTCACATGTCATCATTCTCCTTAAATTTATTCTGGTTTTCATTTTTCCGTAAGTCGATAAATAATTGGTAAGTGACCAACAAAGGCTGGTTGAATTCACCAAAGAATGGCTGCTTTTAATTTATTTCTTCCCCGAAAAGAGAACGAATATTAGCCCTTCTTAGGAGATCGTCTTCAACCTCATGTTTTTCACGAACGAGTTGGTTGTAACTCGTTTTATCATGCAGGGCCTAACAATGCACAATTATGTTAACGACTCAAAAATACGAGCTTACAATAGAATCCTTTATAGTAATTAACTTCTATTTTATAGTAATTTAGTTTAATTATATAAATCTATTTTTGTCATAGGAAGGGGAATTTAGTCACGCACTTGGGCATATAGAGATTTCAAACCTGAGACCACTCGTCTTTGGCCAAACATACTTTTCCTCTATGGTATGACCCCATTGGCTAGTTTATATATATAGTGATTTTACTAATTTTGAGCAATACAACTAAAGGAACCTAATGGTAGTACAGGTAAATGTCTATGTTAGAACCTGTAAGTTCGCATTTGAATAGGCACAAACATCTGAGGTCAGTGAGCTTTTTAAGGTTATGAATTTACAGAACAAAAGAACAAGATCCAGTCAGATCGTTTTAGCTCCAGATAAGGAATATTTGCAGCACAACCTAGTCTAAGAACAAACCGATGGGTGCAGCTTCAAGAGGAATGGAAACTCAAAAAAAGAGGACTAGAGGAACCTTCCCGTCTCTCACCAAAAATAAAAAATAAAAAATTCCTGCCTAAACGTCTGTCAGAAGGGCTAGCCTTGATCAAACGTTGGTAACTAAAAACTTCCATATACAGAAATAGCTCATAACTAACATGGCTGGTCGACCAGCTTCACCTTTTTCCACCAGTGTTGACTCGTGGTTTGCTCTTAACCTCAGCTTCCTGCAACCAAAGAAACATATAAACGTGCAGTCTCGAGTATTTTCAGGACATCATGAACAAAACTGTTGAAATGTATTGTCTGAATATACCTGTGGCACGTGGAGGAAAATGTAGTTCTTTGCGGTAGCTGGATTATGATTTTCAGCACCCTTGCTCCAATCATAGCAAACCTGCAAACACAAGTTTGGAAAAGATCTTTGATTTCAAATTATGAGAAGAAAATATGTGGAGAGTTTGGTTTTCAAGTCATATTGGCTTGTACAGAAAGCATAACCATCAATTTAAAAATGCAATGCGAGGCATTTAATTACTCTAAGATATTGTAACCATAGACCACCATTAGTCACTGGTGTACAGAAAGAAACATCATTGTACAGTGGCACACAACAATAGAAAAAAGAAACAATAGTTAAAGGTGAGCAAGCGTGTAGATCTAAGGTTTATTGGAGGTAAAATTGAGATTGCAGAAAGGTTGATCATCATTGCAAGAACTAATTGGAAAAATACATCCACAAAAAGCATTGCCTGAAATTTTGGTACAACAACAATCCAAATATTCAAGGATGGTTTACTATAAAGTCATTAGTCATGGGGGATTGTAGCTCCAGTGGATTTTTACCCCCAGAATCAAGCACAAAGTTTGAACTTCCCTCTGGTCTCCTTTGTACCTAGATAATAAAAGAATGCCATAATAGTGTACAGTTGAATGACCTCTCCTCATAAAGTTTGAGCTTGCTGTACTCTGTTTCCCAAAATGTAATCTAACATACCTACTTCTACTACTTTAAACCAGTGGAAGAACATGAATTGTATACATTTCTGACCCCAGATTTGGAAGAGGAAACCCAGAAAAGTTATAATTACCGCATATGCAAATATGGAACCATCATTGTTGAATGTACTGCAAGGTATAGGTTGATTGCACCTTGACATTGCCTGAAAAATCAGAAAAAGCTGTATCAGACACCTATACGCATATAAATACATAGGATCAGCCATAGACCGAACATATAAACAAGGAGATAGTTGGAGAATTGGCAAGGTCATGCCAGTAAAAGAATATGGGTTCTGCAGAATTAAAGACAACAAAGTAAGCCTGCCAGCTTAGCTTTTACTTATCAGAACAGAACCAACAGTTAAGAAGCACATAATACAAAGACAAAAGAAATAGAAAAATGATGTGGGAGAAACCTTTAGTCTCTGTTTGCTATCCTTATCCCAAAAATTGAAAGAACCATCAGAACCAGCAGTAGCAAATGTGTGATGCACCTGAAACAAGGGACGCAAATAAGCTTTAAAATTACAAACAATAGTAATAGAACATGAAAACACAGATTTATCCAACATTTCTTTGAACAACCTAACAAGAACCATAATGAATGGCAATGAATGCTGCAAAAAAAGTTCAGACTGATCATAGAAAATATCAAAATTAGGCATTCCCAGTCATAATTCTTTAGTAAAACAAAGTACACCGATCTAAATGCACTTAAAGTTACCTCATATGATAGAACAAAATCAACTGAAATATATTTAAAGGAAACTTAAAAATTCGTGCATATGCCAATAAATCCACTGATATAAAAAATCTGAAACCTGAATGATAGATAGCATAAAATCTGAAATCCTCACGATACATAGAATAATATACAAGTCGTGTAATCTTAAGGTGAGGACTGTAGCAATGAAACTAATACCATACTTATACAAAAACATCATACTCTATGAATCACAAGGTTGAAAACAATCTCAGCGATTTTTCTTAACTAGGATACTGAAACATGAGAACACTAAATTAATGAAGTGGTTTCATAAGCTAAAGGTAATCCACCAGAAGAAATACAAACATTATTAAGCCCCTCAGTGCATTATCCAGAATATATATATATATATATAGTTATTCTCTTATCCGGATGTCCGCATGTTATTATCGTGCGGATGCTATTGTAAACAGGCAGGAAAGCACGGAGGGGTAGTACAAAATACATGGCGTCCACACGATAATAACGTCCGGATGTCCGCATAGGTGAATTTCTGTATATATATATAGATATGAAAAATAAAAAAGGCAAAGGAATGGTAATACAAATCATACTGGATGGAAGTTCAGAGAGTTGACTGAGTATATCTCGCTGCCCTCTCTATGGCACTTAAAGGTAAAGTTTTTATTTTGTTGTTGTTCATCCAGATGATGTACGCCAACCCTCCCTTCAATGGAGCCAACCTGGTTACGCATAATGTCAGAATCATAATTAGTTAACTATTCAGAGAAGATAAAAATTATGAAGCAAAGACTGAGTATGCATGATCTTACATCATTTTCAACAATCACATAAGTCAAGAAAAAGAAAGTACAATGGCAAACGGAAGAACTGATGACAAAGAGGCACATCAACTTTGAACAAACATTTGTTTAAATTTCTCGCCCTTTTTTTTCCTAATCTCATTTTGAGAAATTACAATAATCTCTATGTCAAAGTCCAAGATTTTTAAATAAACTGGTCACCGCTCATATTCTTCAGATTCTTTATATCCCCTAGATAACTAAGGTTATGCTTGTGTCTCCAGAAATTATCACATTAATCAATTGCTATTCATAAACAAGAAAGCACACCATGAATAATTCATGTTTGGTGAAAATAATTATGCAAGAATACCATATTTTAGTTTGTCATTCTACCTAAGCTATTTGAAAAAGAGGAGAACTATATTTTCAGAGAGAACCCAGAACAGAAAACTACGAGCAGAAGAGAAAATACTTACCAAGAATCCTTGCTGATCAGGAAACGCAGCAACACACCTTGTTTGATACTTGAGGGGCGAAAGAATTCTCTTGAATTCAGTCTGTTGGTGATTGGAAATAATTAAATTTAGAGGCACCATTGCAATTTATTGTGGAAAAGTGATGTACTGGAATTGAAAACTAAAAAACTAAAGAAGCTTATCCTCATAGTACCGCCAAAAAATTATTTTTTAAAAAAACAGCCTATATTCTCTGTTTGATTTGATCACCTTCATGAACAAAGTTACTAAATAAGTAAGCCTGATTTACTTTTTAATGTGATTTTCTTGCATGAAATTGATAAATAAATCTAATCTGATAACTCCTAAAAATAAAATTTACCTGTGGGTTCTGCAAGTTAAAAACAATCAGATTTCTGTCTGCTGTGCCAACAACCATTAGAGGGTATCTCACTGATAGAGCATAACAGCGCTCAGGTAGTTGTTGGGTATGCACTGGATTTGGTTGCCTCACGTCCCAATACCTGAAGATAGGCAGAAAAGATCATACATAATAAACAGAAAACTTGGTATCAAGGCAAGATGACAAAGCTTTAGTAATTTATGAAATAAGTCAAGGTAGAAAAACAATACAACACCTCAACAACTAGAAGAAACTTAGTTCTCAGATGAATGAGAACATTCTTTAATAAAGAAGAAAATATATGAGCAAAAAGGGTGCAAAACTGGCAGGAGCAAAGCACAACATTCTCAGTGGCACTACCTCCCATAACCTTAAATGAATTATTTTTGAAAGAATACCACACAAATTTCTGGTGTATAAATTTCAGATAGCTCAAAATACATAAGAACAAATGCTATGTTTTACTTACTTCATAGTCTTGTCCCAGCTTCCTGTGACTAAGAGGCTCATCTCAGGGATCCAAGCAATCTCTTTAATGGGTGCATCATGCATGGCAACAGTTACTGGCTGGCCACCCAAAGGCCACATCTTAACTTGCTTGTCACAACCTCCAGAGAATACAGTCGTTCCATCCTCTTTCCAAGTTGAGCACAAAACCTATATAGATGAATTGTATTACGATGTGTATACTAAATCATGAATCACCAGCTTACAATAAAGAAAGAAAGAAAGAAAACTTTGTAAGTTATATCACAGAATTTCCTTAAAGGACACACATTGATCCCATGCACTCTCAAAATACATGCACTCTCAAATTAAATGCACATGCTCGTTCATTGCTCAAAAAGGACTCTCTATCTTTTTAAATAATATTGCATAAAGATACTACTAAATTTACTCATTTTGAAATCAGCACCAGATTGCAATTGTCCTTGACGTCTTCATTGGAAACCTAAGATCTTGCAAAAAGGTCTCACACCTACCATAATTATTATTATTATTCTGTCCTTCTACAAGTAAAGGCAGGCGATCTAGAATTTAAATTCTGAACAGGTATTTCTAACTCCACCATCGCTGTGATAGAAAGTTATAATTGACTCATTGTAAGCCAGTATGTGCATATATCCATAATTATACAAGAGGTTCAAAATCAAGGTGAATGAGAATCGAAAAAAAAAAAAAAAAAAAAAAAAAAAAAAAAAAAAAAAGAAGCATAAACAATGGTGCAAAAACAAGATAATGTTACCGGATGGTCCATGGGATATCGCTGCCTTGGGCTGACTGGCAAGATTTGTTCCGCTCTGGAGTATCTCCCAGCATCGCACCTAAACCAGGGAACACCACCAGTCATTACTAAATCCTAACAATACACTGTTTGGTTGCAAAAGAAAGGAAATGGAAAAGAGCAGAAATTATAAATGCCCAATGTTTGTCTTATTTCAGTTAACATGAATTACATAAGCAGATTGTACCCAAAAAAATTTATGTTAACCTCACAGCATATTGTCTTATATTCTGAGTTCTCAATAAACCACAAGTTCAATGAGATGGTCACAGAAATTCAATCAAAATCTCTACAAATAAATTTCTTAGCAAACAAACAGAGCCTAAGGTTTTATAACTGAAAAAAACCACAAAAAGAAAAACGAAGAAAATAAAAAGAGCATGAACCTGGTTGTCCCAGGAGGTGGCGACCAGAATGTTGCTTTTGGGACTGAAACTTAGGCTTGATATGGAGTCGTTTGGAGGTTGAGCGACCTAAAAAACACACAAAATAAAACTAAATTAACTCAGAAAATAAATACATGAAAGCAAGGAATAACTGGAAGTCGATCGAATTTACCTCAAAGGACTTGTTTGGATTTGGATTTGAATTTGAATTTACATTTGCAGCAGCCATGAAACTCGACATTGAAGTTGCACTCGAGCGTGGTACAGTGACAATGGCTTGTTGTCTACTTACAAATTTCAAAAGATAAAGAAACAGTGAGCATTCATCATACAACTAAAATCCGTAACACACACACACAGAGTGTTACCTGAGCAGAAGGAAGGAGAAGAAGAAGAAACTCAACGAAAATTAGGAGGAGCTGATTGCTTGTTTAGCAATTCTTATCGCAGCTAAAACTTACAGGGCCTAGGTTCGTTCAAAGAGAGAGAGAGGGAGTCGAGAGAGAAAGAGAGTATGGGGAGGCGGTGAGGAGAGGTTGGGATGGAGGTGGGTGGCGGTGAGGAGATGGTGGGGAAGATTGGGCGTTCGGGTTTGGGGAAGAAGGTGGGTGGGGGCGGCTTGAGATGGTGTTTTTTTTTTAAAATAAAAATATTTATTCAATAACTTTTCATTATTTGTTTTTTCACTCCAGGTGGCACAATATGAGTAATGAGTGAGCCCATTAATTGCCACGTCAGTATTCAACAAAAATTTGACAGTCAGACTATCGTACGAACGACTTCTACAACGTTCGTGAGGTAAAGAATGACGTTCGTTCGGTGAATGAGCACTTGGACTCCTGGGTTCTCCTTGGGTACCCACTCGGTCAGAAAATGGAGTGCCTCTTTCGTACCGTAAAGTACCAATTGCATCAACGTTTGATGCCATCGCATGCAAAGCACGTGGGATGAAATCCATGTTCTTTATAGAAGTGAAACCCGCCATAAAAGGTATCAGAACAGTTTTTTTTCAAGTTTTTCTAAATAAACATCGTACTTCTCTTTGTTCACCCCACATTCTAAGTTCACTCTAACTTCTAATTTAAATTTTCATAATTTCTAAGAAAACTCCACTATCTTCCCAAACTACCTCTAAATATACACCAAGCATAAGAAGAAAAAAAATTAAAAAACTCATCAACCTCACACCCCACACACCGCTATCTCGCCCCTCACCACTTTAAGTTCACTTCAACCTCACATTACTTAAAGAAAAACACTATTGTCAAATTTGTAGCAGCATTGAGTATGAACTATGAAGTTTTGTGAAGAGAAAATAAGAGTAGTAGGCTTCTTGGATTGAAGAGTAATCTGGCAATAGGGTGTAGAGGAGTTTGTGTTTTTCTAAAACTTAATATGAAGAGTGGTGGGGTGTGTGGGGGTGTGTGTATAGATGTACTAGGGTTAAGTATTAAGTTGGATGACTTGTTTTGTCTTTTTATACAATAATAAAACTTAAGAGCTTAATGAATTAAGTATTTGAGTAAACAAAGAAAAGTGTGGGGTTTAAATAAAAAATGTAACATCCCACATCGACCAACGGAGAGGGGGTGATGTGCCTTATATGTGCATGCCCGCCTCCATCTAGCACGAGGCCTTTTGGGAGTTCACTAGCTTCGGAGTCATGGGAACTCCAAAGTTAAGCGAGTTGGGGGCTAGAGGAATCCCAGGATGGGTGACCTATTAGGAAGTTGCTCGTGAGTTCCCAGAAACAAAACTGTGAGGGCGGAGAGGAGGGCCCAAAGCGGACAATATCGTGCTGTGGCGGAGCCGATCTCGGGATGTGACAATTTGGTATCAAAGCCACTCTGCCGTGTGGTGCGAGTGTGCTGACGAGGACATCGGGCCCTTAAGGGGGGTGGATTGTAACATCTCACATCGACCAACGGAGAGGGGGTGATGTGTCTTATATGTGCATGCCCGCCTCCATCTAGCACGAGGCCTTTTGGGAGTTCACTAGCTTCGGAGTCATGGGAACTCCGAAGTTAAGCGAGTTGAGGGCTAGAGCAATCCTAAGATTGGTGACCCACTAGGAAGTTGCTCGTGAGTTCCTAGAAACAAAACCGTGAGGGCAGAGATGGGGGCCCAAAGCGGACAATCTTGTGCTACGGCGGAGCCGATCCCGGGATGTGACAGAAAAACTCTTTTTTTTTCTTCTTAAAAGAACTGAGAAGCCAATTTCCCTCCTCTCTTAAGGGCAGAGAGGGATACAGAGAGGAGAGAGAGATACAGAGATCAGATAAGGATATTTTTCTAGGAAGCACGCTTAGTCTTCTTCCTCTAACTCAAAGAGTTATAGGTATATTGTGCTATTAGCATTTAACAAATTTGGAGAAATCTTTGGTTGAAATCAAAATTGTGAGGTACAAGGTCACGAATTAGGTGCTATATTGAAGCCTGAATCGATTGAGTGATTACCATATTATGACTTCGGATGACAAGGAGATGTAATCAAGACGATAAAGCACCAAAATATAGTGGTAAGTTGTTGATTTCATTTTAATTTGGTTTGGCTTTTTTATTTTCCTTATACCTTACAATTTCCGTTTCACCCTAACATTTTCCCCAATTGTTAAACCATAATGGCACAATACACCCTAACTCGTTCAGTTAGAGGGAGAAGACTGAACTGCTTTCAAAAAAATAAAAATAGAAACTGCACTTAACGGAATGTTTTTAAATTGTAAATTTTGGGAAACACAGTGACCAATTTGACTAAATTTTTTTCTCAGTAACCAAATTTTCGAGTAAAATCCAGTGACCGGAAAAGTATTTAACCCTCAATTTGATTTGTCATTTTTCATCACATATGTTGCACAAGCAAACACTTCATGTGAATATCTTCGTTGCATCTAATCTTCTCAAACTTCATGAATGACACTTACCAAATACTCATGTTGAGCAGCATGTTCTTAGTTTGAACGTGAAAACAAACTTGTGTATTGTTGAGAATCATGTTCTTGGTTTGATGAAGCAGCATGTGTACTTGAAGCAAAAATGAAAAGAAACTAAACTTTTTATTCTAAATGAGATAAGAATAAAATTGTTTTTCATTTTAAATAAAAACTAGAAAACAATTGTCAAATTTTTTTTTCTTCATATATTAACCGAATTAGTTTTATATTTTATTGATATTGTTCACCCTAAAAGGAAAGTGGGAGTAACACACAAGTAAGTTGTGTACTGCCCTCTCCTCTGTTGGATCAAATTGAAATAGGAGTTTTGCTTAAGGCCTAAGTAATATGCCTCAAAATTTCCCAAATGTTTTGCTGAATAGGCGTGCTAATATTGGTGCTGGGCTAAACCCAATAGAATGATGATTAGTTGGTATGTTGTCTGGTTTTTAATGATTTGCGCTCAAAATCTTAACCTTTAATTAGCCATTGTGCTCTAAGTGGGGAACTGGCTCGAATTAGTTCTTTTCAATGCTTTGTATGATTAAAAACTTCAATATTCTCTTTATGAGCTAGTGCAAAAAGATTCTTTGCAAATTTACCCCAGACTGGGCTGAAAATCTCAAGACCGAGCAAGAAATCTCAAGATCGAGCCACCTTGCCTGGTAAGAAATGGTTGTATTTTATTGTCCGATATTGGTTGCAATAGTTATAAAATGATAAAGGAACACTTTATAAACTTAAACTTAATTGATAAACAATGTTCGGAATTGAAGATCTCTTAATTCAATTCAATACAACAAGAGTTTGAAATAAAAGACAGATAAACTGATAACAAAAACTAGCCTAGCAACTAGGAATCATACCAAATATTGATAGAGCAATAAACTTAAAAGACAACTCATGAGTTGTCAACTAGGAATCTTAATACAAAGGAAAGTAGTTTAGTTTAATGAGATCAAGTGTTGATCGAGTCTGAAGTCTTTTATGGGGAGAAAAGTTGTGTGTCGTGAGAGTTGTGCTCTACTAGTATATATAAGCTCCTTGGTTCTTCAATCTAAATGCTTGGTGAAAGGATGGTTGAGTATGCTGTCAGTCCCTTCCTCGAGAGCTTGAGTTGGTAAACTTAAGTGCCTTGATCCCTATGTTGATGGTGAGAACTGCTCAAGCATGGGTTTTCTTTAACAATTTGGTTCAGTGGTTCATGGCTCAAATTGTATTTAATGTGGTTGCTCAGTCTTTCTTTTGCCACCTAACTCCCTCCCAGTTGTCGAAGTCAACACAAGCTTAATTGGGGTAAAAGCAAGGTCTAAAATATCGGTAGTCCAAAAACACGAAAATTTCTATGGAAATATCGGGATATTATCGATATTGATAAAAATCGAATAAAAACCACGGAAATTGTAAGAAAGACTTGGAAATTTTTATTGAAACTTTGGAGGATGCTTATTTAGTCAATTATCTATTAGTTTATCACAAAAAATTGGAAGGAAATACATTGCATGATGGATTTAACTAATTTAAGTTAATTATATAGCGAGCTGACAAACGTAGTGAGTGTAGAAAATATGTAGTAATATGTAGTAATTAATGAAAAAAGATTAAACACACTACAATCATTTATATATAATGATTTATTACAATATTTTACATTTTATACATTGCATGGTAAGATACATAAGTGACTTAGTACCACATAGAGTTCCTATAAGGTTCAAATTGTTCACTATCTTCATCATCTCTATTTGTAGAGTAAGTGTATTGTGAAGAGTAGTCATCAAATGATAAATCCCCAAAATAGTTTTGCATGTAATTGTTAACATGCCACTCATATAGATCCGAGATTAGTTGACGTTGTCCATGAGCAAAATCATTTGAAGATTGAGTCTTAGATTCTTTCCATGAGCTGCTCGATTCCTTCCCAAAAGGAATGAGATATGAAGGGTAGGGAAATAATTGGTTATGAGTATAATCATAGTTATTACTTCCCACTCCAATAGAGTCTGAAGTTATAGATAACGAATCATCTTCTTGACTTGACAAAATCGCCTTGCCTCTTTCTCTACGAGTATAATCATCTTATAGATAATGAATCATCTTCTCACATGCACCAGTTCACACAAATTTTTTGTTGTTATATAAATTATAATAACATATATATAAGTTTGTAAACTTACCTTAAATATGGAACCCTTTGTGTAAAGGCCAAATAGAATCTACATGGACCAACAAGAAAACAATAATGAAACACGTGTAACAAAATGTGATGGAAGCATATAAAGTCTTTAATAATGAATTTAGAGACAATAAATACACATGTAAGTGACCAAATAAAGAATAGAAAAATTAAAAACCACATGCCATTGACTAAGTAATTAATTGACACAATTTAAAATATAATACCACCAAAAATTTGGAATAGATAATAATAAACATGCAAATTAAATAACAATAATGAATGAGAATAACTTACTATAAACTTGCGGGGAAATTGAGGTTGATAGATGTTGAGAAAAATATGAGCATTATGTTTGTTTTGGAGAGATGTTAAGAAATAAAGGACGGCATGAGACCATTTGATTTCATTTGTATATATAGAAATAGAATTATCGAACTATATGTATAGAAATATGACTACAAATAATTAGTTAGGTGAGTGGTTGAATGGTGAGGTAAATGAGTAAGTTGAAACGTGGTGAATAGTTGAAAAGTTGAAACTTGAAAAGCAGCTCGCAAGTATTATATATACTAGATTCCATAGTTTATATTCACAAAGTTATGAGCAGCGTGGTTGTTAAGTGCCTGCAAATTTCGGAGTGGAGAGGGGTTCAAACCCCATTGTGTGCGAGTGAGTGAGTTTAAATTGTTTAATTTTTGAAAGTCTCACAAGTAATATATATACTAGATTCCATAGTTTATAATCATAGAGTACACGGATACTAAGACTCAAACCCAGAACCTTTCCTAAAAGAGCAATTGCTCCAAATCACTATATTAGTAGGTCATTTGCAGATAACAACCACTTAAATTGTGGATAATGGCTTTTACTTTGAAGAGTCAAAACGTTTGGGCTAGCCATGAATTAGTATGAGAATTATTATTTATTTAATGTCAAAAAGTATGATTAGAACTTTCTAATCACATAGAAAACACTTGGGAAAATGAAAATCAGTTGTAACATGTATGTTAAGGCTAATTTTATTGCTGATCTTTTGGTCGAGAAGTGTTAGTTTTTTTTCACAAGAAAAGAGAAAAGAAAAAAATAGAAATTGCAGTGCGTATATTCTTATTTTTTTTTGTTTGCAAGTTAATAAAGAAAATGAAGATCACACAAAACTTTAAGACACTTTCCATCTGGCGAACGTGATAATCTAAAATTTTCCTTCTCGTGAAATCCAACTGCCACGTGTCACTCTCTGGTGATAGCAGCTTTGCATTTGCGATTTGCCTTCTTCTTTGTCAAAAAGACTGGACTGGATCTCATAATATCATTCATAACCAATTTCACAACACACAGAAAACGACAGCATAATAAATAAATAATATAAAAAAAAATCTGTGTTTCTTCCCTCACGTTCATTGATAGAAGAAAAAAAATCTGTTTAAATAGACAGTGAGAGGCATCCGTTGTTTCCTCTGCTCTTTTGGTTCTTCGAATCAAACGAACAACAATCTCAGATTTTTATATTGTTTTTGCTTGGCAAGTGCCAGTTTTCTCTTTCATATGCTCTCTCCATTGCTTTGAGTTTGAGCAAACGTGGAAGGAAACAAACAGCTTTCGATTTCTGTGAAGGTGGACATCGCTACCAGCTACTTTCATGCCTCAAATTAATTTTTTTAAATTTTTTTCGTTAAGGTTGAATTGAATGTCGACTTTTTCATCTGGATTCTCTTAAATTTCTCGGGAAACTCTGGAATTATGAATCAATCCGCCGAGTCCTAGGCAATTTGCTTTCTGGGTTTCGTAAATTTCACTGCTTTTTTAAGGTTTATTTATTAATGGCATTTGGTTCATGCGTCTTTATCACTCACCTCAAGTCCCTTTCTCCCGCTCTTTGGCTGCTGAAGAAATGGAGGAAAAGATAAGAAAGTCAATGTTTTGAGCTCTTAATGTTGTTTGCTTTTCTTTTTCTAGTTACGTTCCCAGCAACCAAAGAGATTCTCAATCCTCAGAATTAGATTTTGTTTTTTTTTTTTTTTTTTTTTTTTTTTTTTTCTTTTTTTTTTTTTTTTTTTTTTTTTTTTATTATTTTTGGGAGAATGGGATGGAATGTTTTCTATGTACGTCTCAAATTACAAATTGCGTATGACCAGAATTGAGATATTTCCTCAGGGTTTGATCAAAGTTTCAAGAAAATGGTGGAATTGGGATTGTTATCCGGAACCAAATCTACGAAGCCAGTGCATGTGAGTTTCAGAATACCATATTATACTCACTGGGGCCAGAGCCTGCTCGTATGCGGCTCTGAACCGGTGCTTGGTTCATGGAATCTGAAGAAGGGTCTGTTATTGAGCCCTGTTCATCATGGGGATGAGCTCATATGGTTTGGGACTGTCCCTGTTCCGAAGGGATTCAAATGTGAGTACAGCTACTATGTGGTGGATGATAATAGAAATGTTTTGAGATGGGAGATGGGAGAGAAGCGTAAAGTGTTATTGCCTGAGGGGATCCAAGATGGAGAGGTGGTGGAGCTCCATGACCTTTGGCAGGTGCTACTTTTGTTCTCTCTCTCTCTCCTTTTTGGGTTATTATCATTTTAATTCTTATCATTGACACACTAATTGCTTTTACTGGCATAACTTTTATCGGATTCTCCTGATGCCTGATTCCCATCTTTATGACGGGAATGTTGTAGACTGCAGTTCCAAGCTTATAGTTGTTGGGATTTCGAGAATGTTATAGTATAATTCTCTTTTTATAAAAATTTGGAATCTTATAATGTTCCACCAGAAGTTATGGATTCAAAATATTTGTGCCTTTGGTTTCTTGTTATTTTCTTTTTCTTTTTCTTCTTTTGTTTCAGAATTTTATTTTTCTAGCCTTTCAAGCTCCAATTAAAAACTTAAAAGATTTCATATTAGGCCTGATCAGTATGTTTTTAATACTACTCTCTTTATCAGTTAGTTGATTTCCTACGGTTGCTAGAACATACTCAGACTGAATTATACTTAATTTTATATACAACTTTATCTAAAAATTCTATTCTCATGGTATCCAGGTTGGTTCCGATGCACTTCCTCTTAAAAGTGCCTTTAAAGACGTCATTTTTCATCGGAAGCTGAGTTTGGACATTGAGACACCTCTAGGAGTCATTCGGAGTACATTGGACCAGGAAGGTAATTGTACTCAAATTGAACTTTTTGGTTACTGCTAATGTAGTATTACATTTGCAAATCTCTCTCTCTCTCTCTCTCTTTGAAGCTAAAGTCACGTGCTATGTGCCTTCCCATTGTCAACAGATTCTGTTCTTGTCCATTTCAAAATTAGCTGTCCAAATATAGAGGAAGAAACATCGGTAACTGTCCCTTTTTCTCTAGTGAATTATTCAGATTTAACTGCAATTATGCTTATTAATATTATACTTGATAGCATTTACAAAGTTTGGTTTTGCAGATTTACATTATTGGTAATACCTTAAAGTTGGGACAATGGAATGTTCAGAATGGGCTTAAACTAAGCTATTCTGGTGAATCAATTTGGCATGCTGACTGTGTGTTGCCGAAGGGTGACTTCCCGATAAAATATCCTTGTTGAAGCTTTAATCTCGAACAATTTAGGTGTCCTAGTTATTAATGTCTTCTAGCTATTGTTAGACCCTATCTCGCTCCATTCCTTAACGAATGTTCTACATATAAGTACTGTAAATATGGCAAAAGAGGAATCTTTTCTCCAGAAACTGGTCCAAACCGTGACATCGTGCTTGACTCCTCAAATACTCAACCAAGATACATTTTCCTTTCAGATGGCATGTTGCGAGTAAGCTAGTGAACTTTAATTAATTTACCATAAAATATGTTTAAGTAAACATTCTGTTGCATAATGGTAAATATATAAAACAGTGTTGTGTTGCAAGGTTTTCACTGTTATGATTGTAATCTTTTTATTGGTTTTGTTAGGAAATTCCTTGGAGGGGTGCTGGTGTTGCTATCCCAATGTTTTCTGTTAGATCAGAAGCTGATCTTGGAGTTGGAGAGTTTCTTGACCTGAAATTATTTGTTGACTGGGCTGCAGAGTCTGGCTTTCATTTGGTTCAGCTTTTACCCATTAATGATACATCTGTGCATGGAATGTGGTGGGATTCATATCCCTACAGGTATTTGACACCTAATTATCATATTACTATAAATCTATTGTGTCTTCCTTGATGCTCTTGGCTATTCCTTTGAAGGTCAATGTAAATTTGATGTGTAAAACTGGCTAAAAACTATATAGAGGACTGATTTTTGACCCCAAAAAAAAAAATAGAGGACAGATTTTCGGCTGTTTGCCACTTTTAGCTGGATGATATGTACATTCTTAAGCTCATATTTTGGCGATTTTCAACTAAAGTTTAACTCAACACCATAAAAGGGAAAAGCCGTCTTGTTGTATTGAATATGATTCGCATGGAAAAGCAATTTCCATCTGCTAGTTCCATCTTGTCTGGCTTCCTAAATGGGACACCAAAACTACATCTTGAAGGGAGGATGGATAATTACATGGGAGTAGAAAACTGCCTTTTTTGACTTTCCTTTTCGAAAAGAGTTTAAAACTGTCTTGTTGTCTTCCACTCATGTTTAAACACTAAAATCCGCACCAAAATGCAACCTTGTTTTATTTATGGTTCTTGTATATTTGAAAGTGTGATCTCATTTAAACTTTGGCCTCCATTGCTTCATCATGCAGCTCACTTTCTGTATTTGCATTGCATCCTTTATACCTGAGAGTACAGGCACTTTCAGAAAATATACCCGAGGATATCAAGGTGATCTTTATAAATCTTGTTTACTAACAAAACCTAAAGTAACTTTTATCTTTTCTGAATGATGCTAAATTGGCTTCCCTAAAAAAAATATCATTTATCTTAATATTTGTCATCATTTGACTTGATTCTCTTTTTTTTTTTTTTTTTTTTTTTTTTTTTTTTTTTTCTGCAGATTCGAGAAGGCAAAAGAACAATTGGATGGCAAGGTAGTTCCTTAAAGAATATATGTATTTCTTAAATATCCCGGACAAAAGACATTAAGGAGTTCTACAATTCTACATTTGAATGAGGAGTATTTTATTAGGCAATCTGTACAGACTTCAGCTTATTTAAAATTGTTTGAAGCACATAGACTCTTTCATCTGCTTTGTGTTGCGTTTCAATTTCAAACCAAAGGTCCGATTGATATAATATCCTTCTAGTAATCAGCTCTATAAATTAGAGCGTAATTTAGGATAAATGCCTAATAATATTCAGTTTATATCAATGATACCTCGCGAGAGGGTGAGTTCTACCCATTGATTTAATTTGTTATCAGAGCTTTAGTTGCAGGAGGTTCTGTGATCAGAACTCCAAACTCCCATGCTCCTCTTATGTGCTAATTTAATGGTGTATGGTGCAATGTACTTTAGTGTTCTTGTATGTCTGCATTTTTCTGCCTCACCATGTGCCAGATGTGACGATCTGTTAGCATGTGAAGGAGAGTGTTGGCTTGATATACATTGCTGGCTCATTCCCCTGTACCTTAAGCTTTTGTGGTTGGTTTCTAACAGAACACGGGTCAACTTTTCCCATGACAGTAGTATTACATTAAATTAGATAATAGTCCAAGCCTATACTGCACCAAACATAGGAAAATAATACTCTAGCAATGCAGTCCAGTCCAAAGTAATAATCCAGCCAATCTAGCGTCCTACACAAGACCTACATAGTTGCACGTGGTCATAACTTCAACATTCAAAGATCCTTACTGGATGGATATATTATTTTTCATCCACAATTGTATAAGATGCACTTTGGATACGAGAATCATAAAAAATAGTTTAATGATGAAATGCAAATAATTTGTTATCTTTTCATTCTCTTTATCTTTCTTTTTATTGTTTTCTTTTTTGTGTTCAATGTTATCCTTTGATCTGATATGAAAAGATGATGGTCTTGTGTAATAGATCTTGAATATTTAGATATAATTGGCTTATTTCCAGAAAGTGCTCATGAATATTGACGAATATTTGTTTCACCCAAATTTTGGTAATCTTTGGTAATTCTTTTTGTTGTTAATGACATGAGAAAATAGTTAACAACTCTCATGGGCATAGTTATGATGGTGATGGTAGTGTCTACATCGCTAACTATACAAGTGGGTCTTGAAATTAATATATTTTTGTTTGGATCTGTGCAGAATGTTGATTATGAGGCTTCTTTGTCTACTAAACTTTCAATCGCAAAGAAAATTTTTGCCCAAGAGAAGGATTTGATTCTTAACTCCAGTTCCTTCCAGAAATTTTTTTCTGAGAATCAGGTTACAGAACTTTCCGCTTCTTCTCACACTAATATAATAATATTGCAAGAATCCCTAACTTTTCTTTTACTCCAGTTTAACTGTCTTATTAGTCATTCATTTGTTTTTTATATATAGAGATTTTAAGCTACTCTGATTCTATTAATGATTGGATATAGGATTGGTTAAAACCCTATGCGGCCTTCTGTTTTCTGCGGGACTTCTTTGAAACATCAGATCACAGCCAATGGGGTCGGTTTTCTCATTTTTCAAAAGAAAGGTGATCACCCTTTCAGTTCTTTCTGTTGAATTGGGAGATTGGGCGTTTTTTATTGAACTGTACGGTACTTCCTTTCATATATATTGCTAATCAGTTAAAAATATGAGTTCTTATATTATAAATCAAAACTCCAACAAAGTTTCTCTTTCTGACAGCTAGAGAAGCTCGTCTCAAAAGACAGCTTGCACTATAGCATAATCTGCTTCCATTATTATATCCAATTTCATTTGCACGTACAAGTAAGTAGTTTCCAGTCTATACTGTAAGCCTCGTCTGTATGTTGTGTTAAATGAAGGCATCCATTGTTGAACTCTTTGGTGCTTCCATGAACTACAGCTGTCAGAAGCTGCAGATTATGCAAGAAAGAAAGGAGTAATATTGAAAGGAGACCTACCTATTGGCGTTGACAGAAACAGTGTGGATACCTGGGTCTATCCAAATCTGTTTCGCATGAACACATCTACTGGAGCTCCTCCAGATTATTTTGATAAAAATGGGCAGAATTGGGGTTTCCCGACCTACAATTGGGAGGAGATGTCGAAAGACAACTACGCATGGTGGCGTACTCGTTTGACACAGGTTTTTCTGGATAGATCTTCCTGTAGCTCCATCTTGATTGTAATTTGTAGCTTAGTTTGTGTTGCATGATTGCGTCCTTCTTTGTGAGATTTTATGTAACATAAACATGATTTTTCTGTGTTTATATGACAGATGGCAAAATACTTTACCGCTTACAGGATTGATCATATATTGGGGTTCTTTCGTATCTGGGAGCTCCCAGAACATGCTATGACTGGTCTTGTTGGAAAATTTCGACCTTCCATACCTCTAAGCCAGGTAGACTTGTAACTTAGTCAAAATACCACTTGGCAAGATAATATAATGTCTAGAACATTGTGGCTTGTTATCATCAATAATTTTTCTTCATTCTCATAGTCAATTTACCCAAGTATTTTGTTCTATTGTAGGAAGAACTTGAAAAAGAGGGCATTTGGGATTTTGATCGTTTGACTCACCCATATATTCTACAGAAATTTTTACAGGTTACTGAATATTCCTAGTCATCCTTAATTTAGTTTTCCTAACATATACCTGTTGCAGCTGAACTATGACAACCTTTATGATTTTGTTCCCCAAACTCTGTTGTCTTTTATTTTCTTATCCATGTCAATTTTTTTATTTCCCTTAATTTTACTTTCTTGTTTCAGGATAAGTTTGGATCTTCATGGACATTTATTGCCTCAAATTTTCTGAACGAATATCAGAAGAACCGCTATGAGGTGAAGATTAATGTTTAATTTTGAAGTTTTAATCTGTTATTTCATTAAGAGCAACCCATATTGATCTCTAGTGGGATATCTAGCATATGGATGAATCATCGATATTGTTATTGATAAAGTTCGTTGGTTTTCCACTTTTTCTGAAGTTTAAGCTGTTAGGATGTAGGCTAACAACCCTTACACGTGCGTCTCTCTCTACCATTAGAACTTAGCATGTGAAAGTCCATTTATATTGTGAATATGGATTTGAACTCATGATCTCTTGCTTTGATATGATGATAAAATTTGTTGGTCCAATACATTTCTACAGCTATATTTTGATGCTTCATGTTGAAAGCATAGAAATTTGGGTTTGTTAGGTATTTAGAGTTAAAACAGTAGATAACAGGTCTTTATTGCAACTGGCCCCAATAAGTAACTTCTTTCAGCCATAAATTTGGCCTCGTGTTTAGGCAGGCCCCAAATTTTACCATGGTCAGTTGATCGGCCCAATGTCGGTTTTTTTTTTCCGTGGTCGATTGATTACACCAATGTAATAAAATGTAACCCAGCGAGTATAACATTCTTATTCAACTCAAATTTTGAATTCCTTGTAGGGTTTAGGGTATGGAAATTAGGGTTTAGGGATAATTGCTCCCTAAACCATAATCCCTAGACAATCATACTAGACCTTGATAGATATAACCCAGTTATAACTCATAAGAATTACACTAATGTCACTCAATTACTTTGTTTTTTGGGCTTCATTTCTGGTTTCCGTTTAGAATTGGAGCTTAGGGTTTATTCTCCAGGATTTAAAGATAAAGCCCTAAACTTCTAACCCTAAGCCCTAACCCCTATACCAAGATCTAATAAATGAATCCTTCTCATTGGGGTTTCTTCACAGTACCAAGTAACCTGCAGATTTTCTTGCTCTGCAAACTAGAGACGAACAGATTGTGGCTAAGCAAAATTCTAATCGATCAACACACTAGAAATGAATTTAGCAGGTGTGTGCTGAGTAAACATATCTCCCTTGGAATAAACTAAATTTCTAGAAAATGAAAGCTTAGAAATCAATGATAGCCATAAATAGAAGTAAGGATTCCCAAACCCTGAAAACAACACCAACCAAAGAAGATCAAAACATACCTCAGAAAGCCCAGAATAAATCTGAAAAGAAAAAGCTATTCAAGTACCCAAAAAAAAAGGAAAAAAAAATAAAAAATTCAAGGAAGACTCCGGAAACTAAGAGAACCCCAATTCCCTTTCAAGCATAGCCAGACAGTACCTAGCGGACACAAAAGTACCACTAAGGGCTGGGTAACTCCGCCAAATGAAAGCTTCGGAAACCTGGCAGCACCTAAGTGAAGCAGGGACCGAAAGGGGGGCAGCAAGGATTTTTAATTTTCATTCAGGGTGTGGAAGCTCTGATACCAAGTTAATAATTGACTTTGCATTAATTGCTAGACTAAATTTGAGATAATCTTACAGGACTGACTAAAGTACCTCTATTGGTCAAACAAACGGTTATAAAAGTTAATACAGGACAATACCAAAGTCAAAAAATGCGTTCTAAACATTTCAAATACATAAAACAGAATAGATGTTCAAGCACCTTCGTGTTCTCCTGATACTATTTTCCATTGGAACTAATTCTGGCTTAGCATGCTTGTATGTTCTCTCTGGGCAACAGCTCAGTGCTGCCAAATTTCTGAACTCTCAGTGGTCTTCAACTTGCCTCATTTTGTTTAAAAATAAAAATAAAAATCTTTCCCTTCGTGGTATTCATTGTTATCTTTCTTGTCGTTAGATTCCCCTTGTCCATTCCATTGGTTTCCATTTTTTACTTTCTCATGGAATCTATCTAACAATTAATGCTCCAAACTCTTGCTCTCTTTCATTTTTTAACCTGTTTTAGAATCGATTTGTCAATTTAGGAAAAGAAGTATGAAGTGTTGTACTGTTTGCGAAGATCGTATAGAATTTCCCACTCCATTAGTGAAAGGAATTCGAAAATTCAAGTTGTGTGCAATCAATCACTTGTGCTTGAATATTTGTGGTACCGTTATTTCTAGTATTTTCCTGTCGTGGTAGGCCAAGTATAATGTATGGAATTGCTTTCCCATTCTTGATTATCAGTTTAAGGAGGACTGCAACACTGAGAAAAAAATTGCTTCCAAGCTGAAGTCATTTCCGGAAAGGTCTCTGTTGCAGGATGAAGACAAGATACGGCGTGAGCTCTTTGATCTTGTACAGGTAGCATGTTATATCAAGGGGTTTCACAATTTTTAATTCTATACTAAAGAAATTGTAATTGTTTTTATTTTAATTTTTGGAAAGTATGTAACCGTTTTTATTTAAATCTGTGCTGGAAGCTTTTGATGCGTGTCCTAAGGGTTTTAAAAGGATTGTCACGAGTAGTCCTGTTTGTAGGTTTTTATTATTTTTTTCTGGTCTGAATGTTTGTAGGTTTTTGTTTATGTAATTGTTATTGCAGAATATAGTTCTCATACGAGATCCAGAAAATCCAAGGAACTTCTATCCTCGTTTCAATCTTGAAGACACACCAAGTTTTAAGGATTTGGATGACCACAGGTATTTTACCTTGTTTTGTCTTATTATCTTGACAGAGAAGAATAATTGGTTTCGAGAACTGAATATTTTTGCCACATCGTATTCATCTTTAAATCATTTGATATTCTGTTGTTCATGGTAACAAAAGAGTTCCCCCGCCCGCCTCTCTTTGGTTACTGCTGATTTACTTTGCAACATAGAATCTCTTACCAGTTGTTCTGTATACAGCAAAAATGTTTTGAAAAGATTGTACTATGATTACTACTTCCACCGGCAAGAAAATCTTTGGCAGCAAAATGCATTGAAACACTGCCTGCTCTGCTAAACTCATCAGATATGCTAGCGTGTGGAGAAGATCTGGGGCTTATTCCTTCTTGTGTTCATCCTGTACGTTTGCTCAGCCTTTCCCAACCCAAACAAACACTATAAACCCCCACCTGATTTCAATGGTTGTTGGTCCTCTTTATGTTTTTGAATTTGTGATTGGTTTTTGCATGTAGGTGATGCAAGAACTAGGATTAATAGGTTTACGCATTCAGCGTATGCCCAGTGAACCTGATCTGGAGTTTGGTATTCCTTCTCAATACAGCTATATGACGGTAAGATAATGTGGCATACTCCTTGCCTTCATAATGATAGTAAGATCATGTGCCATTAATTGGCTGTTCCCAGAATGATTTTGTTGTGTCATTTATATAGCATTTCAAGTCACAATCTTATCCTAGAATAATGCCATTTAGAAAAGCCATCCCTCTATAAAGAGGGTCTCTGGAACAATTTAACTTAACCTTGTGAAGTATTTGGACTTTCTTTGTAAGGTGAAGGTATGCATTCACCCTCTTGTAGTTTTTATAAAACTTGTTACCCATAAAAAAGCTGGATATTTCTAATCTTTCTGGATAAAACATAAATTTATTGAGATTTTGGTTATTGTATTCTGGTCATATGGTTCAATCCTTTTTACCTTAATATTGAAGATCTCAATTTCTCTGAAATGTGGTTAAATTACTAGTTCATGAATATATTTCAGGTGTGTGCTCCATCATGCCATGACTGCTCAACCTTGCGTGCTTGGTGGGAAGAAGATGAAGAAAGAAGGCAGAGATATTTTAAGAATGTGGTGGGGTCTGACACGTCGCCTCCTGCTCGCTGTGTTCCAGATATTGCACATTTCATCATAAGGGAACATGTTGAATCTCCATCAATGTGGGCAATTTTCCCTCTTCAGGTACTGTGATGGGCATATGAATGTGCTTTTCTATGTTCTCAACTTTAGTTTGATACGCCTTGGAAAAGGAAACACATGACATTTTGAACTTCACAGTTCTTCTCAGTAACATGTTATCTATACAATACTACAGTATATAATGGTTTATTAATTCCTAATTGATTCGGCACTCTTATGTGATAATTAGGATTTGTTAGCGTTGAAAGAAGAATACACAACACGACCTGCAACAGAGGAGACGATCAATGACCCCACAAATCCAAAGCACTATTGGAGATACCGTAAGTGAATATCAGGAATTTTAAGATTCATTTAACTAAGTTGGATTGCTTTGCTTTTCTCTTTTTGTATTCGAGCTGTTGTCTGGTTTCAAATTTCAATTTGGCATTGCATACTCAGGCGTGCATGTCACGGTGGAGGCTTTGATAAAGGATAAGGAACTTGTAACGATCATCAAAGATCTTGTAAGTGGGAGTGGAAGATCACATCCAGGGGGCCAAGCTGAAAGACAGGCGAGCCACAAATCAGCAGTGGCAACCACAGAGAAGCAACAAATTGCCAGCAGCAAGGATAAGGTTCACTTGGCAACTCCGCTAAACTCCGTTGCACAGGAGACTCTGGCAGTTCGCTGATGGCATATCCATGTCAAGTGAATGAGCTTAGTTAATAATAAGTCACGTGCACTGTGGCAAAATGAGGCAACTATGGGAACCTACCTCATATGTTCGAACCAAGGTAGGCAGTAGGGTGAGCAACAAATAAGCCTTTACAATATTGAGCAGCAAATCTGCATACTGGCTGCTCGTTGAAGTCTGATTCTCTTTACAATATTGAGCAGCAAATCTGCATACTGGCTGCTCGTTGAAGTCTGATTCTCTTTCCACGACTATCCAAACCTTGACAATTATACAGTAAAATGTGATTGTTAGATTTCTTTAATATGCGTGTTCATGATCTTTCACACAATCTGAAATATATAAAGACATACTTGGTGCCGTCTTTCTTGCGTACACGACTTTTGAACTTATTCAAACCTGATATAACTTAGTATCTAGTGCACCGAACTAAATAGGAAACAAACATAACACTGATAACTAATTTGTTTGAATAATTAATAGGGAGTTTCACTAAAACACCCAAAATGGGGGCTGAAATTATAAAAAAAACCCAACACCCAAAACACTTTATAAACACACCCAAAACCCATCTTTATACACACTCAAAACCCATTTATAAACACACCCAAAAAATATACAATTGTTGATTTTGGGTGTGTTTCTATGTTTAAATAGTGCTTGGGTTTTTTATAAATACATGTCTAGAATTGGGTTTATTTATAAATTTGTAATTAATAAAGCATGCAAGAGCATCTTTTAGCCAAGTTTTAGTTAAAATAGCAAAACTTAAGCAAGCTTCTAGAAGGTGACTGCTCTTTTTTTCTTCTTCTCCAGAGTAAAAAGTGACTGCTTTAACATTGCCTTTTATATTTAGTCATGAAATCGTTACTATCTTTTGAATTCAGGAAGTGACCAAGTGCACTTGAAATATGTACGAAGAATAGTTAGGACCATAGAGATCCATTCGATCTCAAATGTAGAGACAAAAACTTGGTTTTGGTCTATAGGTTTTACATGAAATTTCGATTTGGTCATTAAGAAACAAATTTACCCAAATTGGTCACTTTATTACCTAAAGTTTACAATTTATGGAATACCATTAGTTTCTATTAAGTGGATAGAAGGGGAGGTGATATGAAAAGCAAGGGAAATGGAGCTGTGCTGATAAATCAGATACACTCAACAAGGTGATGTTGGGTCTCTTTCGAGACACAATGTTAAGACAGTAGCAGATTGTTTTCATAAGATATTGGGCACATTAAAAAATAATGAGGATGCTATGGTACAAGGAGGAGCACAAGCTGATGCAGAGAATGAATTGAAAGTGAACCTAAGAAAGTGGAATAAGTAGATATGGCGAATAAAGTTGAACAATATGCACTTATGCAAATGATAATGTCAGCGGTTCTGAAATAAGAGGAGAGGAATTGGTTAAAGCATGTGGAGGGAGATGGAAGCGCAAAGCACGACTGGTGAAACCGATTGGAGAAAATACAGGTAGTGGGCTGGATAACAATGTGGGAAAGGAGGGGGGAAAAAGAAAATGTGAGGAAGAGACTGTTACAAATACATTTGTAACAAAAAAAGTGAAGATAGAGAAAGAAGTTAAACTTGTTGAGATAGAACACGTGGTGGGACCAGTGGGATTGGCCCACCACGAACAATGAGAATTTTAAGTTGGAATGTCCAGGGTTTCGGGACCCCTGGGACATTCCATTCTCTCAAGCGTATTTTGAGGGAGAAAAAACCCGAGCTGGTGTTCCTTATGGAAACGCGGATGACGAAAGCTCAAATGGAGAAAAGAAGATTTCAATGTGGTATGACAGGGGGAATTTCTGTGGGAAGAGTGGGATTAGGGGAGGTTTATTGTTGATGTGGACAACTGGTTGGGAGGTGAATTTGTTATCATACTCGACAGGTCATATACATGTATCAGTTAAAACCTCAGATAATTATTGTTTCTGTTTGACGGGCTTTTATGGGAATCCAGAAACCCAAAATCGAAGATTTTCTTGGGAATTACTTCGACGTCTCTCACAGTCAGTCTATGGACCTTGGCTAGTCATCAGAGATTTTAATGAAATCTTGATGGCTTCAGAGAAAAAAGGATTGCGAGATCGCCCTACATATCAAATGAACTCTTTTCGCCAAGCCTTGGTGGATTGCGACTTGCGTAGTGTCCCATACCAAGGATATCCTTTCACTTGGGTTAGAACATACCCGAGTGGGGATATGGTGGAGGAAAGGTTGGACAGGTGTGTGGTTAATGGGAGAATTAGTGCGGATTATGGTTATATTTTGACATATCATTTAGTAGCATCGGGGTCAGATCACTATCCGATACTTGGTGAATTATTGACTGATGCTCCCATCGTGGAGGCAAAGAAAAAAAGAAGATTTCATTTTGAACAAATGTGGACACTTGAGAAAGGTTGTGAAGATATTATTCGAGAGGCTTGGGATTCAACTGACGCTATGGGAGGTGTGAAGGAGGGAATTAAGAATTGTGCAGAGAAACTGGCAAAATGGAATAAATTAACTTTTGGGCATGTGCAAAAGCAGCTTGCTGCTGCCCATAAAGAACTGGAGGTTTTACAGGGCCGAATGGGACAAGATCAAGTGTTACTAAGAAAAAAGTAGAAAGGACCATTGTTGTCTTACTCGAGAAAGAGGAGGTAATGTGGCGGCAGCGTTCCAGGGTTGCTTGGTTAAAGGAAGGGGACAAAAACACCAGGTTTTTTCACGAAAGAGCCAACACAAGGAACGGAAAAATACAATAAAAGGGTTGTACGACGACGATCATTTTTGGCAAACAGATAAGCAAGTTATTGGTTCGATGTTCTACAATTTTTCAATGATTTATTTTCTACTTCAGGTGGCAGGGATATAGAGAGAGTCTTACAAGTGATTGAGCCAAAGGTGACACATCAATGAATTACCAATTACTCCAACCTTTTACTAGAGCAGATGTGGAGACTGCTTTATTCAACATGTATCCTACGAAGGCACCGGGGCATGATGGAATGCCGGCTCTTTTTTACCAATGTTACTGGCACATTGTAGGGGACGAGGTATCGCACAAGTGCTTGCAGATATTGAATGGAGAAAGTAGTGTCCAAGAATTTAATCATACTCTAATCTCCTTAATTCCTAAGGTGCAGACACCTTCCAGAGTGACTGAATTTCGACCAATAAGTCTGTGTACAGTGATTTACAAAATTATTGCAAAGGCTTTTGCAAATAGACTCAAGTGCTTATTGCCTTCCGTTATCTCCGAGTCGCAAAGTGCTTTTGTACCACAACGTCAAATTCTTGATAATGTGATGGCAGCTTTTGAGACAATGCATTTTATGAAAGGCTTGAAGATGGGACAACAAATGAAGATGGCTATTAAACTTGATATGGCTAAGGCTTATGATCGAGTAGAGTGGTCCTTTTTGCAAGCAATAATGTTGAGATTGGGATTTGCTTCAGAGTGGGTCAAACGGATAATGGATTGCTTAACAACAGTTACCTTTTCGGTGCTTTGGAAAGGTAATCCATTCGGGCATGTTGTTCCTCAGAGAGGGTTAAGACAAGGGTGTCCTCTTTCACCATACTTATTTTTAATGTGTGCTGAAGGCTTTTCAAGGTTGTTGCAGAATGCTGAAATGATAGGGAGTTTGCGTGGGATTTGAATTGCTCATGGAGCTCCATCAGTCAATCATTTATTTTTGCCGACGATAGTATTCTCTTTCTTGATGCAACTAAAGAATCATGTGAAACAGTGAAGGATATATTTCAAGTGTATGAGGAGACTTCTGGGCAAAAGATCAATCTTACAAAGTCGGCTTTCAGTTTGAGCCCAAATGCTACTGCTGTTGAAAAACAAATAGTTTTGGATTTACTGGAAATTCCGTTGGTGTCTTGCCATGAAAAATATTTAGGTTTGCCTATGGTGACAGGTAGAGGAAGAAAGCAAATTTTCGGGACTGTCAAAGATCGAATCGGAAAACGAATTAGTGGGTGGAAGGAAAAGCTCCTATCTAGAGCTGGTAAAGAGGTCCTGATTAAAGCTGTGTTACAGGCTATGCCCACCTACTCGATGAGCTGCTTTCGGATGCCTAAGGGGATGTGTAAGGAACTTCATGGCTTAATGGCTAAATTCTGGGTGGTCTAAAAGTAAGAATATGCGGGGTATTCATTGGACTAAATGGGAGACATTATGTGTGAGCAAGCAGATTGGAGAATTGGGATTTAGAGACCTTGAGGCTTTTAATCAAGCTCTTCTGGCAAAACAAAGTTGGAGATTATTCTTTAATTGCAATTCCTTGGCAGCGAGAATTTTCAAGGCCCGATATTTTCCGCATTGTAATTTTTTAGAAGCTGGATTGGGGTATCGACCCTCACGTATTTGGAGTTCGTTGATATGGGGGAAGGATTTGTTGAAGGCGGGTTTGCGGTGGAGAGTTGGAAATGGTGAAGGTATATATGTTTATCAGGATCGGTGGGTGCCTTTACCAATGAATTTCAAGATTATCTCAACGCCACAATTCGATGTTTCTATGAAAGTATGTGAGTTGTTTAATGCAGCTGGACAATGGGATGAAGAACTATTAAAAGCTAATTTTTGGGAACAGGAAGTGAAGGCTATCCTCCAAATTCCACTGGCTTCAAATCATAGAGAGGATAAATTAATTTGGCATTATGATCAAAGCGGCAAATACTCAGTCAGGAGTGGTTATATGGTTGCATGCATGAAGAAGCAAAGGGAAAATGGCATGGAAGGGTCCTCGACACAAGATGGTACATTTTATGGAAAAAATTGTGGAGTTTGCAGGTGCCTAATAAAATCAAATTCTTTCTATGGAGATGTATATGGGGGTTTTTGCCTAGTAGAAAAAATTTGTACCATAAGAAGATCTTGAATTCTCCAATATGTCCACGTTGTGGGAAGAAAGTGGAGTCAGTTATTCATGCAATATGGGCTTGTAGTGAAGTGAAAGCAATATGGTCTTTATCACCTTGGAGTGCCAATCGCCATGAGTGGAGAATTACATCTTTCAAGGAACTTTGGCAAGCTGTGATTGTGGTCTCAAGTAACAGGGAGGTGGATCTTTTTGCTTTTCTATGCTGGGATATTGGAATGACAGAAACAATCTGTTGTTTCAAGGACGCAGTCTTGAGAGTGTATCAGTGTTTAACAAAGCTTTGGCTTATCAGACGGAGTTTTACTCTGTAACTCTTGCCCCTATATGCTCCCATAATAGGCAAGGGCCTAGTCAGAGTTCTGTTAATTGGCATGCCCCATTGGATGGTCAGTACAAAATTAATGTTGATGGGGCAGCCAAACTTGCTGGGTTATTACGGGGAGTTGGAGTAGTGATTCGCAATGGAAATAAGAGTTTATGGCTGCTTGTTCTCGACAAGTGATAGGACATTTTAGTGCACAAGCTATGGAACTAACTGCTGCAAAGGAAGGTCTTCAGTTCGCATATGATCTTGGCTTTCGTGACATAGTGTTAGAAATGGATGCGCAGGGGGTGGTAGATAGAATCAACTCTAATGAAGAGTGTTTTGAAGCTGAAGGGAATATAGTGGAAGATATCAAGGAGATGCAGGGGTGGTTTAGATCTTTCTCCTGTAATTGGCAACGACGAGAAGGTAACAAGGTTGCCCATGAGCTAGCTCAATTTGGCACTCGGAACGCTGGTTTTTTTCACATGGATTGAGGAGGAGCCATTATGGCTAACTCCTTTCTTTCTGCAGATAAGAAGCTAATGGTTGATCTTTATGTTGATGGCAAGTGGGAGGTGCTCTTTTCCTTGGCGGATTTTCCTCCTTTTTTGGGGGTTTTTTATGCTAAAGGTTTTTTACAGAGGCCCAACTTGCACATCTTTTTGTTTTCATCTCCATGTATTATGCTATTTGATTATTGAATGAAATTCCTTTACATTACATAAGTAAAAAAAAAAAAAAAAAAAAAAAAGAAAGTGGATAGGTTGGTTAATATACATAAATAAATAATCACCATATATTCACTGTTACTAAGTGGTTATTAATGAATTAAAAAATAAAAAAATAAATCATTGTTTTTTTTTATCATTCATTTTGATTGAGAAAGGAAAAACAACAATTTAGCAAAAGAAGGCCAAGCCAAAGCCAATCATGCAAAAATGCTATGCACATGCCCTTGCACTGTAGACTAAAAAAATTATGGTAGGTTAAGTTTTGCTTAGTAATACACTCAAAATAAAGACTTAAAATTACAAAACAACTGAAATTCAATTTGAAACATACCCAAAACCATTTATTACATATGAAATGAGTGTTGACGTTACTATAAATTACATCTCTGCCATTGATTAACTTAAAACAAGTCCCAACCCACAAAACCAAAAAAAACTCACAAAAAAAAAAAAAAAAAAAAAAAAAAACCAGCAGGCCCGAAGTTATTTGTTATACAACCATGTCATAAAAGTACATGTTAATACCATGTCATAAGTAAATTGTTAATATCATTCATAGAAGTATATTGTTAATACCATTCCATAGAAGTACATTGTTAATACCATTCCCTAGAAAAACATTGTTAATATCATTCCATAGACAACCTTTGTTTATACTATGTCATAGAACTATCTTTATACTATGTCAAGAACCATCTTTGAGTCCTTTCCAAAGGCAAAAACTTCCCAGCATCACCGATCAGCATTGTCCCTGCCAGCCCCAGCAATGAAGAGAGTATATTTTTAAAACAATAATACAAAAATTATTTTTACCTATCACAAAAAAAAAAAAAACTAAAAACAAAAAAAAAAAAAAGTACAAATACTTTTTTTTTTTTTATCAATTTCTAGTACTCCGTTAATACTATGTATTATACTTATTATACTATGTCAAAAAGAACCTCTTCTTACTAAAATCACCTTATGCATATCATAATGGTACTGAAGTTGTTCATTTAGGTTTACTTATTATGCAAATGAAAATGATTAGTTGTTACCTTCCAAATAATCCTCGTGATACTGATGGGTCTCCAATTCGAGCATAAGGTGCTATGACAATGTTTTCTTCTATGAAATGAAACAATGTTTTACATACATGGAATCTTTAATCCATTACACAAAAAGAAAAGGATGGAGATATCTATATCCAAAAAAAAAAAAAAAAAGAACATTTTTACCAATTATTTCTTCACTAGATCAACAAAAAACTTCATTGTTAGCATATTTCGGGTCCGCTGTTCTCTATGGAATGCAGGATGATGTTGCCCTGGAAGGTGTCACTCATGTTGGAACTGTTGCCTGTCACAACACCTCAACATCTTGTTAACTATATTTGGTGGAGCCCCCATCCATCCCCCCCTCAGAATATTATTCTGTAGTGAGAGATATCTGAGGTTTTTGGTGCCAGCTGGGTCCTCCTCAATTTGCATTGTGTCGATTGGCTCTATTTCTTCAATGCTTGGCCGGTCAAGGTGTTCGACCGGGATGGAGCGTCTGAATTGGGTATCCACCTCGCTGACCCGATACTGGCTAGTGCTCTTCAATTCGCGTTCCTCTGCCCTGATAACTTGTGATGGAAGGTAGGAAACGCCTTCAATAGCTCTGGGATTTCTTAAGGTACACGATCATCTTTGGGTGCTTGCCATGTTTCACCGATGCTTGATTTCGTGATCAACTGAGAATCTGAGTAGATGGCTAGCTTCTTGATTGCGAGTTCCTTTGCCAAGCGCAGGCCGACGATAATGCCTCGTATTCTGCCTCGTGGTTTGATGCCGGAAAGCCGACGTGAAGCTTGCTCTAACAAGGTTCCATCTGGGGTGATGAATGACGACGACATGCTCCAGCTCCCTTTGGTTCGCCGCTCTATCTACGTGCAACTGCCAATGTCTCTAGGTTGGCTAGGTTCGGAGAGGTTACGTCTGTTGTCGAACTTTCCTTTCTTTTTGTTGACCAGCTTCTCTTCTTCGGCTGATGGGGTGAATTCTGCGACGAAGTCTGCTAAAGCCTAGGCTTTTATTCAGTTTTTGGCCGTAGAGGAGGTCATATTGTTTAGCTCTGTAGCCCCACTTCATGAGTCGGTGAGAAGCGTCAGGGCTGTGGAGGATTGATCTCAAAGGACAAGTCGGTCATGACGATGACTCGGTGAGCTTGGTATAGGGTTTAGCTTTCTTGCGGAAACTACAAAAGCCAAAATGAGCTTCTCCATTTCGGGTAGCGAGTTTTTGCATCGAGGAGAGCTTTGACGTGTAGAATACTGGATGTTTGGCCCCACTCTTCTTATGAGAGCTGAGTTGAGGCTGAGTTGACACTGTCGAGATAAAACGAACAAATCTTTCACCAGGAACGGGCTTTGAGAACAGGGGAGGTGAAGTTGAGGTAAGTTTAGATTATGAAAGCTAATTCGCACTTTCTCCCATTTGGCTCTTTGTCCTTTCTTCAAAAGCTTGTGAAGATAGTTGGCATTTGTCGGTAGATTTCGAGAGGAATCGGTTGAGGGACGTGGTCTGGCCGTCATACTGTATTTCTTTTTCACTGTGGAAGGCGAACCATCTCGAAGATGGGTTTGATTTGACGTGGGTGTGCATCTACGATAAGTGTTGTGTGAAGAAGTATACAGAATCGGCGGGAGGGTACACAAAAGGAAATGTACGTGATCAATCATGGATACTGGTGGAGCGTGAATGCATACGGCGAGGTTTTGAGGGGTCGCACTTTTTGGGGGCCTGACTGCAGGTGTCCCATGTATCCCCCCATGAGTTGTTGGGATGTGCGTCCTTCAAAGATTTTCTCACAAGCCTTTGATAGGTTGATCCGGCAGTTCTTCAGCCAAAGGGAATGTTACCTTGTAACAGTAGGCTCCCTCTCTCGATGATGAAAGAGTTTCTCCTGTCATCTAGGGCTCACGATTGGTATAGGGAGTAAGATGTCAATGAAGCTGGCACTGATGCCCAGAAGTGAATCCACGAGTTGGCGATTCTCGGCAATCGGAAGTTGTCTTTCGAGCAAGCGTTGTGAGGGTCAGTGTAATAAACACAGGACTCTCCATTGCCGCTCTCTTGTTTTGCCAACCAGAACAAGTGGCAAGACAGTTGAGTGGAGAACCTCTTCGAGATTCGGAAAGCCGACAAAGATAGGAGTTTGTCAATCCGGCTTCCGAGAATGAACGTCGGGGATGTGTTTTTTTTTTTTTTTTTTTTTTTTTTTTTTTTTTTTTTTTTTTTTTTTTTTTTTTTTTTTTTTTTTTTTTTTTTTTTTTTTTTTTTTTTTTTTTTTTTTTTTTTTTTTTTTTTTTTTTTTTTTTTTTTTTTTTTTTTTTTTTTTTTTTTTTTTTTTTTTTTTTTTTTTTTTTTTTTTTTTTTTTTTTTTTTTTTTTTTTTTTTTTTTTTTTTTTTTTTTTTTTTTTTTTTTTTTTTTTTTTTTTTTTTTTTTTTTTTTTTTTTTTTTTTTTTTTTTTTTTTTTTTTTTTTTTTTTTTTTTTTTTTTTTTTTTTTTTTTTTTTTTTTTTTTTTTTTTTTTTTTTTTTTTTTTTTTTTTTTTTTTTTTTTTTTTTTTTTTTTTTTTTTTTGGGGCTCCACTGAGATCTTCGTCGCCGCCTACCACACATCCACCGGAAAGGCCCTGGCTTTCACATTGGCTTTCGCTTCTTCTCACTTGGGACTCACCGACCCAGCACGCCAACTCGCCCAATAGCTCGCCGGGGTTGCAGAGGTCGCTCACTTTCTGTAGCTGCCAGCAGGATGAAGAAGGCATTGGGTCTCAAATCGCCGGGTTCGGGCTCCAAGAAGAGTCTTGGGTCCAGTGGGTCTGGGTCGGGACCTGGAAAGCCCAAGCGGGTTATGACGGTGGGTGAGCTGATGAGGATCCAAATGGGGATTTCTGACGCTATGGACTCTAGAGTCAGGAGAGCTCTGCTTGGGATTTCTGCTGCTCAGGTGAGCTCAATTTCTGTGCCTTCTTATTTGTGATCTTGGTTGATCTGGTTTGATGGGTTTGATTTTGTTTGGTGGGTAATGCTTGATTTTTATCACTGTGATAATTGTGATGATGGGATGGATATGGAGCTTAATTTTGCTACTGGTTTGGCCAATTTTGGATTTTGGTTTTTCTTACTTTAAAACAAAAATTGTTTCTTCACTAAGTGTAGTTCAATATGATAAAACTGACAATGCAAAATGTTTCACGAATGTTTAATTTCATAATGGGTAATTTCAAACATTTGTAATTTCATAATGTTTAATTTCATAATGCAAAATGTTTCACGAATGTTTAATATCAACATATTAATTTGAGTGATTATGCCACTATTTAATGATTTTAGGCTCTCCTATTGTGTGTATTTAACTGGTTCATATGATGCTGTTTCTTCAGGCCTTCATTCAGAACTTGGCATTGTTTCTCACTTCATTTTACAAGGCAAGTTTGTTAGCTTTCAGATAAATATGTCTATATATTGCCTTACCTTCGCCAGCCGTATTTGGATATGATAGTTTTGCTGTTTGGTTTATGTTGTAACAGAATCTTTAAGCTTTACGTATTGTGTTGTCTATAATTATTGTTTACTTATCCATAAAAGAGTTTGCAATTATGATTAATCTTTAAGCCTCCAATGAGGATGTTATTAGCTGTCTCCTTTTCTTTTTGCAGTCACATATTCGTGTGCTTGAAACCACACAACAGAATATAGCCGCATTGCTAATGGGTCTTGAATATCTAATAAACATCTCATATATGGATGACACTGAAGTTTTTAAGGTATAATTAATTATGATGTGCTCTCTAGCACCCACCCGAAGGCCCTATTTAGCTCTTTCTCTCTCTCTTCCCATTTGAACAATGAAGTGATAATTTGACTTGGAATTGGTTGTTTCTTCGAGCAAGATTGCTTAGAATATTAGAATTCCTTGGTTTTGGAACTGTTTGAGTTGCATCATAATTTGGATAACCCTGCAGCAGCTGCAAATATGATGGGGCTGCCGGTAATTTAGATACTTTTATCTTTGAAATTTTTGTTGTTTTGAGTTTTCTGTTTTCTACTTTGTATGAATGCTTCCTTTAGTTTTACTTGAATCCCCCTGTTTTTCATTAGTCTATTCGACTGTAATTTATTTTGTAATCTCTTTGTAGTTGAATAAAGATGTATGGTTTGAAATTGGTAGTAGATAGGTAAGTTTTTTCTAAGTTTCCATCAACGAGAAGGTTGTCTGGGAAAAGACCAATTTATTATCTCAGAACTTGCAAACCTTCCATATTGAAAGAGACTCAACAAGTCTGAATTAGTTAGGTGTCTTAAATTTGTTTTGAAATTTTGGGGAGATTTTCAGTTAACCATTGGAACCTTTACCATTTTCCTATCAATAACATTCAAATCTTTTCCCAACAAATTTTGAGACAGTAGGTTTTCTAAGCATTGTGTCCATGTCACTCTTGCTCATTCACGTGGACAATCACATTAGCCATGTAATGCTTCTTTAGTTTTGTTTTAAAAATGGATTTTCTGTGTATGAGTTTAGATATGGTATTGGGCAACTTTCTTGTTAGAAATTAAGTTCAGAAGCCTTTTGAAAATACTATCTACAGAAGCTTTTTAAATTTATTTTAATCTTACAAGAAACTCAGTTTCTACGATATGCTTCTTTCTTAATAGTAGAAAACGTATTGGATTATTTGTTATTTTCTTTCTTGAATGTTTTCATACTTATTTTTTTGTTATTGGTGTCATTTTGATCTTGTAGATCATGAGGGAGATAATATTTGTCACACCTTGAGCATTGGAACAACTTAAACACCTTATGCTGGGCAATAGGGTCCATATCTGGTTCCATGATGGAAGAACAAGTATTGTTTGCTCTTTGTTCATCAGTTTATTTTTATGCTTAACTGAAGTCTTAATTATCTTTGATTTGATGTATAGCTCTGATTTGAGTTTTGAGTTTCATGAAATTTTCAATTATTGTACAATTCTTTAATCACAATTTCATTTGCGCTCTGCATCTGCACATGGGTTGTTTCAGTCATTATTTCTATATCAGTTTGTGTTTCATGAATATAACGATTGTATATGTTTGTCTATGTTTGTTTCTAGTCAGCAGCTTTGTCATAGGCATATTAGTGTAGTTACTGTATTGCAAGGGCTGAAATCTGGATGATATCAACTTCTTTTTATTGTTGTTTTAAAGTGAGGTATGTATGGGTCTTATGAAATTTTTACAGAAATATATTGGAGGGCAAATAATTTTATTTTAGTTTTTTATTCCCAAATGATACCCAAAACATGTAAGCTTCACACTATGTTAATTTCTGCAGGATGGGGAAACATTGGACAATGAGTTGGAGGTTGTTGAGGGAATGAAGCTAGACAGGGGTTACATATCCCCTTATTTCATCACCAACCAGAACAATCAGAAATGTGTAAGTTTTAGTTTGACTCAGCGATAACTATGTCTTGAAACTGTTAGAGGGCAGCATCTCAAGTCCCTTTTTGCTTGATGCTGATTATCTTCAAACTTGTGTATGTGCTGATAGGAATTGGAAAATCCTCTAATCATAATCCATGAGAAGAAAATCTCAAGTATTAATGTTGTGGTTAAAGTATTGGAGTTGGTTTTGCAGGTTAGCATTTCTCTGGTTAGGTTCACTAGTTTCTTCATTTTTACTATGAATTGGTTGACAAACTTTTGCTCCTTTTCAGAAGCAAAGGTCTTTGCATTTTGTTATATATTTCATAACCAAAGTTATAAAAGAAAATGGTTTTCCTCTTTGTTAATTGAGAATCATCTGCAGTTATGATTTCAGATCTGTAGATAACCTGTTGTTGCTGATATTGCTACACGGGAGGAGAATAGAACAGCTTGGAAAATGTGCAAGAAGGGAGAGCTAACTCATACAACGAAGAACAAATTGTTGAAGTTAAGATCAAATTAGTAGAATTTGTGAGCTCTCCATTATTTATAATTATAGGTAGGAAGTATGTATGTAATAGAGCAAAGATTGGTTGACTATGTAATAACAATTGAATTTTCAAGTTTTATGAAAGAAATAATTTTTACTTCGCAGGATAATATTGTTAGGGTTCAATGGCGATTTATTTTCCATGTCTAAATTGTAGTCTGTAATGGATGTGTGTGTATTGTATGTAGATTGACTTAATATTGCTGTCCTATTGCTTGTGTATTGTACTAATATTGCCTATGTATTGTATACATATTGTATGCATATTGCCACCATATTGCATGTATATTGTGATGCTATTGTTGTCGTATTGCTATTATATTGCCATAATATTGCCTCTCTAATGTATGTATATTGGCCTAATATTGTTATTATATTGTATGTATATTGACTACGGCTCATCAATGGGTTTACGGTTTAGGCCATACTTCATTCAAAAAGAAGAAGAGGAGAAAGAAACAACATGCCTTTAAAAAACAGGGAGTCAGGTGCATCATAATTGCACTATAAGACATTGTGAGAAATTATTTTAAAAAATAATAACAACTAAAAAATAATTTACAAAAAAAAAGGAAGTATGAATAAAGAGACAGAGAGCAAGAGAGCGAATAGGGGGAGAAAGAGACAGAACGAAGCTAGAGAGAGAGACAGAGAGAGAAAGAGCTACGCTACAGAAAGAGAGCAAAGAGAGAGAGACAGAGAGTTGCACTAGAGAGAGAGAGAGAGAGAGAGATAGAGAGACAGAGAGCTGCAATAGACAGATACCAAAGAGAAAGAGAGATGTGCCAGAGAGATTAAGCTGAGTAAGCTAAGAGAGAACAAAATTTCTGAACATTTGAAAAATCAGCAATAAGTGGACAATAATTATATTTTTATAGGTGATAATTGTAATACTATTGCTATCGTATTGTGGTTATATTGCTCTAATATTGCCTCTATAGTGTACATATATTGGCCTAATATTGCTATTATATTGTATGTCAATGGCCATTTGGTCTAATAACAGTCTCCACTTCGTTGAAAGTAATCCTGAATTCAAATCTCATGGGCACGACAATTGTTATCCATTATATTAGCATGAATTGATGTTGACTTTTGAAATGATAGTTGGAGTTGCACATCGATTCATATTCAAAAGGAAAATAATTCTCTCCCTCAATGAATCTTCGTTCAAAAGAAGGCAGCTGTCAAATATTGGGTATAAAAATGCAAGATCCACAGTAAATTAATTGGCCACAAACCACATATTACAAAACCGGGATGATTTTTGGCATGCTTGAAAAGACAAGGGCCAAATACAATAGAAAAGAAAATCCATTCAAGCTTCTCACTAAACATGGCTCAAGCACTCGACCATGGTTTCAATCCAAACCTACCCAACAAGGGCATACCATGTGTCCATCGTAACAGAAGAGTGGCATTTACAAAGCATGAACTGCAATATGTTTCTTTTTCTCCTAAACAAAATTGTTACTAAAATGGAACAAAAGGTCCCTAACATAGAACAATACAAGCAAAGATAGTCAATTGTCATACACACAAAATTAGTCCTCATCCATCCCTGCAGGCTGATCTATCTTACTAGGGTCACCTGCTGGTTTTGCCATTATAATCTGCAAGATAGTCAAAGCATTGTCAACAACCTTTTTTTAATGAAGGTATTAAATATTAAATAGGCTGCAATAAGATAGATTGATCATTTCTCACACATTTTCAGCTAGCCAGAAAACCCCCAGCATATAGATTTTCTATTTACTATCAAGCCTTCTGCACTGAAGCCATATTCATTATAAAAGTTCAACATTTCCCAAAAGTAACTTTCAATTTTATTTTATTTTTCCAAGTTAAAAACTAACTTTTGTGACCGTTCTTTTGAGTTATAAAGGAGTTTGTGTTCTGAGTACACACGGGCATACATGCATCTGTGCCAAGTTAGGGGAACGTTGAAAAAAAATAAGAGAAAAAGACTTCACAAAAAGTATAAAAGTATAAAATTAAATAAATAAATAAAAAGAATAGTAAACTAATTCATAAAGCCTCGACTTTTTATTATTATTATTATTATTTTAAACTGTATGTAGTTTAGCATTTTTCTGCTTTGGCCTCAAAGATGCAATCAGGGATTCAAAGATGTAGTTCATACCAAATTAGGTTCATCAGGTTTAAGTAGAAGACCTGGATATGAAACTCTTACACTAGGCAGCACTTTACCCTGAGAATGATTTATATTCACTTCGGACCTTGTTAGGGTTGCTTGCCTGCATGCAATATAACCCCAAATATCAAATGTAGTTATAAAGCAGAGAAACAAATTATATAAAATAGGTCACTATTGAATGACATCATTCAAGACATCAGTGAAGCCTTACGTGTAAAGTTTTCCGCCTTATGTGTGCCCACAGTTAGAACAAGCAAGCCAGGAGCATATGATGAAACTAAACTTATACGTATCAAGTCTAAAAGAACAAATAATGTACAATAAGTAGGACGATTTTTGCCAAAACAAAGCATATTGGAACCATATCAGCAAAGCAATAAGAATTGTCCAATTTGGAAATCTCCAACTCAATCACCAATGTCATAAATCAATATTAATAACAATTTCACGAATCAAGCACAGTCTTGGATACTGCACTTCTGTTTGCCTGACTGGAACATGAGCAGAAAGCTTCTATTATGATCTACAGTAGCATAGGTGTCCTAGAATTCAATATTATTCTTCATTCTGAAAATGCACAAACTTAACAAGAGTCCGAGACTTCCAATTTACTAGTCACATAAGACTTCCAATCTCACTCTCCTTCTCCCCTTCCCCCTCTCTCCTCTCAGAGCAAGACCAGAACGTAAAATCCAAACAGCCTATCCCACTCCTCTAGTACCTAAAACTAACCACGTAAAATCCAAAGTAGTCATTTTATATAACACTCAATATTTTCTTAGTCAAAATCCAAAACTAGTGACACTCTTGAGGTTCATAACACTCCCATTTGACAAGACAACAAGGACCAGAGGAGATCAATAGACTATGTTTCTACACATGCATATAGCAAGTTATTAGTATCAACGCACGTCTTACCCAATTTTTAATAGCATGTCATGTCCAGGAAATGCTTCTCCGTTGCTTGTACAGAGGCATGAGACTGTCATTGCCAACTGCAAGGAAAAACATAACTTAAATGAAAACACTATAATTCCAGAGCTAGATACAGTGAAGGCATCAAAAAACTGGTGAACCAAATTAAAAATAATCTGGTTTGTAGTTGAGATGCAGTATAGCAGTCAAGAACAATAAGTATTCTTTCAGTCCGTATTTCAATGCAAGCCTGCGGCCCAAAAATAATCATCACCTCCAGTGTGAAATACTATTATTTAAACCGAAGTTACTCTGAATGTACGATACAAAAAAAAGTAAATGCACACATTGTTCAGGAAAAAGCTTGAGAAGTTCACCTTTTCAAAAGTAGTTTCCCCCATTCCTGTTTTGTAGAGTTCATACACCATGGCAGTCAAAAATATTTTACTCAGCCTGGAAGAAGTTTTCATCACCTGCCAAGAAAAAACAAAGAAAAGAATTAGCATTAATATATCTCTGAAGAAGGTAGAGAGAATTTTTATTATTATTATTTTTTTTGTTCTTCCAGATACAACATAGATAAACAAAACTTCCTTTCAACCCAATAACAATTTATGCAGCTAAAGTTGTATGGAGTTGAATGCTACTAGTGCAGAAATTCACTACTTTAAACCAGCATCAGATAATTTGGGTCCTGAAAGCCATTTTTCACCATGCTACTCCTTTAAAGAATGGCACTTAAAAGATTTAGCAAACTCCAACTGACACCATTTTCATCTTTGTTACTCGACCAAAAAACTATGTAGCTATCTGGATCTCATGTATTTCATATTAGGAATGCATATTAACGTAGTAATGACTGCGTCTTCTGCCTCACTCAAGGGTATTGATTACCTCTTCTAAGATGTAACATACCATTTAAATAAAAGAAGTTTCACCAACAGAAATCATTTTCATCATGACTGTAAGATATAATCTGACTCACTTGAATATGAGGTGCCTGGAACATTTCTTGTATGGCTGCTTCAACCTCTGCCATTCCAACAAGTGATTTTCCTGCAAAGTAGGTACATATAAATCCTGTAAGTGACAAGAATTAAAGCCTCAAAGCAAGATAATAACGCTCCTAAACAAAGCAAGCACATAGAGTTTAAGCTACATGAGATGTTGGTGCTTAATAACACCAATGTAGTAACAGAGTATTTCTTTTGAAACTTCAGGATACAGGAAAGAAGAGAAGTTGACAATTCTAATTCCTTGGTTGACCAAAACAGAATACTGGTTTAAAGGTTGCTTAATTTTCATTTTTCAAATAAAAGAAAATGAAACAAATCCAATACCAAAAACAGAACAAAAAAACAAAACATGTATTATTTGGTATTTAAACCAGCTCTTCTATGACACACACTCTCATTATGGGACCAGTTGGCCAATGAAAGGCCATGTTTTTTTCTCTGACAAAAGTAATATTCTAAACTACTCTAATGATGCTTATGTTGCTAGATTGTGAATTTAGATAACACACTAAGACAAGAACCAACATAATAAATGGCCTAAATTCAGAGTCTTGCAACATAAGCATTTTACGCTGCCAGATTGTCTGGCAAGAGAACATTTCTCTACGAAGTATAGTTTAAAGCTTGCTTTGACATAACGCATTCTGGATTTTTCAAGTAATCCTAAAATGTAAACTGTTTCACCATCATAAAACTGAAAACAAAAGCAAAAAAAACAAAAGTTACAAACTAGAATCAATATGATGTTAAATAACAAATAAGGTGCAATAAGATAGATTCATCATTTCTCACACATTTTTAGCTAGCCAGAAAACCCCTGGCATATAGATTTTCTATTTACTATCAAGCCTTCTGCAACAAAAGTACATAGATTTTACGGGATGAATATTCAAAGGCATGAAGTTTAGATTCATTAACCTAATTACTTCTGGCAGAAGTTCATAAATGGGATGGATACCCAAAATTTAAAATAAACAAAAAAGCTTCCTACCTGTAATGAGTACATCAAACACAAGGCTTGATTAATTACAATTCCAATGCAGACGACCATTCACAAAAGTTTGAAATTACCCATTATGAAATTAAACATTCGTGAAATATTTTGCATTGTCAGTTTTATCAGATTGAACTACACTTAGTGAAGAAATAATTTTTGTTTTAAAGTAAGAAAAACCAAAATCCAAAATTGGCCAAACCAGTAGCAAAATTAAGCTCCATATCCATCCCATCATCACAATTATCACTATGATAAAAATCAAGCATTACCCACCAAACAAAATCAAACCCATCAAACCAGATCAACCAGGATCACAAATAAGAAGGCACAGAAATTGAGCTCACCTGAGCAGCAGAAATCCCAAGCAGAGCTCTCATGACTCTAGAGTCCATAGCATCAGAAATCCCCATTTGGATCCTCATCAGCTCACCCACCGTCATAACCCGCTTGGGCTTTCTAGGTCCCAACCCAGACCCACCGGACCCAAGACTCTTCTTGGAGCCCGAACCCGGTGATTTGAGACCCAATGCCTTCTTCATCCTGCTGGCAGCTACAAAAGTGAGCGACCTCTGCAACGCCGGCGAGCTATTGGGCGAGTTGGCGTGCTGGGTCGGTGAGTCCAAGTGAGAAGAAGCGGAAGCCGATTCTTTCCGGTGGATGTGTGGTAGGCGGCGACGAAGATCTCAGTGGAGCAGACAAGAGAGAGCAAAGACAGAGATAGAGAGTTGTGCTACAAAGAGAGAGAGCCAAGAGAGACAGAGAGCTGCGATAGACATATACCAAAGAGAAAGAGAGCTGTGCCAGAGAGAGAGAGAGAGAGCTGAGTGAGCTAAGAGAGACCAAAATTTAAGAACTTGTGATAAATCAGCAATAGGAGGACAATAATTTTATACTTATAGGTTATAGTTTTACAAAAATTGGGAAGGGGTGGTATTTTTAGTTAATATTAGCAAATGGGTGGTAGTGGAGGTCATTTCCCTTTTTTTTTCATTAATAAACTGGCTATGCCATTTCTAGGCAGATCCTGACCGTTCAATAGATCGAAGGGGGGAGATATTAGATCCGCATTAGAAACGTACCGCATCACACCTTTCCTCTCGTCCTCTCTCTGTCTCGCTCGCTTAGCCATCGTCTCCAGGACTCGATCCCACAGGTGGAAAACGCCGTCGTTTTCTGGTGAAACAACGGTCAGTGGTGAGAGACGCAAGGATGGTTGATCGTCTGTTCGAGGATATATTTCAGATTCTGCGACTGAACCCAGATGGCAAAAAGTTTGATAAAGGTATTGCAAGTGTAAAAATTCTTATACATAATTTTTCAAGATGTTTTTTTTCTCTTGTTTCGTTAATTTTTGGTACTTGTTAGTTACTCGAATCGAAGCAAAGAGTGAGACTTGCGAGATGTTCATGCACCTAGATGTGAATTCAGAGGTATATCCCATGAGGGAAGGTGAGAAATTCTCAATGGCTCTAACTTCTACAATCAATTTGGATGGAACACCTGATACTGGCTATTTCACTCAGGTAAACTTCTATTTATTCCTTCTCTTAATTTTTTTTAATGTTGCTTATGGGGTAATTCCCTGCTTGTTTGTACTGTATCTATACTGGAAATGCGTGACATGTATGAAAGCATGTACCTTGTGGATGGAGTGTACGGTTGAAAAGAATTCACAAGTTGGGTTATTAGCTTGAGAGTTATTATCAGGGATTTTAGCACAAATGGCAGAACTGGGATTTTCATGAAACCCTATTTTTTGGGCCTCCATTCTCTGTCCATTTAGGGGTTTATTCTTAAAAAAAAAAATATATATTTGTTATTTTGGGTTCTCTAGCAGTTTCTATATGTCATGATGGAACACAAATTATGTGGTTGATATAGGAGGCCAGTGAGAATGTCATGTGGGTTTGGTATGTGAAAGGACAATAGGAGTGTGGGATGGCTTGAGATTGAGATTTGGACAAATTATGGTGTGGTGACACTCTTCTTTGAGATTCATTCTTTGTTTTGATTAGCTTGGGTTGTTGATATAAGGAAGCTCTCTTCTTTGAGTTGGATCTGGGATCTTTATTTCATTAAAAAGTGGATGGTTATGAGGTTGTAGGGTGGATTACTTATGTAGGGTAATTTATTGGGTGAAAGTAAAGGGGGGTGCTTATTTATTTATTATTTATATTATGCTGGAGAAGCTGCCGTCTTCGTAGACTTCTTTTCTATTAGATCTTTTTATTGGGCTTCAGTGGGAGCAGAATCTATTTTCGTTAATAGAAGAGCTAGTGTTCTAAGTTCCTCATAAGTACTGTTTTTTGGATGGATGGCACCATAGAGAAACTGCAATGAGTCGAATAACTTGATTTTAGGGGAAAATTTACGGTGAGGGCTGTTACATTGCAAGTGGCAGACTTGGTTGACCAAAATCTATTACACTCGTGTAGGTGGATTTAACTTATCTGAACTTGCATTCTCTTTATTTAGCATTTCGTGTATATCCTTGGACATTGTTTGAGCTCCTTTCAGTGTGGCATGCCATTTTGTTATAAGAAGGATGATGTAGTTTGGACTTCGGACGCCTACCTCTTGTGTGCCATGTGTTCTTTTTGATTGGAAAGGAACAACGGGTGATTGTGCATTAGTATTTTCAAAGTTGCAGATTGGGGCCACATCTTGAGTTTTGTTATAATAGTATCTACTTGTATTGGATCATATATGAAATGCAGATATTGTAGCTTATAGGTCAATATATGACAAAGCCATCTTTGATAATGACAAATTGACAATGCATTGAGAAGATGATTCTGAAGATGATTATGTGTTCCATGTTTTCTTGACGTAGCTTAGCTGTAGCAGTTTCTGTTTGGTTGTTTACCAAATCATTGAGCCATAGTACGCCTAACTAATAAAGGTACCGTTTTTGCAGGGCAATCGCAAGACGTTGGCCGATGAATATGAATACGTCATGCAAGGGAAGCTTTTCAAAATTTCAGAAGGTTCTAAACGTGATCCCAAAGCGTAAGTAATAAAAATAATAATTTATTGGGATCTACAAGTGTGCTATTTGTTTGTATGTTTGTGAAAAAAGACGAAGAAAATATCAAATGTAGGTATCATGAAAGTGGTTGCTCTTCTGAATTGGTATAAGCTGTCATGAATTTGATGAAGTCCACTTACAAGGCATCGTATCCCCTACAACTATGACTCAGATCCTTGTTATTTCTGCAACATATTGTGGAGGATAATGATGCCAATCATATGACAGTCATTTGCTCTGTTTGCTTTTCATTCAGAAAGACAAATTATTGGGGTTTAAGTAAAACTTTGTCATGTTAACTGAGAAGGTCTTTTTTATTGTTCTCTTCTAATTTCTTGTCTTTGGTTTCAGGGAGGTAAATGCTTCATTTGGTGGCCTTTTGATGATGCTGAAGGGGGAAGCCTCTCAATTCAAGAACTTTGAACTTGATCAGAGGATGTTTCTCCTCATAAGGAAGCTATGAGACTCTTGACAGTATCCAATGTGGAATGGTCTACAGCTCTCTCCTAAGAGGAACATTTTTAGGCTTTTCTTATGTAAACTTGTGCTGAACCTTGACGGTTCAGATTAAGCCTGTGTTGAGTAGAGGGCTCCCTGACTAAACTTGAGGTTGCTACATAAAGTCTAAAGAGTAGTGTGTAGGCATGAAATGCTATGGCACTGACAGTTTAAAATTTATGTTGTCAAAATTGAACTCTTGCCAAGAGCCCATGATCTTTAGGTGGCTCATGAATAGTAATAACCATTCTAGTGCTGCCAAAATGGTTTTTTAACTCTATTTTGGTTCAAAGCTGTGAGCTGATAAATGTGTTTGATTTGATCTGATATTTGGCTCAGTCAGCAATACGGTTACAAATTATATACATTCCCCCTTAAGAATGATTGGTAGGTTTTTGTGTAAGAGCATTCATAATGGGCTCATTAAACCACCGCATTAGATAAATTTTAGAGTGGAATTGGAAAAATATGACTTCAACCATACCTCCTAAAGTAGGGAGGGTCTCAAGGAGTTCCTAAATCTAAGGAAAGAGAAAGGACTCATAGTGGCTCTTTATAATTTAATGTTGTTTTGTTTTATCATGCATAGTTTAAACTTTTAATAAATGCTATATATATATATATATATATATATATATATATATTAGAGATGTACCAATCATATTGAAATAATAAAAAATAACTATAGTATTTATGAATCCTTAAACTAGGGAGTATGATTGGAGTTCAAATTTTAAAGAGAGCTCCTAAAATAACTTTTGAGTGTTTTTAGCTAAATTTTAACTGAAATAGGAAGCATTATTGTAGATGTTCTAAGTATGCTACTTGCGCCTTACCTCTAATCACATATGCTTTTGTATAAGGCAGCTATAATAATAATAAAGATTGTAACAAAAGAAAAAAGAAAAATACTTTACTTGAAATGAGAGAAGTCGTGAATTGGGAAAGTCATAATTGGGGAGCTAATGAATACGCATCGGATCAACTACTTTTCTAATTAATCTAATTCATTTTATCATGTATTAGTGATTATGAATTTTAAATGTTCTTCACATAATTTTTAATTTTTTATGTGTTAATAAATGTAAGAAATTAATAAATACAATGATGATAATGATAATGATAATAATAGTAATAAAAAGCGATTTATATTTAATGCTACTTCTCTTTGTTCTGTTTTTTTTTATGTCATGTGAAATTGTTGTTCTGTTCATAAAAAAAAACAAAAAGAAGAAAATATTCATTCATCAAGGCTTTTATTGTTTTTTGGTTTTCTTGCTTCTTATTAGACGCTCTCTCGGGCCTGGGCTCTCGTTTCTCTTCTAATTCGAAAAGGAAAGTCTGAAGTGGCTAAGAGACAGAAACATCGAGTGGGTAAGACGACGACGACGACGACGACGATAATTTACGAACATGTTCTACAGAGGGTAACACACTTTCCTTTTCTCCAATTTCTTGCTCTTTCTTCTTCTACTTCTTCCATTATTATTAAAAAGAATTGTCTTTGCGATTTCTCTCGTTCTTTCATCATGTTTAGGTTATTTCATTCATATATAGTTGTCCTCTTTCTCGAGTCGTTTCAATCGATGGGCTTTATCAATTAATCTCTATGAATTGTTTTTTTGTTTTTGTTTTTTCTGTTTTGTTGCTTAATTCTCGAGTGGTATGAATCGGACAATGCCCAGAATTTAAATTCGACTTTTTCTTTTTGGTTGAAAAACTTATGGGTTGTTTGGATTAGATTTGATTTGAACAAAAAGGGGTTGACGTAGGCCTTAGTTGAAGTTTGAACAGCTTAAATTGATATGATTAGGATTAAGTTCCTTAATTCTTTATTCATATGTTCTGTGTTTGTTTCTTTGGCTTTATATTGTTAACTACGATGAGAGTTTAACACATTTAGGGAGCATAGCTAGTTATTATGATTATAGAACCTTATTCAGACCAATAAACTAGTTTTCAGTAATTCGTTCGTAATTATATAGTCATGGTTTATATGTTTCACTAGGTAAT